GTCAAAGTTGTCGGTGGCGCCATCTTCGGTGTCCTCGGGAGAGATGGGCGTCTCAGACGGTAGCGGGGAAGAGGCTGCATCTGTGTCCCTGCTTAGCTCTGGGGGTGGTATCTGTTGTTCTTGCGGTAGCGGTGTGTCATCGGGCGCACATGTAGATGAGGTCGCCGAGGACATTGGGGTGTTCTCGTCGTTCTGCACTGGCGCTGGCATCTGTAAAGGATCAGCTGTTGGAGGTTGTCGATGGTCAGGATGGGGTAGTGCATGTAGTCCCAATGGATTGTGCGACCACAGGTGCGGTGGGAGGATGGGCCCTTCACTCGCGTAGTGTCTGGCCACAAAGTTCCAGGGGTCCATTGTGGGTGATTGTCGTTCTGGAGGTAGTTCAGGTGGTGTCGTAGATGCTGCAACAGGTTGTTGTGCTTGCTCCAACGGTAAAGGAGGGTCTTGTCCTTCTGGAAGATATCCCAGTTCCTGTGTGGTGATATAGCCGTCGTTGTGCCACGGATCGGTGTCGGCCGAGTAGGGTAGAGGGAAACCCCTGGCAAAGCCATGTCGTAGGGCACTTGGTTGAGCTCCTCGGGGAAATTGTTCAGCACCTTGTCGTGGGTGGGGTAGAGGTAGATCGAGCGGCGGGTCCTTTCCCTGGAGAGTGTCCTGGCTTCGTGGCATCAGGTCGGATGCCGCGTGGGCCGTAGGGTCAGTAGTCGCCGACGAAGAGCTCGCGGAAGTAGCAAATGGTTGTTCTTGGTGAAGTTGTGCAGAAAGCGCTGGTTCTTGGCGTGGATCATGTAGTCGAGGATCGTGATGTTGAGCAGGATGCCGTTGCGGTAGTGCTTGATCGTGTTCTGGGTGTTGTTGGGGAGGTGCTTGTTGTGGTAGAAAAATATCATTGCTCGCCGAGGGGGGACTCAAGGGCCGCGACGATTGGGGGGAAGTAGTAACTTCATGTCGGAAAAGAGCGGGGAACCGGGAGTCTTGCTGCATGGTTCCTCTAGGGGGTCGTTCCCCTTGGGCAGGATGTGGTTCAGGTATTGTTTGGGTGCCCCCGCGGCGCAAAACCGGCAGGTTGACGACTTCTCCATCATGTAGTGCTGGATTGTGATCTCGATCATGGTCGGGGTAGGTCGGCATTGCTTCCTTGTCATGGTCACCACTCGTAGATTCTGTGCTGAAAGCGTCCTGCTGCAGGCCGAAGACATGCATGGGCAGGTCCTCCTCACTTGGCGGCTCCGGAGGAGCGAGCGGAGGGTCCGAGGAATCACTGTCCTCCGGTTGTGCATCTCTCCCTCCAGGGTGTGAGGAGGGCATTCCCGCGCAGCATGTAAGGATCAGCATGCGGAGCAGTTCTCTCTCTCTCTCTCTCTCTCTCTCTCTCTCTCTCTATATATATATATATATATCGATGTATTCCTAATTGATCCGCAGAGCTTTTGTAATGTTGACAAAGGGTTTATCGACTGCCGGCGCACGGCCTTCCTGCATCTTCCTGCGATTCCGGGAACATCGGTGTGCCAAGTTGCGGGTCGCTGCGATAGGAGCGTTGAAAACTCTCGCCTTTCAGATTCTGAGATTACTCAACTTCTTAAGGAATGTAACAAGCACAACTCCATGCGTTTTATAGAGCCTTCGGCTTCGAAGGTGCCTGTGGCGTCGGCCGGGGTGTCGGCGTGCCCCATCCCGACAACTATCACAAGCGATTAACAGCGGCAAGTAGCCCCACCCGGCACCCATCGCCCGATGCCGGGCGTTAGCCCGCCTCGCCGCCAATGGGCCCAGCCGAGTCTACCGTGAAAAATCCTACCCACAAGGATTCTTTCAACATCACATTTGCGTTTTGCAACACTTGTTCCTGTGCCCCTCTCAGCCAACGCCGCATGTCCTGCACCACAGACAGGACGCGGCATCATCCTACATTGGAGGTTTTAGGGGACGATCGTGCGGAGTCTGCATCAAGCTGGAAGCCTGGCCTGGAGAGCGTCCTCGTATCCCTTCCAGTATGACATTTCGGCCTCGGAGGCACTGAAAAATTGACCCTGTGCAACTTATCTTGTGACAATGAGCTGCCCGCGAAGTCTTGCAGGGCAAGGGCGAGGCCGGAGCATTGTCCCTGCAGTTGATATGACTGACGGACAAACTTTGCTATGCCATGTTGCGGCTTTAGGTGGGGCCCATATCTTTTTCGTACCATGGGGCCATGCCTGAATGTCAAGGACTCGCAGCACAAGCTAAGTGCTTCGCGAAGGCATGTCACTCCAAACAGAAATCCGAACCGTGAGGCGATGCCAAAAGGCAGAAACGGTTCTTGGCTTTCCGTGACAAACACCGCAGCAGACTCGATCCTCGAGACTGCTTGACGTGGTTTCATGAGTGTTGGTTTGTGCTACACGAATTTCTGAAATGCCAAGGACCACTCCCACTCTGGACTTCCTTAATCCACCCTTGACGGGGTCGACGCGACCCATGGCCTAACGCATGGCAGCACAGGAAAGCAAATGTTCTGCAAGCTAAAACGGCAAACTGGATGAGGCTGCCACAACCTCGCGGTGTCCTGCAGCGCGGAGACATGGTGCCGAATGAGCTATCGCTCTCCTCCCAAGCTGGCATGCCTTCATTCCCTCCACCATGGCTGAGCGGCCGGGCTTCAAGTCAACTTTCATCCAAGCTCAGAGCCAACTGCACCCATGCTTAACATACTGGTTGGACTGGTTGAACTGGGATTTTTGTCTCCTGCGTGGCTGGTCTCGAGCATGGCTTAGCAGGCAACACGAGACTGTGAGACTGAGCCACACCGGCTTAGGGTTTAGGGCTTTAGGGTTTATAGTTTAGGGTACCCACTTGATGCTGACGAAGTGACGGCGACACACTGTCGTGTTGCGAGTGTACAGTGTGCGGCGAATGCGATTCGGAGACCTCTCGGATAGACACGGGTGTTGTGATGCGGGTGGTCGCAACAGGGCGCGCGCCATCACAAATCCAATTAAGATCGGATGTGCTGCGAGGTATGCGAAGCGAAACCAGCATGTGTCGCTACGGCCAGGCTACGAGGCTTTGGTCGCAGCTGGGCCAAAAACAAAAGATATCGACAGACCCCAGCCGGAAAGGAACAGTAGCAACGGCTTGGCAGGTCTGAGCAACATACGAGCAACAACAGGCATCGCGCAAGAGCAGAACTCCATGTTCGAGGATGCACGCAAGTACTTCTGGCTTCCAAAACATACGAACACGTCTGGCTTACCTGTGGCTTGTGCTTCCTGCTGCACTCGCACGTGAACAGAACAGCAGCGAAGAAATCACAGCTTTCATTGTACGGCGGGGCCCCGAGCTTAGCATGCCAAACCATCCAGCACCAAAAACCTAAGTCGCTTATACTTGCTCTGGCTTGGCTGGCCTGAATGATACGATACCCACTGCGAAGCTCTACGCTGCGACAACCTACCAGGTCGTGCTCGAGTAACTAATATCACTAATATCATACAGAATCGAAAGCTAGCTTAGGGTCAAGGTTTATTTCGCCAGTCCTGTTGCCTTTCACATGAACGACAGGAACTGAAGGCGGGTTAACTGCTTGCACTTGCCCAAGGGCGCCTGAGCCGACACTACTCAAGGGACGGTTCGGTTGGTTGGATGGGGGTGCTGACCTCGCAATGCTCTTTTTGGTGCGTCTTTGGGTCAGGCACGTGTCCGCGCAAGTCCTTCCAGGGAAGAGCTGAGAAGCACACTACAAACGAAAGTCATACATACCCAGCACTGCTTGAGTTCGAAATTCTGCAATGGCCTCCTCGTACGCCGAGGGCTGTCGGTCCCGCAGCATGGCAAGCAGGTGGTGGAGTCTGCGCAGTTGCAGGGGTGCTGCCCAACCCTTTCATGCAGTGAAAGTGCCTTTCCATTTCCAGGCCCCAAGTTACCCTGAGATGCAAGTCCCCCACCTCAGGCGCTGCGCGATGTGCAGTGACGGGCTGCCCTTGGCAACGGAAAACTTCCAGCAGCGAAGCAAAGCTGGAGGGCTGCAAAACGGATGTGGGACCCACTGATGGCTTCTCTGTGCTTCTGTGCAAAGCGATAACTGGAAGCGGCGAGGCCAGAACTCCATGCATCTTGACAGGGGCTCTTGCAGAAAATGCATCAAAACGAATGCGTCACTCCTGCACTTCAATTTGTCGACGCCGTGACACGGACCAACTCCTGATCTTCGTTGTCGAGGAGAAGATCCATGGCGGCCTCTTCGCTTCGGCTTGCCGCAATGTGCAGCACCAAGTCAAGCATAGTGTGCTGCAGTCTAATTAGGGCAGGGTTTTGAAGTTTTGAGGTATGTTCTACCATAATCATAAGACTTCAAGAAAAATCTCTAGAGGTTGCTACATCTTGCTATGTATACCGGTACCTATCATGATATTTTCTGCCACAGACAAAATAATAACTGAACAAGTGCTCAAGGGTACAGACTACCACACCTCAATGTGGTGCTGCTGTACAACGAGGCCAATGGTGTGTGGAATCTTGTCCTGTACGGCGGCTGTGTCAAGTCTGCTGCCGACGCTACACTCCACAACTTCCCGGCAAGCGAAAATCGCCAACTTTCCTTGCTTGCCAATGTTTTTGCTACGGTAGGGCTTGCCTATCGGTACCGTCGGCACTGTGACTGTATCTGAGCTCCGGAAATTGACAATTGCGGGAAACCTGCAGCAGTGGGCTGACAATGGGCATCACGCATCGCGGGCTCTGCTGCTACAAGGACTTCAACACACACACGAGCAGGCAAAGTTTGCAAAAAGTGCACACCAACTCGTCGGCTAGCGCCTCATGGAGGTGAAATTGCACCACCAACCCAAACTTTGAAGGGACATATTCAATGTTCTACAGCTAACGAGTTGAGCCTTGTTGAGTCTTCAGGAATGGGACAATAGTCGAGTCATGCAAACACTATCACTAGCAGTAACGGAAAGAGTCGTGGGCTTCGCGGATGGATCCTGGGGTATTTTTTCATGCGCTGAAATGCCCTTCTACTCATTGCACTTGGTGTCTTTGAGATGTGTTGTGTTGGCGGCCTGCGTGTCGTTGCCCGTTTGCCGCAGGGCGCGGCGAGCCGGCCCCTCCTCAAAGCCGTGGGACAGCAGCGACGACAGCGACAATGGGTCTACCTGAGCGGTGAGACGAGTCATGAATTTGTCTGGTTCTTAGGCAATCGCAACAAGAAGACTACCCTAAACCACACATATGGACAAGATGTACTGCACTCCTGATGCTCGCGCTGTTCCCTAGGCTTTACAAGCTGTTCTCCGAAAAGAACGGCACAAGCGGAAGCTCCGCCAGGTTGCAGGCTGCGAGCTCGGAGCAGACTCAGGAGCAGCACCTGCCAAAGGCCAAAGTATCGGATCGGCGGCCCCGAAGAAGCAAAGGAAAGAGAAGCAACACAATGCAAAACGCACATGGTCCAGAAACAGGGGTCACTGCTGGCCACGCCCAATGTCCCCTCCCTAGAAGCCTGTCAGCCTGTCGAGCATCAGATCAACCGAAGCTTAAACTATCACGCAGCAGAGGCAACGGAGCTGGACTGCCAGCAGTGCCTGAGAGGCTGCAAAATGTTAGCAGCAACTGCGCAGAGCGCAGGGCTGGCCCCACCCCCCGCACCCCCGATTGTTTCTGATTTCTCCACACTGCAGCTCCGTTTGCTCTTCGAAGGCCTGGTCGCTCCTTGCCCTCCCGCGCCAGTCGCTCCACCAGGCGAAGGGCAAAAGTCTCTCCGCCTTCCTGAGACAGCTCTGGGTCCTGCGCCGGGCTCTGAGAGCTCTCACTCTCACTTTTCTTGGCTGCCCCTTCTACACCCTGACTGCTCCACCTGACGCAAGGGCCGCTGCGCGGCGAAGGTTTCGACCAAGGGTTTCCGGCTTTGAAGGTCCTAATCACTTCCCTGTCGGGTTTTTGGGGGGAGGGGCATTTGATATCTACTTGACAGGAAACTGGCCCTAAATTGAGGAAAGACTAACACTGACGTTCAAAGATATCCAGGATCCGACCGGCAAGTGCAAATAGAGCTTACAGCAACGTTCTCCGCATCGTCGTCACAACCCACTTAATGGGGACCCCTACCCTATACTGGGCTATAGAATGGGTATATAATGGCTATATTATGGGTGTATACCTCATCTAGAATCTAGAACTGTTGCGAATGCAAGCCCAAAGGCCCTTGGCTGAAGCCGGGCCCCAAACGTCCTGAGTGTCACGAAGCTCCTGCTGTACATGGGCCTCCAGGCACTCCGGCATCATCTCCTTGTCATCCCCCGAGATAGTGATAGTAGTATTAATGCTAATATTAATATTGATATAGTAATAGTAATAGTGACCATAATAGTAATAGTGGCTCTATAGCCGCGCCCCGGGGTACGGTTAACCAGAATGAGCATGTGGCGCGCAGTAGAATCAGTAGAACAAATACAACGGCCGGGGTCATGACCCTGCACATCATCACGTCAACATCCTCAGCATCACACTCACCATCCACATGATCAGGATCGTGACGATGATGATCATCATCATCCCCACCACCACCGTGTGTTTCTTTTCAACGCTACATGCTCAAAAGCATCACCAGAAACAGTTTGTGGCATACTGTTCTGGCTCTTTGTCCTGACAAGCATTCCGGTCGCAAGGGCTCCTCATCCAGAAGCAAAAACTAGTTGAACCCACCGAAGGAACGAACGAAAACACGAAAGCAGCAATGCCAGCCGGCAGCCGCAACAGCAAGAAAAAGCATTGACTACTGACTACTGTGTGCTTAGGATTTTACACTGCAGAGCGCAGTGGCAGCAAAGGGCAAAGAGAAACCTTCAAACGCCACGTTCACTTGCGTTGCCAGGGATCGGTCATGCGGCGAAAAGCCATACGCTCCGGCAGCACATCAGAGATGGAGTGGGCAGCAGAAGCTAAAAAGTCGTACTGCAGATGCTTCAAGGTCTGAAGACCTTAGCTTCAGAGACGGCACTGAAGGGTGGCTTTGCATGAGGCGGAGCTGCATTCACGTTCCTTTGCACCCTTTTGCCACGGCCCCCATGCTGAGGCATGAGTTCTGATAGCTGAGACACTACTCCTGCCATATATACAACTACAACGGTAGTGTTCCTGCGGGTCAAACCATGGTCATTCCCAGGTGCAAGAATCCAAGATGTCATCCCTGTGCTCTTCCAGTGTGTAGAGCCACTCGAAGACGCTTCGATTGATTCGCTCGAAACTAGCCTCGAGACCAGCAGGCATCAAATGCATGCATATACGTTTCACTCAAGCGTCAAAACAACATATGCGTGTATGTGTGCGTGCCTCTGCGAGGATGTATGTACGTGTATACACGCAGAGTGAGCTACGGCTGCTTCAAGGCCTTGGAAGCTTGGAACTCCGACTTGGCCAACTTCCGCCGGAGATCTGCATCTTGCAACGCCTCACCGGCCCGCAGCACTGGCACGGCACACTCGCACGGCTTTTTTAGCCCGATGTCTTGTCTCATCGTGCAATGCCTGCTCGGCACAAGGACACTTCCCCGCAAGCAAGAGACACGATGCTCCGCGATGCATCTGGGCACCGGGCATGGGCATCGCAAAGCTCCACCTGCTTTAACGCCTCTTTCAGCGCAGCCAGGCACCTAGCGATGAGTCACAGAACCATCTATCAGATCACTCTGAAGTACACGAACGCAGCAAGCTCTCCAGGAGGCTGCTGGCAAAGGCACATGTCCCGTTTCTCCAGCTCCTTCCGCAACTTTTCGTTGTTGGCCAAGTGGTCCTTTCCGGGCAGCAATTGCCAAACTAAGAGGCTGCAAGGCAAGAGGCCATCAAACCAGTCCAGTGAAACAGCCAGTAGTTCTACCAATCCATATTTCTGATTGTATGCTCCGAATTAAGCTCGATAAGCTTCACTGCCCAGCATCTGGTGTGCTAACAAATCCAGTGCCGCAGAAGGCCGAACCCTCGAGTATAACCTGGTGTGGGCTCTTTTTGCTTCACAATGCAGCGCAGGCATCACTAGAGGCATTTGAACTCACACACCAGCAGGTCCTTAAGCGGAGCTGTGATGTTGAAATCCATGTTCCGGTTGAACCGCGCCACCGCACTGTGTGGAGCGTCCTGGCGTGCCTCAAGAACTCCTATACTTTGCCACCGAGACTGGAGACAGCGACTGATGCTCGGCTGAGTTGCGATGTTCTGCGCGGCTTCGCGCAGCCGGCAGCCCTCCGTCACCAGAATGCGATCCTCGATGGGCAGCCACTTGTCGCAACTTCCTATACTTCCAGCTGCTGGCACCAGTGAAACCTGCTACAAGGCAGATCAACATGGTAGAATGGCGGGTCCTGTGCCAGCTTGAGCTGCTCGGACAAACCATCAGACAGGCTCTGTACACCTGATGGGTGCAGCGAGAGCGATCATACGAGTACTGGCAACACGAGCCATTGCTGCAGTGCGGGACACAGTTGATGCCGCAGCGGTGGTGATAGCGGTAGTCGCAGAAGCAGTACGAGTAATAGCTACAGCAGCTGCAGTTGTTCCTCTGCCTTAGCAGGCGGGAGAATGATAGTGGTAAGGCAAGGGTCGTCGTTGTTGGAGGACGAGCAGCAGCGGCAGCAGCAGCAGCCGCCGCCGCAGCCGCCCCCGCAGCAGCAGCAGCAGCAGCAGAAGCAGAAGTAGTAGCGTCGTCGTCGTCGTAGCAGCAGGCAGCGGCAAAAGTCGGAATAACAGTCGTAGTCGTTGTCGGAGTCGCAGCCCCCGCAGAAGCAGCAGCAGCAGCAGTTGCATAGTACGTTGCACTTCCACGCGGAAAGTAGTAGCAACACCACGAACAGCTACAAGACAATCAAAGAACACTACTACTGTTCAATCCTTATGACAACAAATCCCACTCTCGTAACAGGAGCAAGTTGTTTGTTTCCTCTGCTGGTGCTTAACTGAGGGAATGGGTGAATGGGTTATGGCGACTATTATTGGGGGTTATGTAGGGACTACTATGGAGAGATCCATTCCCCCATTCCCTGCTAAGCACCAGACGGTTAAGTTCTGACAGCAACACGAAGCCGGGGCCGAGGCCCGTGGCCAGCTCATGGATGCCTCGCCTCAGTTTCGGAATTCCGAAATCTCCAGATCACAGTGCATCAGTGCCTTTTCAAGGAGGGATCTTTTCCAAAAATCTCGGGACCACTCATTACTGGATCAGATAAGCGCCTTCAACCGAAGGGGAAAGGGCACTTCATACTTCGGGATGCAAACACAAAAAGTGCCTTCCGTCGCGCATCCTGACCGCTGCCGCGCCGCACAAAAGTCTCCAAGCTGGAGTTCACCTCCTGCAGTGACTTGTCAAAGTCATTGAACTGGGCGACCATGCCCTCGAAGACCTAGGTTGTGCAGTCGCTGCTGCTCGCGTGCACACAAGGTCTGCTTTCTTGGTCATAAAGGCTGTGGCACGACACAGTGTGAACTCAAGCGCACCTGGACTCAACCAAAGCCAGGTCACGGGATCAGGCATGTCTCGCTGTAGCCACTGCTCTTCTGGGCGGAGGGTCATGGCTCGCCGCCGCTAAAACCTAATCCTACAGTGCTACAGGCTGGCATGGCATCCTGGAGCTGCAAGCGAATGCCAGACTTGTGGTTGTTCCTGCGTTCGCGTCCCGTCTGCTCCTACCCTGTGCGGCTCAAGCTTGCGATCCCAGGCCCCGGCAGAGAGCAAGCGCCAAAGCCTTGTGATGGCGATGCAGTGAGTGGCCCGCCGCGCTCACACCGAACAGGTGGGTGGGAGGTGAGAGGTGGCAGGGGTGGGGTGGGTGGGAGGTGGGGCAGGTGAAAGCCGCGATCCGCGGGCCGCTGCACGGCTGAAAGACTCCGTGGGGGTTGGGGTGCACCCCCCCACTTGCAACCACAATGTCTGTATCAGGGTTCTGAAACGATCAAAATGTGTTCTGTTTTTTTGCTGGCAGGTTTGATTTGGAAGCTAACTTGCGCGGCTTATGCAGGCTGGGCGGGGGCTGACAAAGCAGCGCAGGGCACGAACAGGAAGCTTTTATTTGGGAAGCATCCCGGGACGGCGCTCTTGAGAAAATCGTCCATGAACTTGCGAACATCCAGGAACATATTATAAGATTTTCAGCTGTGCCCCCCACGCCAATGTATCAGAATCCTGTCCCCGAAACTTCGGCCCACATACAGACAGAGAAAGTAGCAGTGCTTGTAGACAAACTTCTACGTCGCTATGGCATGCCCAAGGCCCACAGGTAGTACCACGATAGGTTCCTCCCTCAAGCGTCTAATGAGTCTAATGAGTCTACTGTGCAGCGCGAGGCGCTCCTGGCACATGCGACGGTTCTATGGCTCTCTTTTTGGTGCAGAGTGCCCATTTTCCGCCTAAAAATCGCGTTCTTTCCCCTGCTCGGACCTGCAAGGTCAACCCAACCGCGGCTCGCAGCGCTGCTGAGAAAACGAAACCATGATAGCTGTTAGGCCAGTCTGTTAGGCTCGGTGCGGTTCAGTGCGGTGCCTTCATGTTTCCGAACGCGTCAGCCCACTCCATCACTGTCTGGAAGAATCAAGACAGAGGCAGCACTATGAAAACTTCGCCGACGATGACCTCGACGGTGCATCCATCGATCGTCAGGATCTGCCTGTCCGTGACAGTCACCGAGCCCACGCTGAGCTTGGCCGCAGCGTTGTCCACAGTGATCACGCTGCAACGACTGCAGCGTGACTCGTCATGCCACCTTCCATCGCAGCGAACCGTTCAATCTAAAAGCACTATTACTTGATCTTGCACGTGCCGGGCCAACTGTTCTCGCAGTTCACGCAAGCCAAGCAAGAGTCGCAAAGACATGATGCACGAGAGCTGAAACTGAGACAATCGGATGTTTGGGCTGGACAGTGGCGTGGTGGTCAATGGTTCACCGAGAGCATTGATGCTGGCAAGTTGTTGGTGCCGGAGTCCGTGCCAATCGACGCAAATAGGCTCCACGTCAGGATGTCTCACGGCAGAAGAAGCTGCTCCGACTACACCCGGAGGGTGTTGTCAGCTTCAGAGCCCTCTGCGTACAGGCTGTCAATGAAGGCAAAGAGTCGATTAAACTCATCGTTGGTGCACGTCTTGCAAATAACCAAGGCATCTTTGATCTTCATGTCGAGAATTTTGTCCATCGCACCGAAGCCACCCATCTCTTCCACCACCAGAGACCTGATGGTTTCTTGGTCCTCCTTTCGTGTCGCTTCCGCTTCTGATAAGGATAAGTTCGCAAGCCGCTTTCCAATGGCGATGGCCACTTCAGTTGTAGCCTGCCCGAAGTTTACAATGCCCGTGTTCGTGCAGAATTGGAGGCCCTTGAAGTCGGAACGCTCCTTCCTGGGCTGCTAAGGAGCTTAGCTTAAGAAAGGGAGGGCACTCTGTTTACTATAGGTCCCTTCTAGGCTAAGTTAAGTTAAGCTCCTGAACAGAGCCTTAACAGCAACTCAGCTTCTCCAGGATCACAGTCTGCAGGAGCTCAAACAAGCACCAGGATCTCGTCAGCGGCAAGGCCTTCTGGTCTAAGATCATGCAGGTCCCTTGAACGAAGGGGCTATGCAGCGCCAGGTAAAAGGAAGAGTCCTTGTGACTGGTGCCGAGCTCATGCGCTATTTGATACTGGTTGTTGCTGAAGGCGCAAATCCAGTATGAGACTGTCTGCCAACTTGCTTCAGTCTGTCCTGAAACTGCGTGGTCGGCATGCCGTCTCAAGGCTTCACAGGTGTATGCAAACTTCGTTCCCCAGTAGTGGGACACAAAGTATTGAACTGTGGAGGGGCCGAGCAGCTCGGCAAGAGAAAGCTTCACATGAGAGGTCAAAGGTTGCACAATGTTGGAGTCAATGTAATACAGGTTCCGATCCCGTATGTATTGCTGAAACTGCTGCATCAAATCGCAGATCTGGTAAGCCGTGAGCGCACGATCAGGTCCCTTCTTGCATGCTACCGGGTACGGGCGTCTGCGTGCCAACTCCTTTCGGAAGATTGTAATCGACTCATGTATGGGCGACGGCCTCTCCCTCCAGTACCTCAAACCTAGTTCATGGTTGCAATAAGACCAAACAGTTAACTTCATTTAACGTTTTCCCGGTTTAAGTACTCGTGAAGATGTAAATTTGATCCAACTATGACCCAGAAACCCCAAGCAGCAACACAGCCCAGCGCGCAGCCCAAGAGCGTTCCGCCTGTCCCACCCCAAGCCCGGAATGTTGGCTCGCTCTCCAGATTGGCCACAAAGAGCAGGGAGGTTGCCGTCAGCAGGAGAACCTTTGTCGTGCATGGAGGCTGCTTCAAGCCTGGGGATCAGTAGGGGAAGGTGAACTTGGCAAGCTTTCAATACAAACCGACTTGCGGAACTCCGCTTCCAAAAAGTGCACAGTGACCGAGGCGGCGAGGAGAACCGGCACGCCGGGCAGTAGATCAGTGTGTATGACGCACCGAGCGTACCGCAGAACAAAGTAGCCTCAGCTGCCATGCCATTGCTCCGGCCGAAAGCGTACGTCAGAAATACCTCTAACATGTGTTTCAAAGCTGCTCCCAATCCGGAGCCGAAGTCTGAAGAAGCCCGACAGAGCCCTAGGAGCCTCAACTGCCTAAGGCATGCCATGCCACACCCCAAGTACCAACTCCCTGTTCTGCAACAGAAGCCCTATACACACTCACCCAAACCCAAGAAACCCTGCCACGCATCATGGCACATGGAAAAAGAACCTTGCATGCCACAGGGGTTTTGCAGGTTCTGGGGATCCATGAAACACCGCCTTCTCCGATGCATCTCCGTGGCCGCGGGAGGTGTCGGCGCTCGCCACGGAGTTGCCCTTGTCCTTATGCCGTTCACACATACAGTATGTGGACGCTTTTGCGGTATGAAAGTCAATATTGCACACTGATATAAGCAAAAGTATAAAAAGAAACAGACTACTTATGAAAACAAAGGACAATAGTCGTCGACTTAGCGGGTGGCGGCGGCGGCGGCAACAGCAGCAGCAGGAGTAGTAGTAGTCGTCGTCGTCGTCGTAGTAGTTTTTTGCCTCTTGCATGGCTGATTGATCGCGAAGCAAGGTTATACTTAAATGACATGGTCGTGCAAACTCGTCGTAGTAGTAGTAGTAGTAGTAGTAGTAGTAGTAGTAGTAGTAGTAGTAGTAGTAACAGCAGCAGTAGAAGTCGTAATAGTAGTCGTCGTAGTCGTCGTAGTAGTAGTAGTAGTAGTAGCAAAGAGTTGTAATGCTAGAGTAGTACTGTCGTCGTTCTCAGTATGATTCTCAGGCCTCCAAGCGGCGTCCAGCAGCTGGATGCGACTGGGTCCGACCGGCCTCGCCCGGTAGCAAAAGCCACGGGCTCCGACTGGCTTCCGGTCCAGCTGGTAGTGGCCTCGGGGTTTAGGGGGTTTAGGGAACTCAAACAATTCAAACGAGTCACGGCTGACTCGAGTGAACCCCACCCTGTAGTCAATGCGAACCAAGGGTTTCGGGTTGAGGGTTTAGGGAGCTGGCAGCAGCCTCGGGGTTTTTGGAGTTCTTCTCGGTCTTCTTTTCTTGGTTTATGGTTCTCGGGTCTGCTTGGCTTTGGGAGTTTCTGGCTTTGGGTTGTTTGTTTCCCCTCCTACTTAGCAAGGACAAAGCCTGCAATGCAGGGTAACTTTGGGTTGTTTGGGGTGTTGGGTCTTTAGTGACTTTACGCTCTCACAACTCGGACAAGCCAGGCGAGGTTCTTAGGTGCGAGGTCGGTGTGAAAAGAGGCAAAGATCGATCCTCACTTGTGCCAGTTCACCACGAGGCCAATCGATAAACTGGAAAACATCAGACTCCATAGCAAAGGATTGGTGTGAGGATCAGTGATGGTCACTCGTCGCCACGAAACAACACTTCGATCAACTTGAACACAGTAAGACCCAGACCGTGACATTAGAAAGGTTGGGGCGCCGAGTGTCTCGAGTCTAGCTAGGGCGGTCAGCAGAGGAAAACAAGAGTTTACATTGTTTGACTACTACGGCTACTTTGAGCTTGCGTCACTCTGCAAATTCTACACGAGGCACGCACTAGCCTACGTGGAACATGAGAACACTGAAGCCTCTTGTAGATTCCAACAGAGCAACCTGTGCTGTGGGTGGTGGAACTCGGTGAAACAGAATTACCTGTCAGGCTCAGATCACAAGGCTCGGGCGTTCGTGTCGGTGGGTGCAGAGCTCCCCGAACTCGCGGTTGTCGGGCAGGGTTTCTCGTGCATCTGTCAGTCTTCAAATGGACATCCTTCTCTTGTGCGTCCCCAAATTCTGCGGTGCATCTGCAAAACCTCCAATGGACAGCCTTCTCTTGTGTTGCCCGCAGTTTGACGGTACTTGTACTGGCCATCTGCAGTCGGAACTTCGCAATCACTGGTCCAGACAGGCAGGTTTGCAGAGAGAAAGGTGTCGCTCTCCCGCGATACCAGAACATGTATGCTCACCAACCAAGAGACGTGCAGCACACCGTCAGGACAGGCATGGCCAGAGCTCCGCATTCGTTCACAATCGAGGGCAAGCCCACGCATGTGGTGGGGAACCTGGCGTCCTTTCAAGCTCACAAGTTGAGGTCCCGTCCACTTCCAGTCTGCGTGTCATTGCAGCGTGGCAGATAAGAAGGTGCTCATCTGCATGTTTCCACAGCAGGATTCGCTTCGCAGAAAGACAGTCCCATGGCTGCAGCGGGGTCGCGGGTTGGTGGTTTCATTAAGGAGAGAAAGGGAACAAAGGTAAAACCCGCTAGAAAAGGGGGTGGCAAGGTCGTAAGCACTCCCTCCCCGGCGACCAGACGACGGGAGTCCCAAGACCGACGTACCCCATAGCACCATCACAGACATCATTCATCATGCATCATGCATCCATGCAACAAATTCACAGTCCAGCACATGCATCAAATTCACAGTCCTGCAAAAGGGCATACTAGGCAAGTCCTGCACGGGCAAGTGTATTACACACTGTAAGCTCGTGGGTTGCGGGCGCGACCTAGCTGTTCTGGGTGTCCTCAATGAGAATGGGTTTCACCATGAGGTCCTGAAAAGAGCATCGCTTCTGTTGCTCCGTCGTCACCTTCTCTGCGGACTGTTCTAGAGCCTGCCGTTCTCGACTAAGGGCTAGGGCTTCAAGGATATTGAGTTGCTTGAGGTCTGGGTTTTTGTTGCAGCCGAAGTCATTCGGCAGAAACCCAAGAGTGGCCTGTCTTACCATCGTGCTACTCGGGAGATGGAAGCCCAGTCCTACCATATGCTGCCGTAGGTCATCACTTACATTCTTAGCATTGAGGATTGTGAAGGCAACCAGTGTAACTCTGTTACTTGGGTCTACCCCAGGGGCCAGATGTCCTGCATGCAGAAGTTTCCTAGCGTTGAAAAAGTAGGGCTCCGTGATGTCCTCGACTCGGCCTGGGACTAGGTTTCCAAGATGCTGTTTGAAGCATGTGCCTAGGGAGTCCTGTACCCAGAGCCCTTCTGCGCCTGTCGGTTCATGCAGGTTCACAATCATCGAGAAGAAGGGTCCATTCTTTGTGTCCCGGTGGGGTTGTCCTACAGAGCCTTCGCGGAGGACGAAATTAGTGTAGGGCAACATTGGGGCAAGCTTACGAATGAACCTGTTCACAAGCATCACGAAGTACGGGCTTTCAGTGCAGGTGGCCAAAGGACAGTCGTTATGTCGAGGGTTACATCCGGCCACGACGTATGTACCTACAGCATCTCTATCACCACGACGACGGTACGAACGCGGCACCATCCGAAAAAGGTTCACCAAGTCTTCACGTTCCGGTGGTTGTTCCTGACTCAGTAGTCTGTACGCCCTGAACTCCGCGGCTCGTAGCAGGTGGTCTTCTGAAAAACCGAACGACGGCAACCTCGGGTTGTGGGGGGGTGTCCGTAGATCCTCGGGGATGTCCTGGCTTGTTGGCTTTCTGAGGCGTTTCAGGGGCTGTTCCAGGGTTGCTTCAAAGTCCTGGTCCTGAGAGGAGTCTAAGTGCTGTGGTTGCGTGGGCTCGCAGGTGCACTCGCAGTTCGGGACTTCAGGCTCAGCAACATCTGTCAAGTCTATGACATGGTATGCAGGTCGGAGACGCATGAACATGTTACGCGAGAGTGGGAGTGCTCACTAAGCGTCGTCCTTGCAGGAGCCCAGAAGCTTTGGCAGAAGATTCGTCCTATGCAAAGGCTATTGCAGGCTGGGACGCACTCACTTACGCACCCTAGGCGAACACCTCAGCAAGGATCCTGTCTTTTGCTCAAGCTGGCTACAGTACACATGCAAGTCTGGAACTTTATGAGAAGGCCTACGCTCTTCAAGTGCGGCTCCACGGATTCTGGCGACAAGGAGTGCCCCTACGACCTGGTGACAGCGGGCGACGGGAGCCTCCAGTTCGGCATGCAAAAGGGCATGCAAAATGTCGCAAATTCAAATGCAAAGGACTCAAGTGCAACCAGTGCAATGCAGGTCAAAACAGTTCTCAAGTCATGCAAGCAAACAAACAAATTCTGGCAAGGGCGCCACAGTGCAAGCATGCAGTCGGACTGAAAACAGCAACATAGAAAGCTCTGGTATGCCGAAAGCATGCATGACTGGCTACCTCACTCCCAAGCGCTGTCACTCACATGCCTCCGCTCAAGGGGATCGTGATGCTACGACCATTGCCCACATCCACCCGGACTTGCGGTAGCCCTCCAGTCGTTCTGGCCGGCAAGGCAGTGTTCAAGTTGAGCTGTCGGGGCCCCTGTCCAACATGAGGCGCATATGCTGGCGGTGGCATCGGAGGTTCATCATGGTGGGCACTGACCGCCATCGGTACCGGTCTTTCGCAATAGTCGCGAATGACCCTGACCTGCTCGGCAATGTCCGCAACGGCAGTCGCCAGCTGGTAGAGGTTCTCCTTCTGCGTGGTAGCTTCCGCCTGCAGGAAGTGGTGTGCTGCCAAGAGCTCTTGGCCCAGGTCGTAGACCTGGTTATGGACATCCTTCACATGCTGAGTGATGCTCGTGCAGCTATCATAGTCCGTCTGCGTGATCTTCCGAAGCACTTCCTTCAGACCTGACTCCAGCATGGAGCTCTTCGCGGTGACCAAGCCACTCACATCCACTCCTTGCTGTTTGCCCGCGCTCGCCACTGCAGATACACTTTTGAGGACGTCCTTCAGCTGGGAGTCACTGGATTTGCCAAAGGTATCCACGTTCTGTGACATAGTCCCCATCTTGGCCGTCACGGCCCCCACGATGCTCTCTAGGGAGCTGATGCGTTTGATCAGCTCCTTGAGGTCATCCTGTGGTCCTTTGTCCATCTTCGCCACAGCCTTCTCAACCACAGCTTCAAGCGTGCTTGCCGCCTTTTGGTTGTTCTCAAGCTCCGTCTGGACCTTGGCCAAGTTTGGTGCCACACTCGTGATGCCGTTCAGGAGGCGGGACATGTTGGCCGCAAAGTTCTTGACCGTGGTGTGGCAAGCTTGCAACTCCTGCATCATCATCTCCGGGGTCATAGCCTTTTTTGACCCGGAGTCTGCATCAGGGCCCGTCGGCTTGTTGTCAGACTGGCTAGTCTGGTCTGTGCCGTCCCCATCAGCAGTAGGCGTTCCTTGCGCTGCCACCGGAGTGGAAACTTTGACAGGATCTGGCACCGCACTGCCTGAGTCTTGCACAGAGTCATCCTTTGTAGCAGGCGTGGCATCCTGCGATGGCGACGTCACTTGTGGTGCTGTCGCAGACGACGTCACTTGTGGTACTGTCGCAGACGCTACATCTTTGTCTTCCTCAGGAGCAGGCTTCTCCTCTTCAGCAGGGGGTCTCGACACTGGCTTTGGGCTCACCGGGCTAAGCCAAGCCTGAACATCCCTGACCACTAAGACGATCAGGAGTGTGAGCGCAACGGTCAAGGCCTGCACTGCCCAGTCCACCGGCATGGCTACCAGGCTACACGTTGGCTGGTCAAGGGCACTCGAGAGTTTGTTGCTACAGGTGCACGGCGAAGACATTTCTGGCCCGTCCCGCCCCCCCCCCCTTTGCTGAGTCCTATGCATGCTTCGCAGCGGCACATGAAAAGCTACCAAAAGCTTACAGGGACATGTCCTACTGAGTGTCGGTGGTTGTGGTCAGCACGCACAGCGTAGGACTACGAAACCTCTGCAAAAGCCTGGCATCATTAAGTGAGGTCCACAACGGCTGGGAGAGCAGGGGCGAGCGGAAAACTGCTAGGGATGTCACAGTGGTACGAGGCCCTGCTGAAATCCGCAAACCTGGCAAGAAACTTCCTGTCACCTGGGAACGGACCGAACGGTCCCGTGAGATGCTTACACAGCCAGTCTGGGGTCTTCTTGGGGTGCAGATAGCAGAACGACAAAAGGTCCTGTCCTACTTCGAAAGTGTCGAGGCTGTGAGCCCGCCAAAGGTGGTGCATAGGAACCTGGTGGCACCATATATGCGCTGCGAACGCCTGCAAGGGAAGGAAAACTGCCGCCTTTTGTTCCCAGAGTGTGGGCATCCACTGCCAAACTCTCCTGAGAAGTTCCCATGCTTGGAGTCTCCTGTTCAGAAGGAGGGGGTTCTCAGAAAGGAGCTGCAAAACTTTAGTGACTTTAGTGTGTTAGGATCTTGGGATTTGGGATCTGGCAGTGGCGTTTTTCAAAGGTTTGGAACCTGAAAATGTTGGGATCTAGCTCTGAGATCCGGGTTTAAGCACATGAAACAGTGTGAGGGTCACAGTCAGATGCCCTGAGCAAACGTGGGCGGGTTGAGGTTGCGAGGTTTCTTCAAGGCGCCGGTCTGGTAGAAGTAGACGGGAAAGGTGCCGAAGCGTGCCGTGAGGTGATGCGGCTGCACAGTCGTAATGAAAGCCTGGATTCTGAGCTACAGCCCCAAAAAGTTTAGAACGGAAAATTCTTCCTCAAAACGCCAAAAGGCAGCTAAAGATGAGCAGAACACTGGACGACATACACCAGCAAGGAACAAAGGTAAACCATTACTATTACTGTTACTATTCGGTTACCATTACTGCTACTGTTACTAGTACTATTACTGTTACTTTAAAGCCAAGTTGCCGTCCAGTCTCCGCTCTCGGAGGGTCTGGAGGAGATATCCTCAATGTACACCTGGGCTTGGAAGTCTTAGATCCCCTTCCTAGGGCTCACTGCACCTTGAATGCTAATCCCTACATCATCCCGGCGTTTGGAGTTTTTTCTTTTTTTTTGAAAGCCCCTTTTCGTAACTGCAGACAGCTCCGAAAGCCCTGTCGAGCAGGCAGCTTACCAGCCTCGGCAAAGGGTTCTAGGGTTTAGGCCGTTTCTGAAACTGGAGCTCTCAGATTACGATCTCCAGGGCGCCTTCCGTCCGGACACGCCCAGACGCCTGCACCCCGGCTCGACGAAGCAGCTCATCTGATACCACAAGAGAACCCAGCCAGTGAGGTAGCAGAGGAAGAGTCCGACTATCTGGCTAAGGTTCGTGCCGTAGGTGTGGCAGTCGTCGCGAGCTTCGTTGGGCTTATCCCAGAAATAGTCGCACTGCTTACAGGCCCCCACTCCGCCGGGGCTGTGCTGTCCGAGCGGGCAGCGAACATAAACCTCTGCAACTGGTGTGATCTGATCAGAAGCCTCGGAGCAAAGCGATGGGGGCACATTGCGATACTCCGGCTGACACCAGCATGCCCGGTACGCGCCCGGTGGCAACTTATCCTCAACGACTTGGCCGAAATTGTAAAAGAACTTCGTAGCAGACTGAGCTGCCTCGGCCAACACTCTTGGCCCTTCGCTGCCCCCACACTCTTGCTGGATGCTTAGGACACTGTTGGATCTGACCCCTACTCCCGAGAGCTCGAGCTCGAAGACCTCACCAATGGTGACAACTACTGTCATTTCCTTCTTGAAGGGCCCATGCCAGGTCATGTATCCGGCAGAGACGTTGAAGTCAGAAAATGAATCGCAGGCACCTTCGGTGTCGTTCTGACACCAGCAGAGCCTGTATAAACCAGGATCCTGTCCAGCCATCCATTTCCGTCCGGCAAGGGAGATAGGCAAGTACGCCCCGGAGAAGTCATTGTTCCACTGAAAACGGAAATTCTCGGCATAAGACTCGGGCGTGTCTGTCTCCACATCAGCGCAAGTGCTTGCAGGTGTCACCTGGATCAGTGACGTCTCCATGGAGAGGCCGAAGGCGCCCGTGGTTTCCGCCCAGCATCGCGGTTGACCCGACGTGCAGGTCTGCCTGTGAAGGCTGCCGGGGCCCACGACGTGCAGAGTCCCCAGCCTTGAAGAATCGAAGGATCTGTCCCAAACAAATTTCCCTTGACACAGCCCATATTATGACATCTTTCAATACTTTCACAATGTAAACACCGGCCCAGGAGCCTGTCACCTGCGGCTCCAGCAGCAAAGGTGGCCGGACTGCAGCGACAAACGGCATAGGCGCCTCAATGAGCGTCGGCAAGTGACAACAACTCACTCTTTGGTGCAGGGATGCTTAATTCTTAATAATAGCAATAATAGTAATAATAGTAATAATAGTAAAATAATAGGAATAATAGTACTTCGCCTGTCGTTTCACTGGGCAGAATCTCTTCAATTAGACCGAGGCCTGCCTGGTTCCACAGAGCCATGGGTTTCGTTGATTGTGGCTCTCAGGCTCTGCGGCGACATATACGGACAGAGACGCGGACCACGACTGTCTTGGCATGGAAAAATGCCCTCTGAATTGAAAGGAATAGCATCGCAGCAATGGTCAAGCCCTCCTCCGCAGGTCCGTTGCACACACCTCGGAACCCGAGCAAGAACGGGGGAAGATAGGATGAAATCAACTCAACCCGTGTTGAAGGTTTCTTTCTACAATTCAATAATAAGAAGGAAAGGTGGAACCGAGACGGACCCAGATACATTCTGGTGCTCGGGGGGCAGAGCACACGATCTCCCTTTCCAGCCAACTGGCATCGCCACTCTGTGGTGTTTCCATCTTGACAGACGACGAGTCCGTCAACTCCACTGTTTCCATCAAGCCATGGGCATACGCCGGCGTCGGTTCGGAAGCAGGTGTCACAAGAAGTCCTCGAAGAGCTCACCAAGATAAGATCTTCAGCAGTGACGGTGTCACCGGTAAACTGAATGGAGCACGGGCGGTTTTTCACGCACTCCCAGGTTGGCAGGGCACCCAGTGCATTGACAATACCAGCCGCCAAAACGCTGACGAAGAACATTGCGAGCACCCATGAATGTCTAAAAAGCGGGGCACACTAAACGACAATTGCAATTTGTGCTTCCACAACCATTGCCACGGCAGACTGTGAGCTTCGCAACATGTTGATAAATGGGAGCAGCCCCAAGCTGATATCCATCGAGCCAACGACGAGAGTTTTGCAGATCCCACAACTGTTACAGACAAAGTCTTGGTTAGTGCCCTAGCCATCATGAACAACAAATGTACGAAATAACGCTACAAAAGAACAAAAAACAATAATGAATGCAAAAGTCCGATGGAGCTCCCCCAATACCCCCCCAGAACCCACCACACCCAAATGCACTTGACAGGAGAGGTTCACGAGGGTGTGTACCATGTATATGTATACATCACATACATATACATTTACATACACATACATATACATAAACTTCTGTGTAGCAGCAACAACAACAACAACAACCACAACCACAACGACAACGACAACGACAACCACCAACCACAACCAACAACAACAACCACAACAACAACAACAACAACAACAACAACAACAACAACAACAACAACAACAACAACAACAACAACAACAACAACAACAACAACAGCAGCAACAGCAGCAACAGCAGCAACAGCAGCAACAGCAGCAACAGCAGCAACAGCAACAGCAACAGCAACAGCAACAGCAACAGCAACAGCCACAACGACAACGACAACGACAACGACAACAACCACAACCACAACCACAACCACCACCACCACCACCACGACCACGACCACAACCACAACCACAACCACAACCACAACCACAACCACAACCACAACCACAACCACCACCACGACCACGACCACGACCACGACCACGACCACGACCACGACCACAACGACGACAATGGTGAGGATGGCCTCAGACAAGGCGTGATTAAACGCACAAAGCATCCAGCGATGCTTTGGCTGCCCATAGATGATGCCATGGAGATATGATCATTTTTTTTTTTTTTTTCCATGATCATGTACTCGTGGGGCGCCTTGCACGGTTGGACGGCAACGGGAGTCTGGGATGAGCGCCTGAGTGCCATCCAGTCATCCAGCCTCTACGTTCACCTCTGCAGCAACTCATAATCACAAGCTTCTCGCGCAAACTTGCACAGGGAGCACAGAAGATCAACCTTTTCTCCGTCCTCCAGCTGCGCCAAGCGCTTTGCGCGGTTTTCACACACGTCAGAGATCGTCAGACAGCCGCCCGGCCACAATCCGCAGCCTTTGCAGCTTGCATATCTGAAACATCTGCGAGGTATGTTAGATCTTGCATCAAGCGACGACCTTTCTCGCTTGAGCTGAAAAACTTTTTCGTTTGCAATGGCCAAGTGCCAAGAGCACGTCGCAGCCAGAAAATGTGCCAGAAGCTCGACAGCTCCGCTGTTCAGTGGAGACGGCAGAGCTCTCGCCTCGAATCAGCTGGGTATGTCTCCAAGACCTCTGGCCATGAGAATCCCAAACTACAAGTACACCTCGCTGCCCCCAGTGCGCACTGCACGGAGCTTCGCAGAAGGCTCAGGACTCAAGATCCGAAAAATCGATGAAGCTGTGCGTAGAGTAGCCTGGTGGCGGCAAAAAGTCTTTGCATCTGCCAGGAGGGCCGGAACTCAAGACTAAACAAAAAAATGAACAGCACCCTTCGAGTCCACGTGGCAGGATGCCACAATAGGATACGATGCACCACCAGGGCCGTGGGCTCCTTAGTGAGACACCCCACAGTTCGGTGTCTTCTGTTCTGCTGCTGTGTTTTTGTCCCGAGGCTTGTCTTCCGACGTTCTGCACGAGATCCAAGCATCTTCTCCCCTTGCCTCGGAAAGATTTCGAGATTTTGGCCGAGGCTCAGAATGATGTAGAGGTGCAGTCCATTTGCATCCATGACCAGAAGATAGAAAAACAAGTAGAGCATGGCAACAACCGCGGCCACCCAAAAGTCCAGGAAGCACAGAGCTCGCGAGTAGCTCCACTGGCTAGCCAGGGCCATCGGCAGATTGAAAAGGTGCATGTTCAGCAGAAACACGCTAAAGTTCATCCTTAGGAATGCCCGCCTGTGTTCAGCTGCGGCGGCGGCAAGGATGATCGGAAACCTCGACAGGCATGATGCAAGATAGGTCCAACGGATGATTCCTTTTTGTTTCAATTGGCTGCCACATGCTGCCTCAAGCGATCCGAGGAGCAGAACCAACCACCAAACTGTGCTGGTCACAGTCGCCATGGCCACAACCGGGAAACGCAAGATCTCCGCTGCAGCCTGAAGGCCCAGGCAAATGAAGCCGAAGCGAAGCGTGAGCAGGCCATAGGAGATGGCCGTATAGCTCACGAACGGCCACAACCCGGTGTTTTTGACAGTGTAGGCGATGATGGCTGTCATGTAGACTGCACCTGCACCATGCCTCGGGGTGCTGGGACATTCGGGAACCTTGTGTGTGAGAGGCAGCAAGCCACGGATTGCTACGACGAGTAGGGAACCTTCCTATTTCCGTCCTCCTTATTCCGATCAGGCTCAGCCCGAAGAAGGATGGAGATGAGTCATGTCCCAGTCACAGTCCACAGACAACACAATAGGGTTGGTTTGTATGCTTGCCAAGTTGCAACATCCGAATCTGAAAGCTTGCCGGTGCAGCATCCCTGAGCTTCGACAAATCGTCGTATGCCCAGGATGCCGACAGCACGACGAAACCTTGGAAGAACTCGCAATTTTGTCAAAGCCCTGCACGCGTGAGGTCAAGCAGGGCGTGTGTTTAATCAAGTGATAAAGGACCGACGAAGGCCACCAGGAAAATGCAGGCCGAGTAAGACCACGGACCCACTCGCAGGTGCTCGGGAAATTGATCCTTGGTGATTTACGATCTGACTCGACAACATAGAAAGCATCTTCCAACCAAGCCAAGACAACCCCAATTGACTCAGATTGACTGCAACTAGGGAAAACAGGCATCGTCTAGCGAGGCTGCGACACACACGAGAGGTAACTGAGGGGAAAACAGGCATCGTCTAGACATTCATTCTGGGAGTCGAAGGTTGGCCAAGGACTGCTGCTTCCAGGCTTGTCCCACTCCAAGCCAAAGAAATTGCCGGACCTGGCACTCGTCTTTTGAGGATCCTGATTTCGGACACTTAAATCACTGCTGCACAGGAGTGGCGTTTCGGGACAAGTCGAGGTGCACTTTTCTATGGTGAAGCTCACGACTTGGGCACTAGTGCCTTGCTGCCTTTGGAGTACGGTAGCCGTTGTGCCGAAGGCGTTAGACGAAGACACCTTCGCTGCATGAGAAGAAGATGATGATGATGCCTGCCGATGCATTGTAGCTGTACCGTTATTGTTCCTGCTGTTGTTGCTTTTCTTGCTTTTGTTTGTGTCAGCTGCGCCGGCGGCTGCTTGCACAGTCAAACAAGACAGAGAGCTGTGGCTTTCCATCGCCCTTCTCTTCCTCCTTCGCCAGCACCTCCGCAGATGTGTTTCGCGGGCGCAATGTGTCCTTCACAACGGGTAATGCAAGATCGAAGAACTCATTAGTCTCCTCCGCTCGCTGAAACTGTCTGGTTGACGGCTTTAGTCTCTTCCTGCTTTCGGCATTTTCTGAAGATGCTCCGACTGTGCCCTAGATCATTTCTGACTTAGGAATTCCTGCTCAACCTCTCCAAAGCATTCCCTCCCTGGGCACCCTCAGCGCGTCCTTGTTCAGGATATCTTCACTCTTCATGGCTCAAGTTTGTTCTAAAGCACTAAAGCTCAAAAAGAAAAACCCTAAGGAGCACTCCCCAATCTAAATACTCAAGACCCCTACCTGGCCTGATGGTTAAGGCCCAGACCTTCCTATGCCCCGCAATTTGGAGGCTGAACAGCTTGGCAGGATGGTAGGAAGTGGGCAACTTCGGGTTCGTACACGTGAGGAGGCCGCCACGCCAGAGTCACTAAAGCTTCGTGAGACTGAGAGCAACAGCGGCAGCAACATCAAACGTCGTCGGAGCTGTACAAGATCCAGCATCTGCAAGCGAGATGCAGCTGAACCAGCAATGTCAGCACTTACCACTCAGACAGCTTCTTCACTCAGCTCTCTCTCCGGCAATGCCTAATAGAACCCAATCAAAGAAATGGAACCCAGACCCTTTTTCTTTTGCCGGCATCTGCCAAAGCCTGGTCAAGTGGCATGCTTCTCCGGCTTTTCGCTCGAGCGGCATCTCCAAGCACCAAGTGAAACAAGGAGAATCAGAATCCCGATAGCTGCCAGGTCTCCTCTCCATCCCAGGGCTGCTGGCAGCTTGGGAACCGGGTCCTGCTTCTCGAAAGGCTCCGAAATCGAGTTCCACTCGGCCGGCGGTTCAACCGCACCCGACAAGGGCAGCTTGAACCTCTCATCAGTGCCAGGATACACGACCGTAGCACCACCTTTCTCGTGCTCCAGATAGGACATCGCGCCCCCATATGTTTGGGATATCGCAGTATCTGCCAGAATGATATCACCATCGCAGCGGGTATGTGCACGGAAGTCTTTTTGTATCGTGTGGCCTACTACCATCCTGCGTGCCCCCAGTCTGGACAACACGTCTTTCAGCTTGGAGCAAGTCGCCGCTCCGCCGCGGGCGTAGTCTCTCGCCCAAACAGGACCGCGAGGGCCAAGAAGCTCAGATCTTGGGTTGGCCCTGGCCCCTTCAGTGAAGCCCCCAGATATTTCCAAGTCCACATCATCGTTCAGGCTGTCCAAGCTGCGATGTGCAATAATGTCCGGCAAGATTCCGGCGTGCACGAACAGTATTTTCTCAACAATTACAGCCACCGGAAACTTCCGCACCTGTGAACCTAGCCATCCGGTCGAGGACCACGCTTGCTCGCGCTGCTCTTCGCCTCCAAACCCTTCGATGTCCCCCTCAGAAACGTACCTCCAGTCATGCTTTAAGTTCATGATCTCGTGGTTGCCCAATAAGTTGATAACTTTGCCGCCGGTCTGAAGCGCCTGTTCACGAAGGCTAAAGAACAGTTGATAGATCTGCTTGGCATTGTCTCCCCGATCGACTATGTCGCCGGTCTGGATCAGAACTGAATCCCCACCAATCCAAGCGTGGCTGTCTGGGTCGATGAGCCCAGCATGGGCAAGTATCTGAACCGCTCGCTGAAAGTCACCATGTAGGTCCGCAACTGATATCAGCCTCGCTGCCGACATGGCTGCATTGCATGTAGATGAATGTGGCTGAGCCTTTTATCCTGCTGAATGACTGCGTACCCGTTTGCGACAAGGGGCAAAGCAAAGTCATGTCTAGAAGTGTGTCAAACAGCCGTTCCTGTCTGCCGTCGTCCACTAATTACTCGATTTCTCAATGCTGCGAATGTGGCGATGGAACCCATCGCAGCGGTACTGTTTGATATGGGCATGCAAAACGACTGAGTGAACCCTGCAGCGTGAGCACAGCCGACCACCAAACGAATTGCGCGCTACGTGAACTCGCCAGCCGTCCTTCAAGCCTGACTATGACCAAAACAAGCGAGATGAACGGGAGATGAAACCAGGCTTACGTCGAAGGCTTGCAAATTCATTGAGTCGACTTTTGCTTCGCACTTGGACCCGCCACAGCTGTGCTCACCCGAACAGGTCGAAGTCCATCTCCTCCTGGAGAAAAGCGCCCTTCTACACGCGAAAGCCTTAAAAATCAGAGCTAAGCCAACACGCCATGCCACGACTGATGGCATTGGAGTAGAGCGCTTCCCTGTGTTGCCAAGCCCGTCCTCTTCTTCCTCCTCCTCGACCTTCTTCTCCTGGCATTGAATTCCAGAGCCAACGTGACCTGATCCTAGCTCTCTTTGGGGGGAGCGGGGTCCGCCTGCGAGCAACGCTGCGAGTGATGAAAAAAGTCTCGGAGCGAAACGTCGCTGACCGATCCCTTCTGCGTGTGCGATTTCCAGACCAGCCGAAACTTTTCAAAGTATGAAACACATGACCGAAACTCGAGGGCCCGAGATGAACCCTCTGTCCTCAGCGGCTGGAGCAGCCCCTCCGCCGCCTGCAGCTGGTGCAGCACCTCCACCGCCACCGCCTTGTTGCAGGTCAGCCAGAAGTTGGATGATTATGCTTGGCCCTCGGACTTTATTTACATCATGTTCCGAATCTGAGGTAGGCTGCGCTGCGGTTCGCCACAGCATTTCATGCCAAAGGCCTGTTGACTTTAGGTGCAGATTTTGCGACTGCTTGTTCAGCAGTTTATGCTTAAATGTCTACGAGTCTACGAGCTGAAATGGGCGCATGAACCAGCACATGCAGTTCATTCTGTCATGCAGCAGCTGTCAGTCGGGTTCTTTACTCTCAGTTTGCAAGTTCATCGTTTCGTGCATGGATGTTGGTTGGTTCACGCTTCGACGTTCTCGGGGTTCGGCCGGGACGGTTTAACCGCCCTTGAGTCTCGGGTAGATACCCTTTCACGGCCAAGCTGACGGCCGACAGACATTGGCACCCCGTGCTTCAGAGCACTGTCCCATACTTATGGGATCGCACCAAAACGACGAAATAAAGTCAATATGGCCAAGAACGAAGCCCTTCTAGTCTTGCATCCCAATGCCAAAATGCAAGAAAACCTTCGGAATGCCTGGCTGTCACCGAATATGTTATCCAGGAACAAGATCTCCCGAGTATCATTTCGAGTTGACAGCCGCTTTCCAGCTTTGTATCTACATCGTTGGTTGCCTGGTTTTGAGTCATGCCATCGGCGAGTCACGGGTGTTCTTAGCTGTGCTCAATCCGAGCCACCGCCGCCGCCACCGCCGCCGCAGGCGGCGAACTTCCCGAAGCCCTCGGCGATCAGCTCGTGGGCCTGGAGAATACTCGGAGCAGAAATCTGAAAGGCCGCTGCCCGGCAACCGCACCGGCCTGTTTGCCCTCCATTCGCTCGCAAATCTTGTCGATGAGGTCGTCTTCGTAGCTGATTCCTCCGGCCTGGCTCGGGGATGCCATCATGTACACAGTTGCAGGGAGCATATGGCGTGAAATGGCAAGCCGTCTGGCCTCCAGGATCGTCTTGATGTCGGCAGCAGAAGGGCTCTCCTCCACGCGATCACAGATGGTAGCTGAACCCAGACCGATATTTGGGGCTGAGACTTTTACGAATGGCGTCTGCACATGCTTGGGCTCCGTTTCCTTCGAATTCCTGCATGCTTCATCCGTGGCAGAACTGTCTGGAAGGCCGTTTCGAGGATTTGTCGGATTGTCGGTTGCCAGATACTCTGCGCCGCTGTGTCGTGAAATTCGGCGGTCTGTTTGCACCTGCTCCTGACTGCAAGATACTGCAAGTACCACTCGCGATAGTGGCAATCGCGATCATGAGCATTGAGTAACTATGACTGAAGCCACAAACCCTAAGCCCCAAACCCTCAGACGTCCAAAGCCTAAACATATTGGACACACCCCTGAGAGACCCGGAGCGCGCCCAAAGCTCCTTGCCACCAAGCACGGCCATAAGGTAAGCGCCAAGATATTTCATCGCCATGGCCTCGGATGTCCACGAAATGAGCCGTGAGAAGACAACGGGAAAAAGTCTGTACCGGAAGCCCAGAAAACTGACTCAGACTGCTAGCTGCTCTTCAATATGCAAGCTTCACCTTTGTGGTTGCCATTCTCGGTCTGTTTGGCCTCGAGGCCCCCGCCCTCCTGCGCCCCCCACCCGGACAAAGAATGAAAAGGTAGAGAATTGTCACTGCTTTAACGCCCGACAAACCGCTGCGTTAAACACCACTAAAACCTGGCCCCCAAGCTTGAAATCAGGCTTTTTTTGCTGCAGGCTTGCTTGCAAGGACGCCTGGTAGTTTGCCGCTCTTCCGCCAGTTAGGACTGTGCTCGCTTAAAATCCTGAAATAACTCTCACCCAAAGAAGCCTGCACCGAAAAGACTCTCCAAAAATCTCTTTGCCGAGATTCGGATGGATCCTCGTGCCCCGCGGACCCCGACTCGCTGGTTCCACTTCTCGAGCCAAAGGTCTGGCAACAGTCAGAGCATCGCATTGTTGCACTCTTTTAAACCATGGCAAACAAGAAAGAGAGTGGAAGTGCGGGGCGCCTTGATGGTGAAAGGGGTCAGGGAACCCAAAAGGTTAGGGTCTCAGGTGTTTTTTCACATGTCTAGATGTGGGTTTCTAAGCGGCAAGGGGTTAGGGAACCCGAAGGATTGGGGTCTAGGGCTTTTTTCCGCCTGTCTTGATTAGGGTTTTTTCCTAAACCCAAAGGCATAACGGAACGCCAGCACGCTCAGACGTCAATTTGCCTGGATTCCCGGAAACAGATATTATGCATGTTCGAATCAAGCTCCCACACGGACGCTATCCCTCCCCTGCCGCCCTGCACAATTTCTCAGGTGGCCCTTCAACAACCAATTCCGGTACCCTCGGCTGCTTTACGGTGCTCTCGGACCACTTCGCAGAAAGCGGGTCGCCGCCAAGCCGCAAGCCCACAATGGTCAGCACTACGACTATGCTCTAGGTTTCCAACACAGCATGTGTGCTCTTTCGCTCGGTCTTGGAACATCCTTCCGGCCTTACCTTGTTTGTGCCACCTCTTCTAGAAAGAGCAACGCGAAACCAGCTCGGCTAGGAATGCAAAACGCTGATTGCCACTCTGGGGCCGGGGGTGTGGTGGCAGCTTGGATTCCGGGACGTCCGTCTTCACAGCCTTGAGACAAAAAAGTCAGCCAGGGAATGTCACGGATGGGATAGCAGAACTGCACAACCGATTCTCTCATCGAATGAGGCTAAGTAGTCATAGATGAACTTACAGACAGGGCCCCCCCTGGGCTGGACTCTTGAAATTGATGCTACCTTCCCAAACATCAGATCGAAGGGCTACACGTCAGCGAATGAGCTCTGCAGACCGCGTAAGTCATGAGTCCAGGTGTCCAAAAACCATGCACATCCGCAATGACCTTTTCGCGAATTTGTTGCCGTCTGTCAGCAAGATTCTCGTGTGTGCCTGCAACCTTGCACTCCATGCCAAGGTTACTAAGGCACGTCATGTCTCCCGTGCAGTCCTTTGGAGCGACACAAGTCTACAAATTTTCTGGGACCGAAATTAGAAGAGCGCTTCGAGCCCCACCTACTGACCTCAGAATGAGAAGATGTTGGAGTCTGTGTAGCCCATGCTTTGCAAGGCTGGAATGCAAGCTTTCTCTAACATCACCGGTGGACCACACATCAAGCATACAGTGTCCTCACTGGCAGGAAACAAGGAGGCGTTGGTCATGGCTGGAGTCACAAAGCCCACGTGACCTTTCCACGATGAGCTGGAGTTCTTCTCATCAGAGGGGCTCACGTTCTCGTCTTCGGAAGGGACTTTGTCGACGGTGAAGCTCAGCATGAAGCGGTCAGGGTGCTTGGCTGCCAACTCCTCCAGCACATCGCGTGCTAGGATATCATCGGGCGTCCGGTTCGCGAACAGAAGTCGTACCATGGTCTTGTCCTCCGGATCTCGCAGGATTGCTGCCAGCACCTGATAACATGGCGTGATGCCGGTGCCGCCAGCGATCATTGACATCTCAGTGACAAAGCGCGGCTTGCCATTCACAAGGCATTGACCCTTGCCTTGGTAGACAAACTCGCCGATGGGTCCCTTGACATCGATAGAGTCCCCAATCTTCATACTGTCCAAATGCTGAGACATCTTGCCACCGTCCGGAAAGCTAGGGTGCACACCCTTGAAGTAGACTTTCACAAGTAGGTCGACATGTCCTGTGGTGCTGTCATCTGTCATGGGTGTGTACGCCCGCATCACCGGCTTGCCATCCACCTTGGCCTTCAGTGTCATGTGCATGCCTGTGGGAAGCCCCAGCGTCATTGACGGAGAAGGCAGCTTGAAGCGGAAGATCCGGGTGTCGTGGCTCACAACGATCTTCTCTGAAAGCTCAAGCTGTTGGCTCTCTCGGGGATTCAAGAACGGAGCAGATGATCCAAAAGGTGAGAGGAGAGCAGCACCCAGGTACCATAGTGGCGATGCAAGCATGCTGAGAAAGCCCTGTGAAACTCCAGCCTCTGGTTCTCGCTCTGCTGTCTTCAATGGGCCAAGGTAGTAGTCCTTCAGCATCTCCCAAGCGCGCGTGGAATGCACTGCTTCAAAGTCCTCGGTGGATTCGAGACCACCGGCAAGAAGGATAGAGGAAGCTCCCCCGGGGTGGTCTTGCAGATATGGAGTGCCATCATAAACGTTACCCTTCACGACGAACCAGCAGCTCTTCTCGTTGTCATGCTTCTTAACTTCCTCCATGCTGATTCCTGCAAGCCACTCGTCCGTGGACTGAACCAACTTGCCCGCCTTAGTAGGCCTAATGGCCGCAGCTTGGCTGGCAGAACTGGCACCCGCAGCACTCACGGAGTCTACCTTAGCGCCCTTCCACACTGCAGCCACTGGCCGCAAGGGAGCCACGCCAGTCTTCCCCGGTGTTGCTTCCACTGCAAAGCTTTCGTTGAACTGACCTGCTTGATCAGTCATCCAGCCACCTGGCATGGAGCCCTGAGTTGGATGCTCGAACCACATCCTGCTGCCTTCGCGGTGGATCTTGATGCGGTAAATGGGGTTGTTCAACATTCCCATCACCGTCCAAGTGAGCTGCACAGGCTGACAATTCTGATTGGAATCCCAAGCGCGGCAGCAAATCTCTTCGCATGCACTATCCAAGAGACGGCTCATGTCCACCTCCGTCTCCCACCAAGCCCAGCACCAGTGCTTGTCAGTTCCACGTGCTTCTGCGATCTCATCTTCTGGCCTTTGGAGCTCAGTGATCTCCCAAGACTTGCCCGAATCCAAGGAGATCTCTGCTCGGATGATCTTGTGACCTCCGCCGGTGTAAGCGTATCCGGAGACCTTGATGGTCTTGGGCAAGTTCTTCTCTTCCACGAACGAGTTGTGGCGCGGCTCGAAAATCGCCGAGTTGATGTTCATGTGGTTGATGATATACTCAGGCTTGTACCACCATCCCTCTGCATAAGCAAGATCTGCATCGACATGGGGAGGAAGCACGCGGTTGTCGAAGTAGTGGTAGTGGTTCTCTGAAGGCTTGTCTGAGACCTTGGGAGACGGAACGTTGACACGATTTTCACATCCATGCTGGAGCGGGAGTTTTTGCCTCTTGCATAGCTGAATGACTCACGAAGCAAGGCTTAGGTACCGAAGCGGGTGCAGTTCGGCTGTTCCCATGCAGCACAAGAGGAATCTTGTTGACTTGACCTGGATCCAACAAGGATTGATGCTGCAGGATGAGCGCCAAAATCACATCAGTCGAGATGGTACAGACTAAGTTAGCAGATTGAAAACCGAGGACACGAGATGCAGCCTAGAATTGGCAGACACACACGACGGTGAGGCGTGAAGACAGGAATTACAACGCAAGAAAAGAAGGTCAAGCCAGTGTGGGATCTGTGTTGGGGTCTCCATGTTCGTGCGATTTCTGTCTTCCTCTTGTGCTCGCCGAAAAACACGGGCGTGGTTGGTATCGGTGTGAGAGGCGGGACGGTGAAGCCCAGAACCTGGACCATAAACATAAGATATCAGATCGCATGAGAAGCACCACTGAATGACAACAGAGGCGTAGACTCTAGACTCTAGACATCTCTAGACCTTACGGTTCCCAGCCTTGATCTGCTGCTTCGGACCCCGCTCCCCTTCATGGCCATAGATCTTTCTTCGGGCGAGCTCTCTTGAACAAGTTGCTTTGCTTACTAGTTACTAGTGGAACTCAGGTAGCCAAGCTGACGTGCAAACCAGAAGCCCACATACTGGAGAGCCATTTGATCATCCGGCCACCGATGCAACCAGGCAAGAGCGTGCGCAAGGGAAATCCATGGTCTGGGGTAAGCAGCTCTCCATTTTGCTTGAAAGCCAGTAGCACATCTCGCTCCCTGTCCAGCGCCCAGCCCAAATCAATGGAAGTGCCGTATGATCCCGTTTTGCCCTGCGGCAACTCACCCAGAGGACCTTCGAAATGGACGAAGCGATGCTCTTTCGAAGGCCGCGTGATTCCCACCGCTGCCAACAAGTCGCAGAGGCGGACACCTGTCCACACGGAATTCCCGACGGCTCCGGCTCCCCAATCGAATCCTTGTTACTTGGGGAGCACCCGACTCTCCGAAGTGGAGACTGTAAGGCAAAACAAACTCAAATCCAAAGGAAACGAAACTGCTTGACTTTTTCAAGGAACCGACTGTCTTCTTGGTGAGGTTCTGCTCCTTACGTCGGTTCCCGGCACAGATGAAGGTCACTGGGATCGACACAATGGTGCCCCATTCACCAGATGCAATCTGCTCCATGCTCAGGTCCACCGGCTTTGGGACTCCTGTGATCTTCAGTCGATGCTCAGACCAGGAAAGCTGTGGCACTGCTCCATGGTTTCGAACCACATACAAAGCAGGGGGTGTAATCCAGCCAGCTGCCTGCAAGTTCTTGAGAGGTGGCTCCGAGTTGAAAGGATGCATCCCAGTGTTTCGTAGCATGTCGGGATGACGCTTGATCCACTTGTCTGGGGTGTTGGCATCCCGTGCATCGACTTCAGCAGCATCCTGACGACCTGGCATTTCTAAGCTGGTGTCCCAAAGGGCTGTGGACAGCGCTATCCGGCCATCCAGGATCTTGCCGTCCCTTGTCGCCTCCATGGGTCAACGGCGACAGGCTAGGCAGCTAAGAGTCTTCGGGCCAAAAGCTTGGCCAAGCAAAAGGGAGTTGCAGGGTCGGGTCAACGCCCAAGGAGGGAAAGACGACACATCTCATATGTGTGCACATCTAGATCCGGCACTTCAAGAGAAACCCTGGGTTCGAGCTTTTCTGCAGGATCGGCGAGCATGATGGTAGTGCCTGCAACCTTGCACTCCATGCCGAGGCTGCTAGGCGCGTCGCGACATCCTTCGGACGCAACACGACAAATCTCGACAACCCGAAATCGAGCCCCTGCGCAGGTTCCTCCTGTGGCAACTGATGCCGGGCAACAGCCTCGGGCTCAGCCAAAGGACGCTAGCCCTGGCTGAAGTTTGTCGGCTGCATACCCATGTTAATGGCCGCATCATCCAGTTCCTGCTTGCTCAATCCTTTCTTCTCCATCAATTTGCGCTCCTCAGCCGCGACCTCCTTTCTCAAGTTCCGTCGCCACTGTGAGTTCTCCAGCTTCGTGACCAGCACGGAACCAAAGACCATGGAAAGAACCAGCATAATCGGAACGAGCCACCAAATTTGACCATCTTTCTCCAATTCATCACGCCGGTTGTAGACGTTTGCCCCAACGGCCAAGACCAAGATTAAGACAGGTGGGGAAGTGAAACCTCCTCTGAAGGTATCCCAGATGGTCACCTCTTTCAAAGGCTCTGCCGGCTCCGCTGGCTCCAGCGGTTCTGCGGCATTGGGCTTCTCATTCACATTCACGTCGTCGTTCGGGTCTACTAGCTTCTCCTTCACATTCACATCGTCCTTCGGGTCTACTAGCGGCGTTTTTGGCTTCGGATGATTCCGCCATGTTGCACTTGAGCCCTAACCTGCCGCGGCCGCCGGCAATTCTTCCAAGTCAAACTTACAATCTACTGATGCATGTTTCACCACACGCTGCAGGTCAGAAAAGGCACTGCCAGACTACCAGTGTCCTCCGAAATTTGAGAAGCGGGCTACGAAAGCTAGGCCACACGACTGCAACAACGCTGGCATAGACTGCTTTTGCTGCCGGTGACATGTTCGCAACAGCAAATGCACCATCATGCGATTGTAGAGAACCGACAGCTAAGAATGCGATACCCAAATCCGCGCCGTCGCTCGGAGGCGCAGGAGGCTAAGCATGATGCTACAGCCGACTGTTGGAATCCCACATCCCCACTCGCCAACAAAGGAAAGCAGAGTCGACACTGCAACGGGCAGCGTGGATGCAAGCACATGTGTAGTGCTACGAAGCTTAAGCCTACAAGATGATGATCGCAATACATGTTCTCGCTAACGGATGTTCTCTTTGACACCGGCCTACATAGAGATACACTTTCAATTTTGTCGTATCGTGGTGCCTTGACCGATCTCATGCCGTGTCAGAGTGTCTCTGCATCATCAAGAACTCGGCCATCTACGAGCAGTTTCGATCTGTCCTGCTTAAGTAATTGCTGAGGGGTCAGTCGTGAGGCTGCTACGGAGACGCACTCGGCCGCGTAAGTACAAAGCCCAAGTTGCCATGTTGCTTAAACAAATGAGTTGGGGGGACCCTCCTTCGTGGCTCTAAATCAATCATTTGCGTGGCGGCCCCCCGCGGTGGCGCGGGGGTCCCTTTATACTGTTGTGCCTTCAGATCCTGTCTGGGCATTTCGAAACTCAGGGATTCCCCGCTTCCTTCCTGCGAGTCGGAGTTGCTGAAGAATTTCGGCTCTTAAGCCAAAATGGACGTAGCGATGGCAGTTAAAGTCTGATACATGTATATTGGGCCAAGCTGACTCACAAGGTGGGTCAGACAGCTGTGCTCGATTGGATCACGATGTTTGGGGCCTGCACGGACCGCACTGTTTCTGTTTTAGCCTCGAACTAGCAAAGCACACCATTGTCTGTGAAAATGCGGTGTGAGCAGGAGCTCTGAAAATTGGCTTCGGTCCGCTTTGAAGCCGCTTTGGAGACAGGCCATGCTTTCCGCCCAGACTTCCATTGGCTTTCAAAGGAGTTAGGCTATCCATGCCCAAACACTCTTCTCGACGTGGCTTCACCAAAGCTGTGGTTCCTGAAAACTGCTTAAGAGTTTCAGATTGAGTCTGGTGACTCAGGTGTGGAATGCAGGAGTTGGCCAGCAGCTTTCATGCTACACTTACAAAGCTCGAAAAGACGCACTGGGATGCCGGCACGGGTTGCGGCCGTTCATCTCACACCAGGTAGGATCGACTAGTGACTAGTGCCATGTCAACTCCTGCAACTTAGGCTGGCTTTGTCAATATGCGCTCCTCCGATTCTGAAGGAATGGTCGAGTCGCTCACTCCGGCTTGAGATTTCCCAGGGGAGTCCAGATCTGTTCCACACCATCCTTGCCGGTAGCAAGCCTTGGTACAGAATGAGGCTTCCTCTGCGCTTTCCTACACTGAGGACCAAGGAAGTATCCCTCCTCAAGATAGACCACAACCTGAACGCGTCACTGTCCAGTGCCTCTGCGACTCGACAGCTTCATGCAGGCCGGCTTGTCAACAAACTACCCAGCCTTGCAGCAACTAAATGTACGGTGCACACTAAGGGGCTCAGCAACGACGATGCCGAGGAAGGACACCATGCCCATGCCTGAGGGGACACGCTATCTGAAAAGCCTGCCTATCTCCTCCGACCCGAACATATCGTAGTCAAGATCCTTTAGAGCAAATCGCACTCGACCCGAACACCCGCGAAGTTTCGCCCGAAACTCTTGCACCCCGTGGCCCAAGGGCTGTCCGACCGAGGCATCCCTGCCCGCTCCGTTTCAATCAAAGCCAGGCCGCGGCAGTTGTTCAACTCCCGGTCCTCTTCACTTTACACTCCACATTGCTTTTTGTGGGAAGGGCGGGTCGTGGTGCCTGGGGCAGACTTAAGCCTGGGTTCACGGATGACACTTGTATCTCCGAGCGGTTCCTTAGAGCGGCTCACCAGGTGCCCGTGCCAACTGGTAGCTGCAAGCGCAAGTCTTTGATGCCAGGTCTTCCTGACCTGAAAGTTCCGTTTAAAAAGTATCCTCCGGCTGCCAGTCCTTCCACTCCGTGTAGGTCTGGCCGAAGCCTGCCGGATCTCCGAAGTCGCCTGAAACTCTTCAGGGCTCAGGCACAGCTTCTGGCGGTCTGGGGTGGCCAATACCATGGCTTGTTAAAAGATTGTTATTTGCATGGCCGCGACAAGGAAGACACGCCCCGCCGTTTCTACCAAAGCACTTGCTGCTGCTTTTGCTGAACACCTCCGAATACCTCCAAAAGCCGCGACCCGGCACGCCCTGAAACCCTCGCCACAGAAAGCCTACCGATGGAACAGGGCTGCTCCCCCGAACCAGCTTCGCCTGGGTCCATCTCCGGGTCCTGCTTAAAGATGGTGAATTCCAGGGCTCCACCCCTGGGGTGCGAAGTGCGAAGGAGCAGAAACTCAAAAACCAATGCAGTTTCCCGACGCTTTCTTGTGGTGCTCACTCGGACCACTTCGCGGAAAGATGCTCGCCGCCAAGCCACAAGGCTACAATGGCCAGCAGCCCAAAGGTGCCTGTGCTCCAGGTTTCTCTATTTTCTAGCACAGCTCTTAGACTGGCTCTTTCGCTCGATCTTGCGACTCGCTGATGCTTCCAGCCTTGTGTATGCTACCTCTTCAAGTCTTCTGAAAAGAGCAACGGGAAACCAGCCCGGCTGGGAATGCTGATCGCAGTCATGGTGCCGGGGGGTGTGATGGCAGCCTGGATTCCGGAAGGTACGTCCTCAAAGCCTGGAGACAGAAAAGTCAGCCAGGGAATGTCAGGGAAGGGCTAGGGTGACTAGAACAACTGCACAACAAATTCTCATCGCGATCAAACCCAAAAACACTGCTCAAGTAGCCTCACGGCATCTACAAATCCCAAGCCTCGCAACCCCTGCAGCCCTTGTTGAACTGAAACACTTCAAGGCCTGGAAGGCGGAACCAGTGCTGGAAGACCATGCCAAGGGAGGCGATCATCGCCTCCGTTTCACCACTCATCTCGCGTGCATGGCCGTATGGCAGTCAGCTCCAGACCCAACATGACCCAACTAAAGCTTCGAAAAATGCGTGAAATGAGGCATCGTGGGCATGCCAGTCTACATGAGTCTGCATGGGCTGGACTCTGCCATTTCGGGCAACCTTCCGAAACATCAGATCGAGGCGCCACACGTCCGTGCTTGAGCTCTGCAGAACGCAGCTGGTAGAAGCCTGGCAAACAAAGCGCTTGGCAGGCGATCCGCGGGTCCGACGCAAGTCGTGATCGTGGCACGTTGTCCTTCCTATGTCGAGAGGTATCAACTGTCCAATCCATGCCTTCACGATCGCCTTCTTTGGCAAAGCCCAGCGGATCGAAGTAAAACAATGGAAGCGTCACACCTGCAGCTGGCGGCGCAGCTGACCGAATCGAACGCCAACCGCTATAGACCCAAGGCCTACGGGGTTCATGTTGCTTTGAAGCTCATGTCTTCTCGCGCACTGGAAATTCAACCCGACAATGCCTGGCTCCTTCTTGGGGTCGAAGGGGGGCTCTGCCTCCTCCAACACCTCGGATCGGCTCGAGGCTTCTAACACGCACAAGCCTGGTGTCTGCTGGAAGCTTTACATGCAGTCTTGCCACGGCCTCTGCCTTCCGTGCCACACGCTGACCTCAGTCAGCGAAAGAGCAGCGCATCCGTACACCGTTCTTGCATCCTCCCCTCATTTTGGCCAAAGAATGCTGCACCTTGCGCACGCCCTGCTGTCAGGCGAGGGGCGCGCCGCAGCCACGGAGCCCATGGCAGCAGCTGCAGTCACGGCCGTGGCGCCCAGGCCAAAGGCACCCCCAGCAGGCGCAGACCTGTGAGATGTCAAGAGCAAGGCTTAATGCAAATCATATCAGGCCGAAACATAAACAAATTCCTTGAGCACCCTCAGTTATTCTGATTTCCGATAAACCTCACGACCGCCTCTGGATGTTCTCGGGGGCTGCCGTGGCGGCATGCGGCGCCGCTGGTGGCACAAAGGACGGCGAAGCGAAGTACAGCGCGGTGCCTAAGGCACCTGTTGCGGAGGTTGGCTGACAAGTGGAGCCAATGTACAGAAGAAAGAACAATCACGAGACGGACGCCTATCCAGAAAAGCACGCCATGCTCTGCCTGCCACCAGGGGCGTGGACTTCGTCATGGCCACGCGGATGTGTGGCGAGCTCTGCGAGGCTGAAGCTGCAGATGAAAGCAGGGCAGCAGTGTTTTTGAACGGAGACCTGTCACGACCTGATATAGTCATGCCGAACATGCTAGCCACGAGAAGTTGCATGACCTGAAATCAACCGCAGAGACGTCAGCGACTTACCAACTCTCGTCTGTGCCACGTATGGATTTGTTGATGAATTTGTGACACCGGGGTGCATCGAATTTGGCTGTCCGTTGCAACCCAGCTCAGGTGAGAAGGGTGATCAAAAAACTACAAATTGACTGGCACACACTCCGGTTTAGCACCGAACCGTGAAGACCGAGAAAGCTTGCACTTGCACCAGAGAGTCATTAACACATCGGCTTGGTGTCTTCCTCAGCCACTTTCGACTTGTCGAGACCTCTGCTTCTCGAGGTCCGAATCACCGGGCCTGAGCATAAGCAAGCAAGCTTCAGCTGCCGGCAAGCTTACGTCTTCTAGAACATGAATTGTCATCATGCAGAATGCAGCATCGCCGTCATAGGATGCGGTGGTGCAAAATTGGTAAAGGATAGCTGAAGCGCACAGGAACCCTTGAAGAGCTGGCCGCTGGCCCGCTTTAGCATGCGTCTAGGGTGCCTTACAATCGAAGTCAATCGAAGCCCAAAAAAGAAGAAACCAAAACAATCGACAACATCCCAAGTGGCCGTATCATGCCCCTTGGGCCGTTCCCACAATAAATCAATTTCAATGGGAACTAATCTTGCGAACGTCCGCCTAGGAGTGCTGCCTCTTCAGCTGCATGTCCCTGTCCCATGTTCACCTTTGGGCCTGTGCCCTTTTGCGAACAGATCCTCACGATGTTTTCTCCTTGGTTACCTACACAGAATCAGAAACTGTCCGGGCGCAGTACACGATTGTTTGACACAACGAACACTCCAACCATCCCCGCCCTTGATGTGTTGTGTTGAATGCGCCTTGACAGTTCTCGTTTCCTCGTGTTGGGATTTGACGTTCACACTCGGCATGCCTGTGAGACCTTCCGGCGACACGGTTCCTTAAATTAGCGAAGTGCTTGATTCAGACGTCCTGCAAAGGAATAGTTACACATAATAATTGTTGGAACGGGAAAGTACGTAAAGGTAGCTTGCTTCTCTGCGGCCAATGCCAGAATCCGTCTGACTCGAACAGGCCAGTTGAATGTGGAATTGCTTGCTAGGACACCTATGTGTTGGTGCCCGTTGGATTTGGTGGCGAGTCGGAGGGCCAGGTGAGGCTTTGGCCCTTTCAGCAGCTTCGATGGACGAGTCGGCTTGGTCCGCCCGGTAGCAGAGTAGCAAGGTAAGGGTAGCTGTTGCAACAGGCTTCAGGGGTATGAATCCTCACTCGCTTCCGGTTATTGAATTCTCGAAAGCTCAGCTAAAAGCGTGGCGTCAAGCTGAGGGAACGCTCCACCTGAGTGCGTGGCAACCGTGCTGGCGCTGAGGGGATTTCGTGAGCTCGGGCGCGTCGCCGTCGCCTCGGGCGGCCGGACCCACTCTGCCCTAGCTGGAGGTTTGCAGAGTGGGATGGGAAGTGGGAAATCCAAACGAAATCCGCGCCAAGACACCGTAGCAACGGCTGTCGGAGATGTGCCTTTCGGTTGGTTGTGGGCGACCTCGAATATGCAAGACGCGGCACGACAACACCTGCCCTGCCTGCGAGCCTTGCGACAAATCCCAATGTCTGCAGAGACCTCACCGCCCCTGAAACTCTAGGAACCAGGCAGACACCGGCACAGCGCGTTCTCGCCGCGCAGTCTTCGGTGGGCCTGGGCGCTGTGCTGTCTGACAGTTCTGAGCCCAAGGCTAGAACTGACATGGACTTCCATGACAAGCCAGGGGAAGACTTCAGGTCGTTGGCTCTGAATGTTAGAAGCGTTGGACACGGGGCCCACACAGCATGGACGCTTGGATTGAGTTTGGTGTTGCATGGATGTGGGATGTCAGGTCGGCTTCACGGTGACGAAAGGTGGTTCTTTAGCAAGACGTCCGAGCTTGCTTAGGACCTGCGCCACGGCTTTTCTGCAAACATCGCGGTCGTCACCACCAGCACCGGCACCAGCAGCAGCACCACCATCATCGTCATCATTATTAACATCACCTTCAGCATCACCGTCATCAACATCATCGGCGTCATCCTGACCGCCGTCGCCATCTCCATCGGCAGCTGTACAGGCATCACTTCCATCTTCGTCTGTTTCAGAATCATCCTCAGCAGCAGGACCGTCGCCAGGATGATCAACACAATGTCCCTCGTGGTTTTCATCACGTAGTATCACGCATGTGCTTTGCAATCGTCCCGTGGGGTGATGACTCGCTATTCACAAACTAGTTGAAGATACATTGACGTAGACTCGTCTATCTTTACAAGTTGCCAGGACTTCTTTGGTTGTGGGTTCCTACTCTTTCCAGAGAACCCTCACCGTCTCGCCACTGTGCCACAGCAATCAACTCCTGCTGCACTTTGTAACCCCGGAACGGATGCCTAGGATGTGGACCTGGCGGTTTTCAGAAGGTACAGTGGAAACAACAAGGCGAGCAACAATAGTCCTGGTGGCACCAGTCAATCACCTAATTCATCATGTCAGATAATGCGTGAGAGGGACACATGACACATGAAGGATTGGTTAAGTCAAGAATGTCTAGGAACACACATTCGCCAAACCTTATGTGGAAGTGATCGGGGAGGGGGGCATGGCCCTTGAGGAGGATTTTCAGAAGGCCATGCACCCCAGTGCTGCGAGGCGCTCTGTAGAACACCCCATAGGTCGGCAGGTCCCCTGGAAAGCCGAAGGGCTCCGAATGGCTCCCCTTCGGTACGTTCTCAGCACTAACTGCGCAGACCACGTCCATGACATGCCCCCGCGATTGGCTGTCACAGCGCATTCGTCGGGGCCTGTGGCCGGGGACCTCGAAAACCTCAGCCATCCGTGTGGCCGAGGATGTCGCCGTTTTACAGCAGATTGTGACGAGGACGCAGGTGAATTTCATAATTTCAGGACGTTCGCATGTCTCCATGTTAGGCCTCCTATATGTCACTATATGTGGTTCTCAGAGCTACCGGCGAACAACATGGAGACTCGAAAATCGAGACGAAAGCCGCCTCGCGCAATAAAACACTGACATTTAAACCAGCTCGCCGAGGCTGAGGGCAACACTTCGTGTTTTGTCGCCAGCCTTTTGAATCATTGAAACTTCCCCGCGGCACCAGTGCAGGCCATCTTTTGTGGAGCTATCCGACCATCCAGAACACAGGAGACTGACACAGTCACGCGGAATAGTCGTTGCTGTGCGGATACTGCGACTGCGAATTGAAATCCTAACCTTGTGACGGTTTCGAATGTTGCCTAAAGTATGTACATGGTATATGCATTGGATGCAAGCCTGGCAAATGCTACGGAGATTCACGATGTAGAGCAATAGTAGCAGCAGCTCACACACAGACGTATGAGGAACATGGCTTCATAAGCTTCGCTAAGTTCCCGAGTGTGAGATGCGCGGAAGTAATAATGATATAGTGTGGGCTTGCCTAGCAGCCTTGCATCTGCCGGGAAGCCGGAAAGGGTGCTACCACCTAAAGAAGTGTGGCGATGACTTTTGTCATCGCCACGCCTACATAACCAGTGGTCCCTCCAGGCCACTTGGCCGCTGACCGTTAGCATTGAACAGCATGCTGTTCCGACCGGACTGCCGTGGCAGGAAACTGAGATGACTGCGTCTCCTTCCCAAACCTGAAAAATTCTGAAAAGAATTCGCAGTCACATCCGGTCCGGGAGCGCTAGTTGACCTCCCTCGAGCATCGGAAGGTGTAGGAAGCCTCTTCTCATAGCTCCTGTCCGCCCTAGCCCCTACTTTGATCCAGCTTAGCGACTGAAGCTTCCTCCGGTCATGGTTCTCTTCCGTGTCGGCACAGGAAGTGGCCCCGCATTAGGTTCCTCTGCAGCGGTGGTCGCTGAAACACAGAAAGAGGTCACCTTGCCAGGGAAGTGTGGAAAGTCACACAAATGATTTCAATGCGGGCAGTGCAGCGACAATTTTGCTACACGGGTCGGTGCGGTGCTGGGCCAGCACAAGCTCTTCTATGAATTGCCGCACCTCGTCGTCAAAGCGCATAGCCCATTGCTTCAAAGCTGACCTCGGGGGTATGCATGCACCGGCCGCACCGGATGTAACCAAGACGAACGTTGTCTTGCTGCTATCCGTAGCGACCACTGCAAAGGCGCAGTCGGAGGCTGGTTGAATCGAACGAACTACTTCTCCCACACGAACATGCTCCTTTAAGCATGCAGCAGAAGAAAAATCCATCTCCGCATCAACTGAAGCCGAACAGCCCAAAGTTTTTGATAAATCCCATTGGACCACTCACTAACAGCCTGTCAAGCACCAGGACACTTGACATCCTTCGAGTCCGCACTGCCTTCCATTTGGTCCTTGCGCTGCAAACTACAGGGTTCGGCCGCCGTGAAAAAGCAGACAAGTATGAAGGAAAGAAGGTGAAAAACTACTATCGGCAAGCCGAATCGAGGCCAAGGGCAGCTTTGCAAACACGGGCAATGGTCAATGAAAGAGTACTATGCGAAGATCCGAAAACTATCCACGAAGCCGTCCTGAAATCCGGGGCTCCAACAGCCTGAAACCCTAAACCCTAAACCCTGAAACTTCTCTTAGGAAACTTCTCACCATCACTCCAACCTGAAGCTTCGACGATGCACTCCCTCAGTCTCGTACCATCACACCACTGCAAGATTGCATTGCTGCTCATTTCACTCTGCAGAATCATATGATACGATATATTATATAACCTACATAAATGTGTGTATATATATATGTGTGTATATATATATATGAATGAATGTATATGCAATTATAGTATATACATTCTAGTTAGTACCTATGAAGAGATGTCAAAAAAAACTCTTCACAGCCGGGACGCTGCCAGAGCAGCTGGGATCCAAGCATAGACCTCGGCCTCGCTGGAGCTGCCTCAGCATGGAATTTTTTTGTCACTTTAATATATATAAATATATATATATATATATATATATATATACATACATACATATATATAGGGCTTCAAAAAGTGAAGGGTAGTTGAGGGTTTGGGGAGCATTTGGGGCAACAAAAGCATGTTTTATGGAGCTTGGGAGTCTTCGTTTGCGAAGGAGGCACAACTTTTCCCTCTCGCATGGCAGGAATCAGAGTCCACAGGCGAGGAAGTTTCGGGACAACATGATACAGTATGCAATGTGTTCATCAAGAAACAAATTACAGCACCGTCTTAAACGATGCATTGAGTCTTTCTAGGATCAAGATGGTGGTATTTTTGTGCAACCTGTTGTTCAGGTCACACTTCCCCCAATAGCTTCCCCGATTAATGCCCTCTCTGTCTCACGGTCAACCATAGCAGCCAGCACAAGGTATTTTTTGAAATCACCCAAATGTGTCCATCAGCAGTTTGCCCACTGAGCATTTTTACGACATTTGCAGTCACTCCAAGGATGGCTAGGTCGCAATGCCATCCCAAGCACAGCCTGCAACCCAACCCGACACCTCCATGGACTTCGAGACAACCCCGCACGGCCAACAAACTTGAGCATTTTTCAGAGGGGCCAAATACCTTTTCCGAAAACATTGAACCAAGAACCACCAAGCCCGGCAGGACCCAACATTTCCCACTCGAGCTAGGGAACGGAGGATGATCATCGCATTGGAGGTCAGCGGAATGTTCCGCACCATGCCTTGGCTACGCAAAATATGAACCGAACACGGAACAGGCACCCGTAGTGATACACTCGGCACGAGTGGCAGCGGTGATCAGTTATCACTTGCATCCTCCTTCTTCTTCGTTCCCGGGTCATCGTCAACATCACCGTGTCTCGTCGTCATCATGATCATCGTCATGACCAGCAGCATCATCAATAGCACCACCACCAACACTGCCATCACGTAAGCATGAATATGATTACCAGCCACATCAGCACCACATCATCTCGTTCTCCGACGTCGCCGTCATCGTCGTCACCAGTGACACCAGTGCCACTAGCGTGACCATCACAAGCACAGTCATCATTATACTCACATCCATCACCAATATCAGCAACAGCGGCAGCAGCAGCAGCTGTTGCCGCATTGTCACGTCGTTTCCTTCCTACTCACCTTAGGACCTAGTGGCACCATTATCAAATCCATCCCTGTCCTTGCCATCTTCATCACTGTCGTCTTCCTTCCCGGTGGAAGCATCATCAGCAGATCGCACCATTATAAAATCGCCTCAAGCTTTGACCGTGACAATTGCTGGACTTTTCCCATCACCATCAGGAACACAACCATGGCCAGCATCAGAATCATTTTGCTGAAGATTTTCACTGTCGAAACCATGAGTTCTTGACTTCAGTACTGTCTGCATGTCTTGCCTGGCTGAGCTTGCAGTGCCATGATACTGATAGTGCTGGTGTCTGCTCGCGCTACTCTTAACAGCAGAAAGCTCCCTGCGTGGACGGAACTTGAAGCACCGCAAAAGTCGTAGACCCAAATCCGAAGCAACAGAAGCCATCCTGAGTTTCGCCGGAGCACAAAGTCCCCCAGACGGCGGAACCTCACGAACGGAAGGATCCAGCTTCCTGGCGCGGCAGCGAACGACGAGAACTGCCGCCACCGATGCAAACAAGAACAAGGAGTTGCTTTGAGATCATCTAAGACAAAGAGGAGCGAGTTCAGGAACGGAAGCCCAGCAAAACTGAAATGAGAAAGTGTTGTACCGAGCCATAGAATAAACAGAGAACTCACGATTCAGCCATATATTAAACTGCACTTTATGGCCAATGTAGCTCGAAAAACCACATATCGCAGCATCTGCAGTCTTCAGTTGCCAAGTGGCAAGCTTTTTCTTCCCGGGGTGCGCGGCTTCAGCTTCACGTGCCTGCACATGTCTCGAGAGGTAGAAATAGGATCACCGTATAGGATCACTTCGACAGCTGTACGACTTTCCCAATCCTTTGCAAGGCGCTGGCAGGCTGGAACGGAAACTGAGGCTTGTGCTGTAACATGCGGCGATACGTCGTGGGAATTTCCTCAGCACTCAGAAGAATCTGCCAGGATCTCTACAAGTACCCCTGCAGTGCTGTGTATATATATATACATATAGTACTACGAAGACTTCCGAGTGTGTGTCTGTGTATGAAGATTTTAAATATACATATATATATATACATACTTACACACACAAACGGAAGTCTTCGTAGTAGTGGACCTGAAGCTCCGAGGTGCTCCAAACTGCCGCGAGTTGTCCCTGAAAACCTCTGAGGAACTGCCTCGAGCAGCGACTTTGCTGATGCCCATCCGACACTGCATGTATCAGACATTCATGACTGGCACTCTCAGGGCACTCTGATAGCTCACTCTCCTCACCTTCCAAGATATTTACCTCGAAACAATTGGCAGATGGCGCAAGTAAAGAACGTTTGCCACGCATGCAGCCTGTGTTCAACTCAACATTCATCAGCTGGCACCCCTGTACGATTTGCTGTGCCCATGTCCGCATCCTCTAGTTGATGGTAATCTTTGAAGGCATGATGCTAGAATCAAGGGCATGGTATGCTATGCTATGGCTGGCGGCACTTATGTCGCAAGCTCGTAGCTTTCGCGGATTGCGTCACTCTGAGCTGCAACACGATTGCAACACGTCTGTCTCCAAGTAGTCTTGTCTCACTCTGACCGGGCCTGACTTCTCCAAGAAGTGGCCACCCAGCAGTGGCTTCAACTCTCCTGAGAGCAGCGGGAAAATGAGGAGACTGCCGAGCTGGGCATCGCAACAGGCAAGTAGTGGCTGGTGGCCTTTGGCCGACATTTTTGCAAGTGGTTGACAGGTCAGGCGTCTCATAAGGAAGTCGATGAAGGTGACGAAATCTTTCGCAGAGGGCCGCTTGGATCCAGGATAGACACAGAACGGCATAAAGCCTGAAGAGTTTGCTCGGGACATCTGACTAAGGAACTAAGCCGCAAGACATAGCCAGGAATGTCGGCAAGCACAAAAAGCCAAGCAGCTGTGCCGCGGTCTCCATCTCCCTACCTGTAGACTGTAGGTGCAATTCATGCTCAGCATTGCTCAGCCTTCATCATGAGCCACACTCAAGATCACAAACATGTTCCTTGGCGGGATCAATCTCCCGCAAAACTGACGAAGTCTCACGAGATCATTCCTCCCGCATGTCTACAGACGGCCGCCAGAGTAGTTTTGCAGGCATTCCTAACTCAGAAACAACAGCCGAACACAGCAGGATATGGATCTGAACACCTCTCGCGACTCTCCAGCCAACGTGCCTGGATGAGGACATGATTGTCTACCGGCCGCCAGACGCGCAGCGCATGCAGTGTCACCTGCACGGCAGCAGGAGTGGATATGCTTGCTGGGACAAGGCATTATTTACTAGAATCTTGTGCAGATCTCATATGATCTCATAAGAGAGTCTGCAGCGCAAAGGCAGTTGGCAAAGGCGGCACACGTTGACACCGATTCGGCCGCCAGCCAGCACGAGGGGGACAAGAGGCGCGAATTTGCCCAGTCGAATCAAACTCACCGTGCTTACTTCTGTTGTCCAGCCGCCGGCTCTGGTCATTGCGGCTGATATCAACGGGTGACATATACTGTACTCATTCCAAATCTTCAGGCAAGCAGCAAATCGCTCGAAAGAACCATCCTTGGTCACGGCACCATCGAAACAAAAGCTGACCAGCAGAAGCAAAAATGCGAAGTCTTGCCAGTGAAGCCAAAGCTGCCTCATGGAAGCGGACCTGGCAAACGCCTGCCTGAAGCTCGCCAACGATGCCTCAAGCACGGAATGACTGGAGGTGAACTTGGAATCCACAACTACACCCAGCCGGAAGCTCTCAGCGTTTGCGGTGATTTCGGTTGGTTTCGGTTCCTGCCTGAAATGGCAAGCATCAGCCTGGGATCCATCGATGACAGCTGGATGTCCTTCAGCCGTGCCTGGATGCTAACGCAGGGAGAAGCGCAATCACCCCGATGATGGTGAGGACTGTAGAGGAGGACGGCATTAATCGTGACCCGACATGGCCACGGTACGTGTGGTGTCAGCAGCAATTACTCCAATTCAGTGGTTTGTGCTAAGTGCTGGACGCGCACGGTACTGGCAAATCAACGACAACCGCCAGACATGATGGAACTGACAGGTTGTGATGGTGATTCTTGTATCAGCATAATATGCCTATCATCAACATTCATCAACATGAGCCAGTGGTTCGATTCAACAGCATCCGAACGAGTACACTGGGGTTCGTCAAACGAATACACAACAGCAAATGAATAGAAACGATCACAAGACATGTTTCCTCCCGTCAGACCATATCATACCTGTAGTAAGAATCAAAGGACCACCCGCTGGTCAGAGCAGCTGTCAACAACCAACTTCTACCGAATTCCGACATTGGGTTCCCATCCTAACCAGATCTCCCTGCTCAGTCGTGCAGCTATGGTTTCGTCCAGCGGGAGCTCCTCCCCTAAGTCGTCGAAGTCGTTGTTGCCTGAAGCTTGGCTAAGTACTGCTCCTTCGACAGACTTCGCAACTGCTTAAAAAGCCCGCACAAGCCAAGCGGTGTCCGAAATGGGCCAAGGAACTGTAGCCAGCCCTTGGCTGTTGCACGCGGAATACGGATCATGCTTTCAGCATGTCACCATAAACAAACCATGCATTCATCACAGCACAAAGGTGCAACAGCGGCAAGAATACTAGCTGCAGCGATGACAACGAAAGCCACCAACATCCCTATCCTACTTCTGCTACTTCTGCTACTGCTCCTGCTGCTGTTCCTCCTCCCACTCATCCTCTCCTCATCTCCTCCTCCTACTACTCCTACTACTCCTACTACTCCTACTACTCCTACCACCATCACATCACTACCACTACTACTTCTATTTCCACTCCTAGTCCCAGCGGTGTGCTGCTGCCACTGCTTCTGCTGCCACGACCAGTACCAGTAGCAGCCATGCTAAGAAACACTAAGTTAAGAAGTATCACAACAGCAGGTGGCGACAACGCAGAGAACAAGTGTGAGCACAATGCTCAGGATTAATGTCTTTCCTTTGGCGTTGATCGGCAGAGAGAATAAGGCTGAGGCTGCAGGAATCTTGCCAGACAGTGAGTGCATCAACTAAAACAAAGGTTTGTCAAAACCACAAACAAGCAAAGGCAGGAGCTTTGGCTGTCACACTGCGTCATTAGCTGTCAGAATCCGCTGGGCCAGCAAATCGGACCACCATTGATCGGATTCTCGGAAACATGTTCCGCAGAAGTCCTGTGACCGCTGAACTGGACGGCCGTACCCCATCCAAGCGCCAGAATCTGAAGCCGCGGCACACGTCCAGCATGGCAGTGGACCGCTTCCCCTTGTTGATGGCACGGAGGGCGGACATATCATCAAGCCTGCAAGCAGCGCCATCCACGCTTGAAGCGAAGGCTTTGGGCCTGGCTCGGGAGCTAGCGGCCAGGCACAGTACCGTCCACATCTGCCAAGCAGCAGGTCTGGTGAGAGAATCTTGGAGCCCGCCAACCTCGAGTACGCGGCTGTGGACTGGTCGTCAAGACATTGTAGCATCTGCATCCCCCTTGATCGGCCCCGCTGTCATTCATCGCGTCCCTCAGTCCCTCAAAAGGAGCCAGGGCACGATTTCCGCGCAGGCGGGAGCGGGTCGCTCTCCAAGGTCGGCAGATGGAAGTCCTTGGAGGCCTGCTCCGAGCACCCCACTGTCAGACTGCTTTGCCTTTCGCAGATATCTGGCCATATACAAAGGAGATAGAGATAAATAATTAGAGAGAGAGATATAGAAACTGTAGGTAGCCAGCCAGCAGGTAGGTCTACATCCACGCCAACTGCAGGTACGGTAATCGTTGGTCGTTGGTAAGCATCTTGGCTCTCACTCTCTGGGAACAATGTGGAACCAAGCCCGGAGCCACCTGACAAGTTTGAACTTGTCGGAATCTTCCTTCCCACTCTCTCGGTGTGGAGGCCCTCTGAGCTCAAATGATTCAATGGGGGGCGCTTGCTCACTTTGGGCTTAACGGAGTTGGCATTCCGAAGACAGGGCGTCCCTGCAACCCCATCCACAACCTTCGACCCAAGTCTGCGGTCAGCCCTCGAAACCTGCCCCAGCATGTCGCGTGTGTTCCTTGGTGCCCGGAGCGTGACATGGGGAATGTCGTCGCGTTCACAGCGCAGAAATAGAGCGGTCTAACTTCGCCGAAGTCTCTGGTCTAGAAGCTGCAGCTTCTCGATTTCGACCTGGGACCACATACGATGCGGGCGCCGGGCCTTGGCCGGGCACTGTCTCGTCTGCTTGCCATGCTTCATGATGCAGCAGTGCAAGTCGTGCTGTTGTGCTGACGTGTTCCCACCGAGGCCGTGGCCAAGCCCCGATCGCTCCGCATATGGGCAATTGCATCCGTCCTCGTCTTCTTTGCTAGCTTTGCTTCGGTTTTGGGGCCTGGCTCTATCGGCAGGTAATCGATCTCTCCCTCTCTCTCGATTTAGTGCAGCCTTGCACTCAGTCTGGGTGGGCCCTTGGGTTCGGCAACACTTGTTCCGGACTCCTACAAGTGGATGCAGCGGACGGCCCCGCTTCCAGACTTCTATGAAGAGTACTGCCACTCGAACGGAACACAAGTCCTCATTTGTTGGGGGACTCGTGCTAAAGAGCCGAGCTGAGCTATGCAGCACTTGGCTGTTCACATAGCATGACACCATGAACGAGCAGCACCAAAGAACCTCCCATGAGCCCTTCCGCGGAGAGGAATCCGATGTGTTTGTATTCATACACTGGCAGCCGGAATACACATCCTTGCGCAAACACTTTGACTGACCGCCTGGTGCACCCGATACAGTCACAGATTCGGGCTCCGTTGCGGCACCCTGCAATAACGTTCGAAACTTGCCGGGTTGGTCAGGAATCCGGTAGCTTCGCGCAAGCTTGATTGACAAACCCCACACGCAGAAAGACTTGCTCAGAGCACAGGTGCGGAAGGGACCCCAAGGCGGGGCAGCTGTCATTCCGCGGCGGTGCCCGGTTCCTTGGCCGGGCTCCGTGCAAATGCTTGCAGCACATACAAAAAACACAAATCTGTGGTCTGTGGGTGATATGTACCGGCACCTGGAGTGAGGATCCCCCAAGATAGGGGGCTTCTGATCCTGAGACTTCCGGAGTCAAAAAGACTCTTGGTCCGACGAGAAGCTTCGACGTTGAGGGACGTATGTCCAACGCCGGAGCCATGGCATGGGAATCTGCTCTGCGCGCACTTGCACGAAATGATTTCGAATATCCATCTCCGGGTCTGTACCTCTTTAGCTGTGCGAGTGGCTGGTGCTTGTGAAGGTGGCTGAAGCAATTGTAGGGCGGTAGGGTCAATCTCGAGTTGCTGTTGAGTGGGGCCAAGCTGGTCTGGCCCGCTGAAAGGGAACGGGGCACCCTCGTGAACACTGTGAAACAAGCCTTTCTACTCTGCATAGCCAGGTGCTGCGTGTCGAAGCCGCATCAGGCAGAACAGAACAACTCTGGGCCCAGGAAGCTCGGAATCCCCGAAACACTAAGGCACAAAGACAAAGCGGGGGGTCCCCGCCCCCACAGCCCTCGAAGCAGCACGACACGAGGGCCGAGGGCCCGGCCGGAGCTCGGAGCCTTCGGATTTCGGGAGTCAGGACATCATGAGCAAGGCTAGGGCGGCTAGGGCACGGAAAGGAGCAATAAGAAGGTGCTAGAAACAGCTGCCGGCCCCTTCGCCTGTCACTCCCCCCTGCTCCCTCCCAAGAGGGCTTGAACTCCATGCGTCTCTCGAGAAGAGGGCTGTTCGTAGGCTGTGCCCCAGACCATCTGCAACTGGCGTGGCTTCATCTTTTCTCCTGGCACTGCAACCAGGAGATTTGAAACTGAATCTGGCATCCGCTCAGGAGACAAGCTGCTTTGCTTGCAGCATCTGTCATTGCAGGCGCGCCACGATTTTCCGTTGCTGGCCGCTGGTCCTATCTGACCTGTCATGCAAACTTTTGGCTACAGAAACGGATCACTCCTACCCCCCAAACTCCAAACATCAACCAAACCCAGCAGGCTTTGTTCAAAAGAGCTCGCCCTGCAGCAGCCGCCATGCTTCCTTGTGGTGGGAAAACCCAGGCCAGGCTTCAATTATTAGGGGCACTATACTTATAACTACTTGTAACCCCGATTCAGGTACTTGATTATTAAGGTAACTATACTTATAACTACTTATGACCCAACTAAGGTACCTGATGATTAGGGTAACTATAATACTTATAACTACTTATAACCCAAATTCAGGTACTTATAACCTTACTTACCAAGTCCCATGATCCTCCAAGTGAAAGGGCTGCGGCTGGGGTCTTAGGGTCGAACTCTGAGTGCTGTTGCCCGCGCTACGCAGTGCAGGGGGCAACCCGAAGGCCCACTTTTGCGAGGATGAGAAGAAGCAAGTCCTCATTGCGAGCTATGCATCGCCGCGAGGGTCACGCTGCCTCTTTCTGGGCAGCCCTGTATGCAATGCAGACCTTGTGTCATTAAGTTGCATGGAGGGAACTCCTTGCCCCTTTGGATTCGGAAACTGTATGCAACTTGAAAATGGAAGGCTAATAATAAATTCCGGACGGCACAGAAGAGCTGAAGATGCAACACAATGCGATCTGTTGCAAACATGCTTGCAATATGACGCCGTGATCCGGGTGCATCTTGCGGCTATTTCGCCGTTGCGAACAGCATTCGCCAAATGGCTTTTCTAGAAAGCTAATTGCAAGAATCGATTGACAATTGGAAAAGACGTCACACCCACTGGCATTGGAGACATCCTCAAGAATGCCGGCACTGCAGTCTCAATCTTGCGAGAATGATCTTACCTTCTCACATTCTGGAAAGCGTCTCGGACAAATTTGATGAGCCCATAGTGCCGTGTGCCTACTAAGGGCAAAGACTGCACAAATCAGAAACTACCAGCAGAATCAGCGACGAATCAGTGCTGGGAGGTCGAGTGCGAGTGCGATTTCATGTGGTGGGGCAGGCCGATGCTTGCAATCCAGTCCTTACAGAAAAGAACTTTGAAGGCCTCATGCATGAGAGTCCATATTAAGCACGGCTGCCAAGAATTCGCGCTGGTCCACGTAAGGCTTCGCCTGCCCGAAGTGCCTGGGAAAAACTAGACGGAAGTGCCGGAAAGCACGCTCTTGCAAAATAGGGTGACCCTGGGTCCTAATGCAAAGAAACCCGCCTAACCTCCTGTCACGAAGCCTTTGCCATGATCATTCAAGCCTTTGCTGCTATTGCGCAACTTTCACATGGCTTAACCAAAACAGTCTGAAGAGTCTGTAGCGACATGCTCTGCACGCACATCCACATCGTCTGGTCATGGAGCTTCAAGGGATTCAAGGGCTGAACATGGGATGGCTGTGGCCTTCCTGTACTACGAACATGTCAGTCGTATATAGAACGGCCACGCGCGCTTCGTCTGGCGGTGGGATACTTGTAACTTATGATTTATGATAGAACTTCTCTCTGACTCTCCTCTAAATGGTCACCGGCCAACTATGATGAAGCTCTGCTGTCGGCAAATATGGTACTCGGTGTACTTCCGACACGAGCACACCAACGCAACATGCGCAATAGCAGAATGGCTGAGTTGCTGATAGAGCAAGCTGGCGACGTCCATCTCACTCATTCCGCTCCTCATGTCCTCCAGCCATGTCGTTATATCAAAAACAGTAAGGCGTCCGGTGCGTTTCTGGTCGATAATGTTGAAGAGCATCATGTAGTCGTCTTGCCAGCTTTCGCTGTCCGTCCCATCTCCAGGTGCGATTGCCAGGGCTGCAACAGCCTGGAACTTGCTCCAAGTTAGCTGCTTGCTGCCATCGTGGTCAATACTATCGAGCAGTGCTTGGGCTGCATCCTCGGAATTGGGGAAGCCCATGGCCTTCCAGTGTGCTGCAAGGTCTCCCAGCATGATCTCTTCATTGTTGTTGATGTCCAGACTACCGAAGATCTGCTCGATTTCGTGCTGCTCGCTGTAGGGCAAGGCCCTGAATAGACGCAGCCCTCGCTGCCAGGTCTCGCGTATCCACTTTTTGGACCACAAGGCTTCGTGCGTCATGCGATTGAACAGCTGCACCTTCCGAACCACTGACTGGAACTTCTTCGTTTTGGGTTTGGCAACCAGAGAGCTCTGCTTGGTCATCGCAGGCTCCTCTGCGTCCAGCGAAAGGGTATCCTTTCGGACCATCCTTTTGGCGCGAATGATGGCATGGGCCCTTTTCATGGTTGAAGCAGACACGTTGTTCTGCTGTGTGAACTGGAGCCTTTTCACTCGCTTCTCGTATCCCATCAGCTGCGCGAGCCGGATGTGAAAGCGAAGAAGCCCAGATTTCGTCTCCAAGGACACCTGTCGCACAATGGCATTGTCCGTTTCATCTCCAATGGAGCTCCGGATCGTAAGCCTGAACGGGTCTTCTGCGCAGAACTTAAAACGAGAAGCCTCGGCCGAGATCATGGCCGGATTAGCTAAGTTGTGTTGCACCAAGGACGAAAAACGAAGTGCCTGATATTGAATGAATACGCTATTCAGCGCTATGTAGTACATCATCTCATGGTCACAGGATGTCTCCCGGCTATCTGAGGCCTCTCCAGCAGGACAGGCATGACCCCAAAGAGCATCAGCGGCCACTCTGCCCACGCCATTGCGTAAAGGACAATCTCCTTGGGATCCGTGAAGGGAACGCTCAAGTAGAAGAGGACCAAGCAGGTCACCTGAATCGCTTGCCAGAAAGCCAGGAGCTCAAAGATGAATGCGTACCATTCCTGAGGAAAAGCACACGGGGCAGGCCCGCTTTGTCGGCTAGCTAGGTCGCTATGTCATCTATGTTTTCTAAGTGTGCACTTGGAGCAGAGCGGTACAGCGCGGTACCAGGTCATTACCACTTCTTCCGTGCTGCGGTCGACAAGCTCGCGCGCTGGAAGTTGGCAGCTGGACTCGGCCCCAGCTCCACCTTCTCCATTTCCACATTGCCTTGGATACAAACGAACAAAGCGAACAACTACAGTGTTTACCAACTTTATCTTACAACGCTATCTCAAGGGTCCATGCTGCAGAGGTGCAAAGTCCAGGAGCACCGAACTTCAGCTCAGCATTGACGGTCGAGGAGACGTCATACTGCTTCCTTGCAGTTCCAAGACGTCTTCTTCTTGTATGTTTCAAATGTTCTTTGTCGTAGGTCATAGTACTGCTACAACCAGGTCCAGGTACCCTTCTCTTAGTCCGGCGAGTTATTGAACTTATGCGAACACAAACCAAGCACTACGTGATAGTCAGAGGCAATATCAGAAGCTCCGCAGGACAGTCATCTTGAAGATCACGACAACCACCCTTCATGCATGCAAGGATCACGACCAATATCAATAAACTGGTGGCAATCGCCATCGTATTATGTCATATTCCTGTCAGTCCAGCTTGGCAGCTGCACAGTCGTCGTCATCCCCTCGTTCAATTGTGTCGGGATTGGCAACGTCCTCTTGCTCAATGTCGTCGTCGCGCGCGGCTGAGGGGTGCGCGGCGGCTGTGGGTGGCAGTGGAGGTGAAAGTGGCGGTGATAGTGGTGGTCCGGGTTGGTAGTTGCAGTGGAAGCGGTACAGTCGTGACAGAGGCAGCGGTTGTAGCTGAGACATTGCCCCACCGTGGGAAAGAGTCACACAGTCCAGCGACAGGGTCGCGATGTTAATCTTCGCACTTAAGGACCTCCAAGGTGGATCCAGACGCAACCAGCAAGGGAATGACACCGTGGAAAGTTAGGGTTCCCTCTCTTTCTATCGCCAGGGCTAGGGTGTAAGGGTTTTGGGAACCTCTATCTCTCTCCTTCTCCCTGGTGCGACGATTGTCTCGCCATGGCACTGATACTCCACTTGCTTTGGCTCTCCAGCTACGGTAGCCTATGCAACTACCGTCGATTTACTGCGGCCGATGCTTGGATTCGGCCTGGGTCAAACTGTCAAACCTTCCTTCCTTCCGGAAGCAAACGCCGAGCTTGCATCTGGGAGGCATGAGCATGTTGGTGCTCGTCCCGGAGAACAGAATCAGAATCTTTCGTGCATCCTCCGGCAAGGTGGGTGTCAAGCTGAGCGTGTCATGCTCGAGGAGATAGCCCACAACAACACCTGCAACGGAGTCTGGGGACCGGATCACAGGGGTAAACACTGCAGCATCGATGACAGAAATAAAGCACTGGCACGCTCACCCTGGCATTGGCCTGCCATCAGGAGGAAGTAGGCTGACATGCACAAGAACTCGCCAACGGCAAAAAGATCCAAATGGATACAGCCATACCTCACTCGCTGCAAAACAACAGCTGAAACGGAGCAAGCAGCGGCTAAGAAAGGGCAAACCTTGCAAATCCCTGAATGCCTAATTTCGCTTTTGCGAGTCCAAGGTTCAGCACTGGCGTCAGGAGAACTAGCGATGTGAGCCAGATCCACATGTCCACCTGCCGAAACCGGAATGCCATCGCTTTGGGGTTCTCAGGAGTTGGTGGAAAGGATCTTAGTCTTGGATGTCTTGGGAAGTCCTCCACCACACACACGACGATGTGGCCCAGCCGCTCGCGCAAGTAAGCCTCGAAGCTGAACTGCCCTTGGCGTGGGTCGTGGTGGCTCACGAGTGACTGCAGGAACACAGAGGATTATTGTGCGAAAAGGCATTAGGACCAGGAACTGCTTCTGCTTGTCGGCCGAAGGGGCGAGGGCAGGAGATGTGGCTACGGCTCTTGCCCCTGGCCGAGCCGAAAATGAACTGGTGTCGAATGGCTCGCCACATCACCAAGCTGTGCAGCGTGTCCTGCACTGTGCCAGGGTCGGGCTTAGGGCTCCAAAGCTTTCGGCAGGGCCGCAAGGAAGCAAACTCTGCACACGCCAGTCATGATGAAGCACCATCCACCGCAAGAAAGACACGTCGTAGGTGAAGGTGTCCTGCGGTGCTGCAGTCTCATGAGGCTCCACGCGATTCCTGACCCGTTAAAAACCTTCAAGCCGTCATTGCCAGAGTGACAACTTGCACCAAAACTCCATCCCCGCAAAACCCCGGAAGACTGGACCCAGTCAGCTCTGCGACCTGCATGTGCAGCTCCATTCCCCGGGGTGCATGTGGCACGGCGACCCTCTCCAGGTACCCACTTTCGCCTCAGCTGGGCAGGGTTTTGTAGTTGGTGTCTTCAATGGTTTCAATCCCCGCCGCTGACGCATCGCTCCTCCTGGCACTTTCATTCTGGCTCATACTTGACACATTGATTGTGCCACCCGCTAGAGCGAAAAGCTTAGATGAACTTCTCGATCAAGCATCCCTGCTTCCAGAACATGCAAAATCCGAAGTGGTGGGCTCTGAACCCTCGAGCCTCGAGCTTTCGGGGGAAACCCGACCAGTGCCAAGTTGCAGAACAAGGACTCGAGTGAGTCCTGCCGCAGCCCCCACGCTCGTGCGCGCTCATACCGGCCCCATGTCTCAATGACAGTCTTGGTGACACGGAGTAGTGCCATGGCCTGAAACAGTAACACGGCCATAAGCAAAAAGATCATCATATGTACTGTCTCGAAGGACTCCGCAATGGGGTCGCCTGCTTCCATTTCGTTCAGACTGTCGCCAAAGACTTTCTTGCCCAAAATATCTTCAGTGACGTGACTTTGCGTCATGAGAAAAAGGAACATGCCGATGAAGCCCAAGCCAGAAAACTCCTTGAACAGTACGTCCATGATCTTCAGCCCGACATGATCCCCGGCGTGGCCCAGTGAATGTCGAACCCAGTGTTCGATCGACTCGAAGCAGGCATTCAGCATCACTACTACAGAAATCTCTGCAAAAAGTAGCCAAGGGCAAAGAACTACTTCCTCCACAAATTCCTCGAAGATCGATTCCTCGTGTTCAGGATGCTCATGTGCTGGCTGGTGGTGGGTGTGGTGGCCGTGACTGTGAGAGACATGATGAGACCGCCATGGCCATGGGAACTTCCAAGTAAAGGGTAGACTCCCAGCGTCACCCCAAAGATGTCGCAAGCAGTACAAAGAGGCTAAGACTGTGAGCAGCTTGGAGGCACCACGGCGGCTCGCTCGCATGGCACCCCCTCTTAGCCCTCGCTCTGTTCTGAAAGAGCAGTGGAAAACTGGAGTCCGACTCCTGGTGGTGGTCGGATCGTTTCTCGGGATCTGCAAGAATTGGGTTTTGGGTGAGCTTGTGTTTTTGGGGGAAGCTGTTGGCTGACCGGTTGTTGAAACAGGCTGCAGTCTGAAGGCCATAATTAAGACCTGCAATCTGTTCGAGACAGTAGCTGCGGCACATGTACATGACCAGCACCTGAAGACTCTTGCACTACAAGCATCACAGGTACGGTGCTGAAGCCAGGAAGCCACGCAGATCGACGGCGACCAGCAGATGCTGCGGCCGAGCAGGCTCTGATCCAAATGATCCGAATAAAGACAAACCGATGTGTGCCAGTTATCCTATCATGGTGTGGGTCAGCGTGGGTACCTTGACTGCTCGGCAGGCTGCCTGGTAAACTCCAAGAAACGGTCGGAAGCAACAGACATCGGGCTTGGGCCTACTGCTATGACAGGGTCTCTCTGGAATTGCAGAGGGCTGAGCTCGAGCAAAAAGGCGACAGCAGTCGAAAGAGCCAGAAAAGACATCCTATCGTAACACTTGCTGTCTGGTACCCTTATGGTAACACGTATGGTCATTAGCCTTATGGTACCCTTAGAGCCTTAGAGTACCCATATCATATATTATGGTATCCTTGGATACGGGAGCAAGAGCCTTGCCTCCTGCTGCTTTCTCCTGCTCTCGGACTGGTTCCTGACAAGGGCGGGGGTGAGCGTCCATCTGCGCAAACCGCAGCAGCAGCCGCTCCCACAGGCCCAGAAATCACGAACTTTGCCGAACCTTCGGCGAGCTGATGTCAAAGTACTGCGTGCTGCCGTCCTGTAATCTCAATCTGGGTGTGAACGAGTTGTCTTGACACCAACTAGCCCTCTTGTCCATGTCTGTTGTCTCCCATGGCCTTCATCCGCCTTCGAGGCTGCACCTGCCAAGTGCATCCGGGCAGTCCCAGCGGCAGAACCTGCACCTATTGCTGACCCCCCCCCCGCCCGGGCCCCGTAAATACCCGGTAAAGGAACTCCCCAACTTCACCTTCGCATCAGAGGCCACTTGGAGTGGCCGCAAGGCCGCAGGATCCTGGAGAGGATCGAGAGACTTCTCTCGGGCAGTCCAAGAAGGGCTTCGGTTCTCCCGGACAGGTCCCAAAGCAGAGTCAGAGAAGCTTTCAGGCTTTAACACCACCAAGACTGCTTCAGGCCGAAGCATAGCCTGCTGAAAGCAGTCTGGGAGTCTAGAATTTACTTGGCCTCAAACAATACGAACTGCAAGAAACTCCTGGATCCCTGCCACCGGGTCTTCTGCGGCGCCCTGCTGCCGGGCAAGCCTGGACCTCAGCACCTCAGAAGATCCCGACTGTTTCAGGGACTCACCAGGTTAGAGTCAGATGGGACTGTGCTTCCTTCAATCGTTCCCTGGCCAAAACTCAGACAGAAAAGCAACAACTTCAAGTCCATCCCAGAAAACAGCTGCACACCTGCACAGTGGCCTGACTGCCGGGCCATGTAATTAACTATGTTAGAAGACCCTACCAACATCAAGCCTGGAGCCTGGACAGCGCGTAAGGGAAGCCACCCAGGCTCATGAAAGACAGGTGCCAGGTCTCAAAAAACGAGGTAGTGCGCTGCTACGGAGGGTTGGCAAATCAAATTCAATGCGATTCAGCTGCAACTACATGCTCAAGGCTCGGCAGTGAGACTGGGCGTCCGGCAGCCAGCTCCTGACGATTTCTGAGCAAGCAAGAAGCGTGAATCTTAATAATCTTTTCGACCAGCCCCTAGCCCCAAGATTCCCAAGATGCTTCCAACTTGCAAGTTGTTCTATGCCGGTGATACAAGCATGCCAGCAAGATGTTTTCGCTTAATGGCCTAATGATAACTGCATATCTGGGCTCCGAAGCTGTCTCAAGCCTTTGACTCATGGCAGCAGGTACTTGGTAGCTAGAGGACTCCCTACGAGCGAAACGCTGCGTCCTGCCCGCGGTTTTCTGCCAGCTCACGCCAACGGCCTGCCTGGCACTTTTCTGTTCAGACTCCGAAGCGGGAAGAAACCAACAAACAACACTAACGCATTTGCATTCAGGGTGCAACGGCCACCGAAACAACCCGATTTACGTTGCCAAGGTCTACGTTTCATGCTCAACCCAGAGGCAACACACCGAAGCCACCGAAGGGCTCGCTGTGGCAGAATGCTGGCTGTGCCTCCGCGCGTGCCGCCTGTCACAATGAGGAAGCTCAGGAAGGCGAAAGGGCGCCAAGCAAGGGCATGCACGTCTCTTTTTCCCAGGCTGAACCCGAAGGGCGTGTGACGGGAAGGGCATGCACTCGCGCTCTACGAGCAGCCCAGCAAACTCGAGAACAAAACAAGAGCAAGACTACTCAAACTGACCTTGCACATGCTCTTGCAGAAACAATCCAAGTACTGGAACGAAACCAGACATTGGAACAGCCTGGCTGACAAATATCTGGATTTGGAAGTACCTTCAGCAGCGCATTGCGGCTGATGGCAGACTGACATGGGCAGTCATGTACAAAAGTTAGACAGCAACAAAATTGAACTGGAACAGCTCCGGAAAGGCTCCGGAAAACGAAACGAAATGAAACGAAGGACATCGGCAGCTGAGCCCCTTGTTGCTCTTCTTTAAATTTCTTTGTTTTGAGGGCTCAAATCGGCAGCAGCCGTGAACGCCTCAGACATCTTGTTGTTACGAGCGAAGCAGCTCGCAATGTCACAGCAAGCTTTGCGCAATTGTGTGGTCCACACGTCTACGAATCCCGTGGCGTACAGAAAGGCGAAAGAACCGCCCAACTGCACCGACATCTTCGTGATCAGCGTGGGTTCCCACAGAAAGCGGAGGTGAGTAAAGACGGTAAACCATGTTCCAACCACGGCGACTGCCGTCAGCAACTGCATATTGATCTGATGCGCATGCACATAATCCATCTGCTTCCACGAGCCTCCCGCGCCCAAGCGGCCAGTGAACAGCAGCAAATTGGTGGCGTCGAAGGTGATGGCCCAAAACGGCCGGATCAAGTACTCGATGCTCTGTTCCCAACGCGCACGGCGCACTGTAAGCCTCCAATGACATGATGTTGCCAACCAAATGGCGAGCCATCACACCAATGCCATACAGCAAGCCAAGGACATGCACCACGATCATCAGCGATGTGTACTTTCGCCACGAGGGCTTAATGCAGAACATGGCATTGAGCACCGCGAAGATGTTGAACAGCCCGAACCAAGGCATCAGAATCACGTACTCCTCCATGTTGAGGTCCTGATGGCCTTTCGACGAAGGCTGTGTCCAAATCCTGCAGAACATCACTATGAATCCCGACAGCACTTCCAATGGGAAAATGTCGGCAAAGCACACCATGCCCACACTTTTGTGGGCCTCCTTGTTTAGAAATGGTGATCTCACGAATTGGTGTACCAACAGCAGAGTCATTACCAAGGACACCACGTCGTGGAGCACGATCATTGGCACGAGGATTGGGTGGTGAGTCGCGTTGTTGCCCAGTAAGGTTCTGCCTAGCTCCATTTGCGACAAGTCCACATTGCGATACTGGAGGATACTGCCAATGGTGTACGCCAACAAGAGGGCACACGAAATTAGTCCGAATTTCATCGGAAGCTCTTGTGACTGTCACAAGGCCGTGGGCCGAGGGATCGATCTACTTTGATGTGCTTTTGAGGAACAAATCCTTGAGCCGTAGCCATGTAAACTCGCAAACTGAAGTCAGAAATCCCGTTGCCCCGACAAGCAATCTTGCCGCGTCTTGCCTGCAGCTGCTCATGCAAGATGGACCGCCTGCGGCAGCGTAAGAGCGTGACGGACTGGAAGGCTTGGCTTGCGAATGGAGCACGCTTTGAAGGCAGGATACATGCGTTGCAGATCTGCAGAGCTGTCCCTATCAAGCGTCTGCCGGGTACCAGTGACTTCGCGGCCTGAACGGAGCTTGGAATCTGAGGCGCAGGCTCCCCACCTTCATCAGACGCTGCGTTCTGAGGGGCAGGAGAAGCAGAGAACTCAGAGGATCGCTGCCACTGTCACTAAATGGGCCATCGTGGACCTTCTCCGGCCTTTTCTTGCATCTCGGCTCCACAAGTCCATAATGCAACATTCACCGCGTTCATCCGACCTACGATGATGCGATAGATGTCGACAGATTGGCACTGCAACCCTGCACAGCCCAGTCACTTCGAAAGGCACAGCCGCATGCGGTACGTAGCACAAGCGTCCTCAAACAACTAAACCAAACATGTCGTGCGGCTTGCACAGTCGTGGCATGTCTGTGAGCACTGGGAGGGCACCAACTGCTGGAGCACGAAGCTCCAACATGCTCTGAAACAAAGCCACCCGGTTCAGCCAAGAATCTTAGACACTCGGGGCTTCAGGTTCCGTCTGATCTGTGGCTCAGTGTCGCGACAGTTCACGAAATGCTGACCAACTCCACGCAGTAGCTGTCCTTATCCCAGGCCTGCTCTAGTTGAACAGCAGAGCAGTAAATAGGCTACATTCAATTCCAGCACAGATTGCACAGAGCTCTGTCACTGGAGCAATGCACGGGGAATCTCTCTGTATTGTCGAGACCGGGAAACACACTTTCATAGAGTCCGGCCGCTTCCCCAGATGTCTGGGACTACAGTCAGAGACGGTCACCGGCGCATTGCATTGGCTGCAGTTGAAACTATGCTCACAGAAGCTGGCATCGATCTGCCGTGCCAGCTTCGATCATGGACTAGCTACGCGGGGTGCCAGCTTTCTGTGGGCATCGGGCAGCCACTGGACAGGAAACACACGGATACTCGGCAAGCGATCGATAAAACAAACCGATGCAAGTGAACCTTGCGAAGAGGCCATCGCGTTGTTTCGCGAGCGCCGGGTGCTAGGCTACAGTGCTGAAATTATCAACAGAGGCTGCTTCTACACTGGCCTACACCAAAGCGATGAGGCACCACGAAAAACCACGACCCAGCAGAAGTGATCAGGTCAGGCCTGTCAAGCAAATAAATTCGATCAGGCCTGGCTGCCTGGCCTCACGCAAGAAACTCCGCGTGCCCTTTTGTCACGGCAATTCCTCGCATGGAAGACTGCTTCCGCTTGGCGTTCAGAGACGCGGGGAGGCAGTCGGCACTCAGCTTCGGCCCGCGACCTGCAACTGATGTTCAGAGTTCCCTGTCGGCGCAGTGGCAGCTGTATGAGTTCTGCGTGTTTCGAATAGCGGTCCAGCCCTTCAGATCTTCGCGGTTCGAGGCTCGGGACACGGACAACGAATGCTTGCAAAACATCTCAGGACCCAGGGCTATCTACGACAGTTTACACGAGTGCCGCTCCGCGCCTTGTTTCGACCCCAGGCTGTTGAGGCTGCCGGCAACGCGGATAGGAACTCGGAGCGCGCCGCCTGCGCTTAGGCTGCGTTGGGAGGCATGCTGAAACACATGCCAGATGCAGGGATACGGCCCGTGTCACGAGGCAAGAAAAGCACACGAAAACGGAACGAACGGACCAGACGCAAGAACGAGGAGCGGCCCATCCCTCCACCCGAATATGCCAGAATCACTACACCGAGGCCCTTGACACGGTTAACAAATCCTGCTTCGGACAACTACATCTGATTTGGGTAGGTAAGGCTGCAAGTTTGAAGGCTTCCACTCAAATCCGGTCAAGGTAGGGTTACTTTTTGTAAGGCATAAGGAATCCGACTACTAAGGATGTACTGAGAACCGGAGCGACTGTGACTGTACAACATGAGCTTGCGCAATGCACACCCCCTACAATTCAAATCCGTACTTGCAGTCAGGGCACGGCAGATGTCCAGCCGTGGTTGGGGAAGACCTGCACATATTATGCCAGTTTCACCAGCAGACCCGACTGGCTGAGGAACTCAACAGAGCATCATCTAGAATCTAGCTGACAGCTAAAGGATACGATTCAGCGACACACTGCGCGGTCATCACTGGAGGTGTCCATCTTGTTTAAGTCAAGTGCAGCCCAGAGGCAACATCTTGCAAATTGCGCATCTTGCTGATGGCTTGCCTTATGCAGTACTCGCATGAGTCACGTTCAGTAAGACATGTCCAATCATGCGTTTCTCATTGAAGTGGTCCTTAGAAGCTATTCACCGGCCCTTGGATGCTCTGAAATTATCCCGACACTTTTCGTCGTGCGCCATGGGCTGCAGCTGCACACAACTGGAAAGGCTTCCACTGACCCGCCTGTCTTCTGTAGGTGACGTACATGTTGCAAGCCAGGTAAAAGACAAAACATACGAACTCATACAACATTGAGATTGCAAGCTGCGATACTCCATCGCCCATGCCAATCTCATAGCAGGTACGTTTGCACCCCAATATCACTTGGTCTTCGTTGGCCAGGACAGGTGATATTGGTTCCTGGCCCCCTGCAGATATAACAATTCTCGCTGAAAACATCATGCACAAAAAACATGTGGAGCAAAGTTTGTCGCATGTACAGCAGAATGACACAAACAGGCCCCAGGGAGGCCACTGTCACTTAAACGGCACTCATGAGCAAAATCCAAAGATCAAGTTTCGGCGGAGAGGGAAACCTCAACAAGGGGACATTAGAGCCTCGGAATTACGTGGACGGCCTACAAGCAAGACGACAAAAAGGAAAACCTCAACCTGGGGACACAAGAGCCTCGAAGTTACAGGGACAGCCTGCAGCGCTTCAACTTGGCTGAACTCTTTGAGCGAACCCCCGTTAAGCATGATCGCTGTGCCGTCCCATACTACACCACCAAACTGGCGTCTGAGATAGTCTCGGCGTCGTTGTGGAATCGACTCACTGGGCCTTGCCTACAGCGCTTCAACCTGGAGCGGACCCCCGTTGAGCATGATCGCTGTACCGTCGGTGTGGAATCAACTTACTGGGCCTTGCCTCCGCGACTGAGTTGGACGCTTCAATAAATAATAACGCTGGTCCACAGACCGTTCCACCACTGTCGGTTCTTGTGGTGGAATAGATCTTCATCTGTATAACGTCCACAGATCAAGGTTCGACTGATAGGGAAACCTCAACATGGGGACACTCGGAATTACGTGGACTGCCTACAGGCAAGACGACAGAAAGGAAACATCAACCTGGGGACACTAAGCCTCGGCCGTATAAGCTGCACGTCACTTGCACGTCACTTGCACCTCCCTTGCACATCACTTGCACGTCCATTGCACATCACTTGCACCACCAAACTGGCGTCTGAGATAGTCTCGGCGTCGTTGTGAAATCGACTCACTGGGCCTGGCCTACAGCGCTTCAACCTGGAGCGGACCCCCGTTGAGCATGATCGTTGTACCGTCGGTGTGGAATCAACTCACTGGGCCTTGCCTCCGCGACTGAGTTGGACGCTTCAATAAATAATAACGCTGGTCCACAGACCGTTCCACCACTGTCTGTTCTTGTGGTGGAATAGATCTTCATCTGTATAACGTCCACAGATCAAGGTTCGACTGATAGGGAAACCTCAACATGGGGACACTAGAGAGCCTCGGAATTACGTGGACTGCCTACAGGCAAGACGACAGAAAGGAAACATCAACCTGGGGACACTAAGCCTCGGCCGTATAAGCTGCACGTCACTTGCACCTCCCTTGCACATCACTTGCACGTCCATTGCACATCACTTGCACGTACAGAACTACAAACTTCGACCACAGTTGTTTTTAGAATTGCCTGGATGCCGTAGCGGAATAGATCTTCATTTGCAACATCCACAGATCAAGGTTCGACTGAGAGGGAAACCTCCACATGGGGACACTAGAGCCTCGGAATTACATGGACTGCCTACAGATACATGAAAACAAGCGTCAAATGACTGTACAGGTGATTTCCACTCGATCTCCACTCGATCTCCAAAAGCTGATTTCCGGACATGACTGTTGATTTCCACTGTGATCTCCACTTGAACATGTGTCACAATCCTACCTGATTTCCAGACCTGCTAACACAAGCACCCCGGTGGGCCGGCATACTTCGCCGAAAAGCGACAAGGCCCTCATGAGGGTGCTCTTGTCGTACACAACTGGAAAGGCTTCCACTGACCCGCCTGTCTTCTGTAGGTGACGTACATGTTGCAAGCCAGGTAAAAGACAAAACATACGAACTCATACAACATTGAGATTGCAAGCTGCGATACTCCATCGCCCATGCCAATCTCATAGCAGGTACGTTTGCACCCCAATATCACTTGGTCTTCGTTGGCCAGGACAGGTGATATTGGTTCCTGGCCCCCTGCAGATATAACAATTCTCGCTGAAAACATCATGCACAAAAAACATGTGGAGCAAAGTTTGTCGCATGTACAGCAGAATGACACAAACATCGACTGTTGCGGGACCATCCAAGCAAAACAGAATCGGGCTCCTCATCCCAGAGGAAACTTGGTATGCTGACTTGAGGCCTGGATGTCGCAAGCACATTAGATATCTAGCTCCGCGGGTAGAGGAGCTAAGCTACTCTCTTGTCCCCGGAGCCTCTGCGACTTTGTGCCACAACACCCCGAGATTCCGACTGGAACTGCGGATGCTGGAGGGCCATGACGGGGGCCTGAGACATCAAAGTTGCGGCACTTAGCCAACAAGGCCCTGAAGGGCACAGGCTGCAGGCAAAGTGTGCTCCCAGCACGTGACTTTCGCCTGAGGTCCGCACAGCACCGAGGTCCATGTGATAGATCGCGTCTCTGTGGGTGGCCTTGGGTTGCACTGCGACCCTCCAGCGTCAGGTATGCAAAGCCTGTCTTGATCTCGAAGAATAGCTCAACTCGTTGACGTCAGATATTCGACTTGCCTGCCGATGCTACAGGTTGACTTGGCCGTGGCGACTGGGCCCCGTGGCCACGTAGCTGGACAGGCGCAGTGCCACCTTGTCCTGCAGCCACCCTAATCCCAATGTGCCTGGCGTGACAGCTTCAGTGAGTCGCTCGAGCAAAGAGTCGGAGCCCTGGACATTCCCCGAAGCACCGAAGTGGGCGGGTCCTCCTCTGGAATCGCCGGACCTTGGTGGGGTGTGCGATCATCCGACAGTGGCACATGCCACTAAAACCACGAACGCCGAAGCACTGATTGATAACGTGTCATAACATATCTTGTTAACGCAAACGAAACATCTGCAAGTTTCTTCAGGCTGCAGTGTTTCGCTCAGATCTACGCAGTCTACGCTGCAATAAACTTCTAGAACCGTGCAAACGCAGCGTTGTTCAAATTCAATGCCAACCTGTGTAGTTGGACTTGCTGCCAGCCAAGGCGACTAGGCCGTGGCTTTGTGCCCCTGCATGAAGACCATGTCACGTGGTCAGCGCAACCACGGGAGGGCTAAGGCACAACAACAGCCTTCACGTTCTCGAACGTACTCTCTCGCACCGCCACGCGCATGGATACAGCATCGGATCAAAATACCAGGACATGCCCGGTTGAAGAAATGAAAGATATGGCAGGCAGCATTGCAGAGGTTGCACCCGTTGGTACCGAGAGCGGAAGAGATGAAAGCAAATCTGCTGCACCGAATTGTGGGACAATGCATCGATCAATCATCCTGCTAAGGGAGCCTTCTCGACCTGGAGCTGGCTGAGCTGGCCTTTTTCCAGCGTCTTCTCTACCGTGGCCTGCAATTTTAGATGAAGGGACTGGGAGAGCCACCAGCGAAGATCCACCATGTCCTTTACCGTGGCCGTGTTGCTCCCGCGAAGCTGGAGAACATGTTTCAGGAAGTCGTCGAAGGAGATCTCCGTTTCGTTTGCCTCCGCATCAATGTCCGTGGCATCGCCCGACTCCTCGAAGATGAGCTCTGCAAAGTCGACGAGGCTTATCAAGTCTATGCCGATGCCCTTCATGGCATTGGCTGCTCCCTCGTCCCGCAGAATCTCAAAGAACCTCAGATATTGCTTGTGTCATACCCTGACAAGGGACTGATTCGACAGTACTTGTTGCAAAGTAAAGCCTTGCGGTTTAGGAGCTTCTGCTGATTGATGCGCTTGTCCGGGCCTCCGGCAACTCGCTCAAGGATCTTCCGAAGCCATTGGACTTGGATCGCCTCCTTCTCGGCACTGGCCACGGCACTGATCACTTCGCACATCACCTCGGCACAAGGCATCCCAAGGCCAATGGCCAACCTGCCCCTGTTCAGCCAGGACACGCCAATCAGCATGTTCATCACCTGCCGGCGAGCCGGAGAAAAGAGACACAGGCAGAGCTGAGCTGCGCTACGGAGTGGCTACAGGGCTCCCTTTTTTACATGCTGCCCCAGCAACGGTAATTGCTGACATGATGACGAAGGTGTACATCAACGTCAACGAAATGTACAGGTTCTCCGCAAGCAGGTCGTTCATCAAGGTGCCAACCTCAAGAAAAAAGAGAGGGTTTTCTTGAAGTTCTGGTTTCCAGAGTGTTCGGGCTTTTGGGCTTTCGAACTGTCGGATGACGTCATCGAGAAGAGCACCAGAGATGAAGAGGGTCTGCATCGATGCGGGAACACTGGAAAAGTACTGTCGGGCACATCCCGTCCCTCTCGTCAGCTGGGTGAAGGCAATGGCAAAGACGTAGAGGATCCTGAAGTGGCAGAAAGAGGTGGCATTCCCGGCTGTGCTGGTGACCAGTGCAGATAGACCAGCTTAACAGGTGAAAGGAGCATGAGCAGCAAAGCCAAAGTGAAGACCACAGAGCGCAAAGCAGCAGCGATTGCTTTCCTCGGCCAAGCGGCTGTAACAGCGGTTTCGTTGAAGACGCCCGCCCAGCTTGCCAGTCTCTTGCTTGCTAACTGCATGTACATTCTGAAATGTAGGCATGGAGGAATGGTTGGATTCGATGAAGTTAGGAAATGTTAGGTAGGACACCCGTTCTCCATTTTCCACCTGGCACCAACACCTACAACACCTTAGGTGCTTGAAAGGCGTCACCAGAATCAGGACCTCTGGGAAGAGGTGTAGGAGCTGGGACATGCGAAGCAGCCGCGAGAGCCGCAGAAGGCGCGCGACACGTATGATGCCGGTGTCTGCGAAGATGGTCCCCACCTGGGCGACTTGTCCAAACCCTGCTGCGGCCTATTTAAGGTAAAAGAAAAATAAACTGGGTTCTTGAAACAGATTATGGAATCTATAGTAAATAGTACTGTTTCCGTACTATGGTAACTTAATTACAACCCCCTAACGAGAACCCAGAAAAGCTCCAGCATAGTCCGCAGCCCAAGCAGCATGGTTGCTCTGCAGCATCGAGTCGAGGAGCGGCAAAAGCCAAACCTGCTCCCAGGCTCAAAGTCATGTACACCTTCATGATAGGGTATAGTATAGTATACTATTCTGTAGTATGGTATAATATGGTATAGTATAGTATAGTGTATGGTATAGTATAGTATAGTTTAAGAACACCATTGAAGGTTCTTTCTCGGGTGCGATGGCTCGAGCCTGGATGGCCATGGACATGACCAGAAAAAGGTCGAAAAGAAACCAGAAGTCGCGACTCCACCTCCACGTGCTGCTGAAAGCCAGAAACCGAATAGAGACCTCCAGCACGAAGAAGCAGCAGAAGAATTGCTCAACCCAAAAGAACACGGAGCCTCGGCTACACAAAATGCACCAAACAGCTCGGGAATCTGTTCTTAACCAAAGGCTCCTTCACCGAGACGGGACCCTTGCTGGATTCGACTGGGAACTTGTGTCCGTGTTCACAACACGCGGGTTGTAGTCAATATCCACCGCAAGCCAGACGGAATAGATGACGATCATGCTGGTGGTCAGGTGCTCAAAAGCATTCGACCTCCAGGACGCGCTGCCTTAAATCTACCTCCGGCTTGGAACCAAGCCCCAACCCGCCACGCCTTGCGATGCATTGAAACACGCCTGTGTCCTTGAACCGGTCTTGGTTCGCCTCCTCGACAGCCTGTCAGCCACTTCATCAAGACTGTACGGGACCGGAAGTCGGAAACACGAGATGGGTGTGACAAAGTGCACTTTTGTTTGCCGCATGCGCTGCTGAACGAGTCAATCTTTTTTGCCTCCTGCATGGCTGAGTACAAGAAGCAGGGCAGTAAGTCTGACAGTATGGTGGACGAGTCAATAGGCCGGCTGATTGGTTACATCCAAGGGAATTCTGCATGCACGGGAAGGACGGCTTCAAGAGCGAGTGAGCAATGCCGATCAACAAACATCGATTGGCTCTCTGTTCACGGTGACAGAGTGTTAGCTCAGCGCTCGGGGTGTATGCCAAACACGGCCACTGCCGGCATGCCTCTCGATTCTCAAGCTCTTGCCGAATGATGCTCTTCATATCCTCAGATGCAGCAGCAGTGCAACCATCGCAACGCATGCCGGCTGCGTTTGCCTTGTCGTATTTCGGAAATGTACTGAGGGCTTGTCCTGCGGTCCTGAACATCGAGCAACTCGTGTTCGTTACTTGCCGGGTGACCGGGTAAACTGCTGCGGAGAGAAGAGCCCTCTTGCAAGTGTGTTCTTGGGACTGAGCGACTCAAAGACACAGAGAAAACCACGACGGGAGCGGTGGGCGATGTTGTTCTGACAGCGGACCGAAACAAGGTCCGTCCGGACACCGACTCTGCGACACGAGGAAGATCTTTTGCCGGCCCATCTGAAAATTAAGAAGATCATTAAGAAGATCCCAGGCAAAACAGAACCCGCGAGGATGGCGATGCCATCAGCAACACCAAGCAGCCCTTCGGCAGACCCGAATCTCGATCGCAGTCAAGGCGACAAATCCATCTGGTGATGATAAGATGACGACGGTGGAGTTTGTTGCAATAGATACTCCGACGACATCCTCTTGAAGCATTTGGATGAATCTGGGTTGTCGAACTCAACCGAGCGTCCGATACAGTTGGCAACCACAACGCAGACCTGAAGGCACAGGGAGGGGACTGGAGCGCATTCCAGGAGCCATGTGATGTCTTCGTCACGGCACCCACACACACGGAGCACGCTAGCACACTCCTGCACTCCCTGCCTTCTGCTCTTCATCTCAAGAGGATGCTGGCTGGACTGGCTTGCGTTGCCCGCATGAGGCCTGGGGAATCTTCAGCTGAAAGCTTGAGGGTTCGATGCTCGTCTAGCGCTTGGACGCATGGCTACAGACAATGTAGGGGCATGCTAAATCCGAAGGCAATGCTGATTAAAGGCGAGGACACCAGAATTCCGGCTTGATCCGCACAATCCCCAACCCTCCAAGGGCTCTACGCGGGTGCTGCTTTCTAGGCTGGGAGGCGTTTGCTGTCAAGGCTTTTTAGGTTCAGCCCGTTTTGTCTGCAGTGTGTAGAGCCTGAGCGAGCTCAGCTTCTCGAAACCGTCCCTTCTGCACAGTCTTCAAAGCGTCTGCTTGGGCCAGCCGACCACTGTCATTTTCACGTGTTCACGTTGATTTCTGGCCAAGCATGCTCGCTGTTGTTAACACAGAGCAGTTCCATCAAGTCGCGCAGCAGCCGGAGCCCCGGTGTCGGCTTCAGAGGCAGGCAGCATGGTAGATGCAGTGGACTGGCCAACTTGGGCGGCTGCTGCAACTCCTGGTCTCGCTCGCCGGTGAACAAAGCATGTCGTCACACATCAAATTTCACAGCCAAAGCTGCACCAGTCAGATCTAGAGGCGGAGCAGACTGGCAACCCTTGGCAGAGGCCAGTTGCGCAGCTGAAAGAGTCACAAGCTAGTAACATGCGCATGCGACGAGGCTGGCATTCAAGAGCCACCTCATGCGACAGCTGATGCGTCTCTTCCCCGGGCCCTCCTCGTCCCTTCTTGCCATCTTCCAACGTCGCAGTGCAATTCCTCGTCATCTCAAGTCGCAATGCAGCGAAGACTCTAACAAATATAAAACCCATGCAAATGGCAGACTTGTAACAAGGCTGACTTAAGCAATGAGCGGTGCAGTTGCAGCTAAAGCCCAGGTCCTAACAGTCCTAACAAACAGCTGAGAGCATACCTCGCCTGGTCCACAGATCCGAGAAAGCGAAAGAGCTCTGCCAGCGCAACTCGTCCGACTGCTTGCCCACCTTCGCAAGAACCGCAGGAACCACAAATACATTCTGAAGCTGCCTGCTCGCGGTCATGATTCGCATATCTCCGCATAGATCCCGATCTTTCATTCGGACGCAGCAGAGGTACACCACCTAGTGACAAGCCGAGCGGACCATTATCCGACACGGGCGTGATGCGTTGCATGCTTACGAAACACAGCTCAGCCACTATGTGGCAAAACGAGCTCAGTAATTAGCTAGACACTAGAGGCCTGCTGCAGGACTTGCATCCGTGTGTCCGAAAAGCAGTTACCTCTGAGAAAGACGGCTCTGGGGCTCATCTCGGTGCGTGGTGCGACAAATTCAATGCTCAGTCTTCAAACTCCACAATGTACTCCGGATACACATGAGCCTCCTCCAAGACGATGTACTCTCGAGGCCCCTGGCGGTCTGGATTCGCCAAAACGCAATGCTTCCCTAGTCTTGAAGCTTCCTTCGACGCATCAGAGTGCCAGTGCTTCTCTGTGTAGTGCATGTGGCCGCAGACTGCTCGACAAAGTAGAACATATTTCACATTCTCAGCTTGCTTGCAATAGCTAAGGCTCTTGCTCAAGTCCTCTGCAAGGTAAACCCCATGGCCGAACCGACGCCCGTGCGTACCGCTCTCCTTGACCTCGAAACCTTCCTCAGCGATGGCTTCTGCCGCCTGTTTCGACGTGCCATGCCAGAGCAGGGTTTCATTCAAGCCCACCGCCATGTTCTCCACGGAGATGGCCTCATCGCCGTGGAACTCGCTCAGGATTGTCGCCGTGAGCGCATGGCCGGATTCTGGATTTCCGTCCAATTCATTGGGGGGCGTACACTTTGCAATGCCATTGGCCTGCAAATGCGCGAACAAGGATCGCTTCCAGTCGATGTAGCGGCACCACAAACTGGAGTCCTCGACCCGCTTTGCTCGAATAACCTTGGGAGCTTTCCCGTCTTTTCCACAGGAACCATCAGCCAAGCGCTGAATGAGCTCACGAATCTTTGGCTTGACCCTCCAGTGCTCCCGGAAGCCCTCGGTGTACGGATTGCGGCCGACGTTCTTCCAATAGAGCGGCAGCTCGAGCAAGAAGGGTACATCCTTGGGCGGCAATTGGGGCTTCTCATCCTTATGGAGGCGCTCATAGAGCACCAAGTATTCGGGATAAACCTGATCTTCATTGTACACGACGATCTCGCGATAGGTGTTCACTGCCTTCGCGCGGTCGCCTATAGTACTGTCGCATTCTCCGTCCTCGTACTTTTTAATGGCAGATGGCTCACGATCCACGGTGTAGTGGAACTTACCTATGCACACGCGGCACAGGAGCAAGCCCCTAACACCGTCGTAGTGTCCACCCGGCTCATCCATGGCATACTCGTCGGCTTTGGTGCAGCTCTCTGAGAAGTATAAGCCCCTCCCATACATCGTGCCTGCACCCGAGCCTGCAAACGAAAGCTTGAAGTCATCTTGAGCGATCTTCAAGCCGGTTCGAACTTGTGTTCCATGCCAGAGATAAACCTCGTTGAGGGCATCGTCGACATCGCACAATACATGACGAATAGAGCTAGAGGCTTGCATAGCATCTCGTGTGAAAATTGCAGGATCTGGAGCTTCACAGGATGAACGCTTTCTCTTTATCTCGTCCCGTCTGGCTATGTAGCGCGTGAATATTGCCGAGTCCTCCACACGGATGACGCGCTTGATCTGGTAGCCCGTGGGCAGGCCGGGATCACCACCGGGCTGGACACAAGGACATCCACCCCTTGTCTTGTCATGCTTGCCCGTTGGGCAGAGACGATCTTGGGTAGTTATCTTCCGGTATGTGTGATTCACAAGCTCCTGGAAGAGTTGCATGTCCTCGTGTTTTACATACATGAGCTCGTCGAAAGAGAGGTCCTTCCGCACGATGGCTGCATCTTCTTTGCTTTCCCGGAATCCGGTCCAGTACTTCGGCAGACTCTTCGTCGCCATGTCATCCAACGGCTTCACGAGCTCCTTGCTGTCTGACCGCAACTTAGCTTTGGTTCCAATGACCACAGCGGTGGGCCCGGTAGATGTCGGCACAGGCGCATGCGCTCCCGATGCAGGCGTCGTCTTGAGGACACCGCGTTTGCATTTTCGCCTGAAGATCAACAAAGAGATAAGCAGAACGAAGATCCCGGCCACGCTTCCCAATACTGCCGCCACGATCACGTCGTCTCCGGACTCCCCAACAGCCACCACTGGCGCGACAGTGGTAGTTTGAGGCACTTGAGCCGTCGACGATGAAGTAGTGACCGTTGCTACACCACCGAGCAAAGGCGGAGGAGAAGAGCGAGTTGTGGACATCGGGCCCAAAGCCTGCACGGAAAAGGGGACAGCGTACAAATCTCTCATTGTTTGCGACAAGGTGGGAAGGTTTGCTTGCATGTCCTGAAGGACGGCTGTAATGCTTGCAACGAAGGACATCTGCGTCGGATCTTCGGCCACCAAAATAATTTTGAGCGGAACGTTGTAGGTTTCTGTTCCTTGCAATCGTCGGTCAGTCCCTGCTTGGGACAACCGTCGAGCAAGAGGAACATAACCAATCTCAATGGCGTGCTGTGGCAGCGCAAGCATGGAAGCGAATGCTTCGCGGATGAGCGCATCAGCCGGTGGATAATCCGACGAAGTTGGGCAAGATGGGGCGGAGCAAGAGAGCTGCAAGCTACCTGCAATCTCGACCGTCTCCCCAGTCACCGGGACGCTGTTGTTGAAATACGGCATGGCCGGTATATGCAAATGGGTGCCACCATCCACATCGAAAGCCACGTTCCCCATCGAGCGGCCCAGCTGATCGTTGTAGACCGCGAGGAACCAACCTCGGGAGTTGAAAGATCTGCTGCTGACGCCCTGGCCGAAGAGCCAACTGCTGTGCACGATGGCACAGAGGGGTGTCGGTGTTCCCGTGAGAAACACGGCAGTCAACACCACGTCACAATTCCTAAAGGATTGCATGTCCTCGTAGCACTGGTTGAAGCTGACCTTCTCAGGCCTTTTCGACCAATCGGTGAAGTTGAAGGGATGATTCACAATCTGGCTTCCCGAAGTCACCGTCATTGAGCTCGGGACCATGCGATTGATGCAATATGGGTCCGAGAAGAAGCTGACCCCATAGATCGCATAGTTGTCTCTGACACATCTAGGATCTCTGGTGTTGATGTACAGCCCCCAATTGCCAGAACGTCCGGGAACACTCGACGCAATTGTGGGAGAAGGCCCCCAACCGTAGTTCCAGCTGTCAGACTGGTCATTCCGAGCGATGAAGTCTCCACGGAAATAGCACCGGGGTCGGTCCTCTGACGTCGCTTCCGTTTCACCGAGCTGGAAAAGGATACCCTGGCAAAAGCCACAAGCGTTGCAAATGCGCACGCAATCCGCCAGAGTTGGGCATTCCGAGGGGCGGCAACCACCGCCGTCACCTGGGTTTAGCATCCAGTCATTGCAGCCAAGCTCTTGGCTCGCGTCTGCATTCCTGGCCCATCCACAGTATTGGGTCTCTTTCCCAGCCGCATCAGGAAGAGGCCAAGCATCCAGTGCCCCTCGATAGCTGAGTGTGGCTGCAGGCAAGGTGCCACCTGCCCCACCCTTCACACAGACGGCGCTCACTTGTGCTTGGACGTTGCCCACGGAGCGTCGACGGTGGGAGACGGCTTCCGGAGTGCTGTAGAGCTCACAGTCTGCCGTGGCAGGGGTAAAAGTCCCCAAGTCCCCAACTGTTGGTGGGAAGGATGCATAGCCGCTGCAGGTAAGAGAAACTCTCCAGGAGGTCTGACAATTGCAGGAGAAGGCGTAGTAACCAGATGGGCATGATGCAACGAGAGAGCCCTCGCCGAAACCGGAAATCACAATATCGGTGGTCATCGCCGCCGCATCCACGCAAATCGCCTCGGCCATGATTGCGGAGTCACCGGAGCCCTTCGCTGTGCAGCTGCTTCTACTGGCGATGATACCATCTCCCGAGTCTGGTGGAATGGTTTGGCATTTCAGAAGTGTGGTTTCCCCAAATTCAGAGATCCCAGCGGGACAGAATGCCGTCACCTCACAGTCGTCCGTCTCGCATATGTCACTGTAGACGACATACAAAGCCTGGTTGGCATATATATCCGTACGGTATGGCCCCTTGGAAATGATCGGCAAGTAGGAATAACTGTTGGTGCCCCGCACATAGACACTGCTGCCACAGCTGCTCGGGGTGTACCCCGAACAACTTTGGAGAAGCCAGCAATCAGAATTGCAGTCGAACTGTACGTATTGGCAACCAGTCGTCTTGCGACATAGTGCCATGCAGCGATCAAGGGACATGGCTCCAAATTGTTGCGCTTCGGCCTGGTTTGAGCAGTAGACTGCAGGCTCGCACTGCCATGCAGTATCCAGCTCTGGCATGGCATCCGGCGTAGTGTGAGGAAAGCATTGCCCGAAGACCGTTGTCGTCGTGGTTGTGCCCCACAGCCAGTTCACATCTCGGGTGTAGACACTACTTCCGCAAACGGTGTCTACAAAATCACCACAGTGTTGCAGCAGCCAGCAGTCAGTATTGCAGTCGTACTGGATCGCATTGCAGTCAGCGTGTTCCGAGCACGCCTTCTTGCAGCCTTCCAAGCTCATCGGCCCCAACTTAAATGCATAGTCTTGGAGAAGGCAATACTTGTTGGGTGTGCAGGTGTACTCTGCAGAGGTGACGATGCAGTTGCCAGGTGGCTGGGTCGTTGTATGTGTGATGAAAGTGCCCTCACTCGTCGTTGTTGTCGTGGTTGTTGTCGTCGTTGTAGTCTGGACCTCGCAGATGACTTGCGCCTCCACGTTGCCAGTGCCTGCATTGTAATTGAAATAAAGTTCGGGTCGGCGGGTCCACATGTAGCAGCCATTCGGCCACTGGTTCGTGTCCTCCGTGTTCATGTATGTAACACCTAGAGCTGTGGCAGCTGCCCGGCAGCTTACAGGGTCGAGAACCTGGTCAGTGTTTGCGGGACAGCTAGTCAAGCCCGCCGCCTGGAGGATGAAGGGAGGACCAGTCGTAGTTGAGAGTGCCGTAGTCGTTGTGGTTGTAGTCGTTGTTGTGGTTGTGGTGGTTGTCGTGGTAGTGGTTGTTGTGATGATCTTGTAATAAATACTGCTACCGCACTGCGTATCAACCTCTGCCCCACAAATATGAGCGTCCAGTAGCCAACAGGATTCTCCACAATCCCACTGCAAACCGGTGCAGGAAGCACTTGAATCACAGCGGCTCATGCAATCCTCCAGAGGAATGGCGCCAAGTATGGTTGCCAAGCCCTGATTGAAGCAATACTTTTGTGGAGTGCAACTATATCGCTCTGTGTTGATGCTGGAACACTCTCCGGTCTGGGCTGTGGTGGCTTGGGTACTCGTGGTGGTTGTGGTTGCATCTTGGATCCAGTTGCGATCTCGGTAGTAGACGCTGCTCAAGCAGCCGGATTCCACCTCCGGTCCACAATTGTCCAGAAGCCAACAGTCTGTGCCGCAATCGTACTGGATAACCCCGCAGTCTCGTTCAACGCACTGAACCATGCAGTCTGCAAGCGACATCGCCCCGAGCCGTGTCGCAAGGTCTTGGTTTTGACAGTATCTGTTGCTAACACAGTTGTACTGGGTGGTCTGGGCCGTGCCGTCAGGATAGCATGTATTCGGCTCTTCACCACAACCCACGAGAAACAGTGCAGAGGTCAGGAATGCTGACGCGACGAAAAGCCTTCCCGGTAGTCTCAAGCTGTGACGCTGCAGGCAAAGATCACTCTTTGCAGACTCACTTGGCACCATCATGGAAAAGACCCGCTCGGGGCACATGCCTTGCCTAGCCATGCCTTAACTGATTGAAGGCCAAGGCCTGCTAGCTGCTGTGCTATGGTAGTTCGTGCTATGACTTGGACCACAACTGCCTGATTAAGTGTAACTTGCACTTGCAGGCAATGAATTGAAATCATGCTCTGCTGCTGATGAACATCTGAGAAATTGGGTCCCTGAGCAGCACAGCATCGAACGAAACCAAGCTTCGGAAAGACATCGCCACTGAAGCACGTAGCTCTCTTCGGCGCAATTCTGATATGCAAATGCATTAACATGCCTAGGACGGAACCGCAACAGAAACAGCAGCCTAGCTACCATGCACCGATGCCTCGACATCACACGGCCCGCCCGTTTCCTTCTGACAGTTCTTCAGCTCGGCATTCTCCTCTAGCAGGATCCTGTTCTCCTGCACATCTCAGTGGGCCCTTCTGCCACCTACCTTGATTATGCTGATGCACCCAAGCAAACTCAAGCAAACCACACCTTGTGCTAGGTACATGGAACATCTAGTTCGCAAGGAATCAGGTGTCTCGAGTCGCTGTTGCCTAGAACTGTTCTGAACTACGACAACCGACGAAAAAGCGCTGGAAACAGGCTCTGCACACAGCAAAGCCTGAAGCCAAAACGTGCGAGCGATCCCCTTCTTCGAGCAGTTGGTGCGCAGCTACTCGGAGCCGGGATCGGCCCATGCCCCCGAAAAACGTTCCTGGCACTAGTGCTTACGATTGCTATTACTGTTGTCTTTGTTGTTACTAGCATGACTAGTATTTCCCAATGATTAGTATTAGTACAAACCCTTTTGTATGATGATGATGATTCGTGGTACTGTTAATTGCAAGTCTTCTTATATGTGGTTGTTTACTTTTCTGTTTAATCACTCTTATCACTATGATTCGGTGACAAGGCAGAGACAGAGTGTTCTTTCTGCCGGCGTGCCGACGCATGCCAACTCTACAGACTCTGGAATGCTACAAGACTGCCGCCGAGAAGATACAACAGGTAAACCCCACGAGCAGCAAATCCGACCCCAAACTCCTGCCGAAGCTGCTCGAACTCCCAGCTCAGACGCTCGAGGTGGTGCTGAAAAGCATTCCCATTCCTGGTCTCTGGTCTCTGGCTCTGCTTGACACATAGCAGTGGCTCTCCATCCCCAGCCTGGAGTCTGCAGCCGCCGCCATGTTACGGGGTGCCCCCTGCGAGCTCTGCTTGTCGCGGCTTGAGCCAGAAGCGGCCGTAGCGGTCGTGACATGAGCAGAAAACATGACTTGCAGTCGGCGATGTGACGACATTCAAGCGGCTCGCTCAGGTTGCGGCCGCCAGCCCAATGGAAGAGGCCATCAGTGTAGACGAAGTCACGGCATGTCCGTCTTGCCTTAAGACTGCAGAGTTCACTTGGCTCTTTGCGGCCGGGAGAGCTGTGGGCCTCGAGGTCCACAAGCTCGCGCACGGCGCCTCAGACAGCAAGGGAACTCCTCGGAAACCCTTCACTGGAGAAGCCTTCCGTCTTAGCCAAGGCACGCCCGCAAGCTCGCAGCGTGTACCGCTGCCTGAGGTCCTGATCTGCGACTTGGCTACCGGCTACCCAAGCCTGCCCGCATCCGAAGCTCACCGACTTTCCGTTTGGCTCTTGTCTAGCGGCGACAGTGTTCCACGCCAAGATGCGAGCAATGGTTGCAGAGCCCGGAGCACCGCATCCGGTCGACCAGCCGGAACCAGCATAGAGCTGCCTCCGACGCATAACATATCTTTTTCTCCAACCTTCGGACGGCGGCAACCGGCCCGCAAGTATGAGGGCCTGGCCTGTCTCTGCATTGATAGTGGCGGCCTGTTCACACATTTGTTGCAGCTGCTCCCTGAGTTTTGCAACTAGCGGGTAGCGTCTGAGGTCATTTCGGCCAATTTGGACAGAAGTGAGCCTTGAATAGTACAGTACGCAATGTGGCCACCGCTCTTCCCATGCGATTCACTTCCCCACTCGCAACATGTTGCGTGTTTATGCTGATGGTCTCAAAAAAACAGAACTCCGCCCGACAGAAACAGCCCGCACAGCAACAACTTAGCAACAACCGAAATTCAGGGATGCGAGAAGGCTGCGCCGCGTGCCTGAAGGATGGAGGCTGTGGAAAGTAGGACTGCGCTCGTCCTGCGTGCATGCAGCATCTTGTAATTCTCACGAGCTATCTCTCCTCTGTCGCGGCATGCCTCGGGAAATGTTTGCCACATGAAGTCAGTTTAAGTCAGATGTCCTGTCAGTCCAGGAGGTATCTCTCATGCTCTTATGAAGAACCGCATGATGCAATGTGAGGCAGCTTGTCATAATGAGATACCATTGCCATAATAATGTGCCTATATACTCTTCCAAGCTGTTTTCGTTACTTCGTGCCCCAGATTCAATGTTGAGCCAAGAAGGCACGGTGCGCTTACGCGCTCACTCGGACCTCTCGAGGGCTTGGCATAAGAGTTAGGGGCTCGGAGATCAGACCCATGTCCCAGACAGCAAGCAGCCCGTCCTCGGCCGCTTGGCCAGTGCCAAGTCTACTCCATCGTCCTGCGCTGCGTAGTGCTGAATAAGAGCGGATGCTTGATGCTGGGACTGATCGTCGCTACGGTGGCATGCCTTTCCACGTGCTCTTCCCCGTATCCACGGAAATCCACATACATGCAAGCACAGCCAGTTGCAACTGTCCTGGCTGCCCCTGCTGCGCTTGCCCTGGCTTTGCACAATGGGATCGCGTTATGTCACGTTGCACCACTCTCAAGCGACAGAGGCAGCAGAACACTCAACGAAGCGCGCTGTAGCATGCGACGCTAGACTAAAGTAGTTAACTCTGTGACAACTTGGTACATCTTGGTACAACTAACACAAGTAATCTGAGAACAGCACGATATCGTTAAGTTAAACAGCTAAACGGCACACAAGCTTTGGAGATTTCCCCTTCCGTTGTGCACGTGTAATCCGACACCGGGCCTGAGCAGACAGCGTGTCCATCAAAGGAACTACCTGGCCGCCCACTTAGCTGAAGAGGGAGTTCGGGCTTGACCGAAGCCGGCACACTGAGCAAGTGGTTCCACGCAGGCTCCGTTTTACGAGGCTGTGGTAAACCCCAGGCAGGAAGGCCTCGCCGCGGATCACCGCCCGCGCGGCCTTGAGGAGGTCGGGGCTTCCTGTCTTCAGCATGTGCACGGCCTGCGGATTCGAGGGCCCGGACTTTGGAAACGTATCAGTCTAGGCCTTGTTCAAACGGCAGATGGCAGGTTGGGTCTGGAGGGAAGCTGAGTGCAGGTACTCCAGCCCGGACTGCCACTTCAAGCCGCAAGCCCTAAGCACCTCTCCAAAAGCCCACGCAACAAGAACCCGTCGGCCGGTCGGCTCTGTGAGCCTGCTTGGTGTCCTCATGCGTGAGGCCCAAGACATCCCGAAGCTCGATCGCCAGTTCGGCTTGTAGGCCTGGGCCGCTCCGAGTTCGGGATCCCTTACACTCCCCAGCTTTTTCATCCGTTGTTGCAGCCGGCTTCGGGTCTTTTCGTGTAGTCAAGCCGGTGGTCACACAACTCAATCAACTTACTGGCGGTTTGCGGGAGTTCGCCCGGCTCATGGACCTGCTACAAGACACGGCCAGCCCTTGCCGTGAGTTTCGATGATTCTGCCAGCAGCCCGAAAAAAAAAGCAGAAACCTGTAGCCGTGGCGAGCAATCTCACTGACCACGCAGCAAAGCACAGGCAAAGCCTGCAAGTCCTACTTCCTGCGGCCAGAGAGGCGCCAAAGCCGGCGTGCCTCGAAAGAGGAAGCGACCACCTAAGCCATCCGGTATCGGTATATGTGCAACATGCGGGGATGTCGCCTAGATTTTATTGTGTTACAGTTACAGTTATGAACTTAGGACCCACGCCCCTTAAGACTTTAGCATTAAGATGTGGCCCCAGTGCCGAGCTCGTCTGCCACAAGATCTGCTGGGTGGGCATGACTCCGACAAACCTCCTGACCTCGTGGCGCACTACCTGGCTTTTGTCCTTCGTCATGCAAGAGCAGGCCATCAGAGGCGCGAAGCCTATGCTTCGCATACTGAAGCAACACATCCTGCAGCGTATGTTCAGGCTGGACCATCTTTTCCATACGCAACAGTAAGTCTACCCAAATCAGGGGCTTCGCAATGCTGCCGTGTTTCTGGGTCGGTCGGCCGAGTTGTGCTGGATGAGGCGTTGTGCGAATTTGATGGACCTAGGGCGGAGCACCACTTCCCGTTGCGTCTACAGAGCAGAAGTCTCGGGCACAGACCACGCTCATGCTGGTGTCGCATGCTGAGCTCGCTGTGCCTCAAGCTGCGTGGTCTGCCGCAGGAATCGAAAGCAGGAGGCTCTCGCAGAGAAGATGAACAGAACGCCACAAGCTTATCGAGTCCTTTCGAGGTGCACTGCATGGAGCAGTCGCCGCTCCAGAAGCTGCCTGTCGAACTTCTCCTTGCTATCATGCAACCATCGTCGGCAATTCATCTTCTTACGTACTCTTCTCTTCTTCTTTCGACTGAAACTACGGGCTGCATTGAGGCAACGAGATGTAAGCAATGCAGATACCTGATTCAGAGCCTCGTGGTTCTATATGAATCCCCGAAACTCTGGGATGCACACCACAAGCATCCAAAAGCCCGAATTAAGTATAACTTGATGTGTCAATATATACACGCACAGTGCCAGTCAAAGGCTGGAACGTGCCTCATTCCACAGTCACCGCATGGATAATCGCTAAAGAGCATCTCCCAGCTGGCAGTGCAAAAACCACACGCGAAATCAACACAATTTGACAGTGCGTAGCTTCCGCGGCACTGGCAAAGCAGGTCCTTGTTCACAGATCGAGTCGCGTTCTGGCAGGGTGAACATGGCACAGGAACTTGTAAAGGAGCAATACCGTGTGGAGAAACTGGCACTATACTTCTCGATGCCAGGCAGGAATCTGCACAGTGGCGCAGTGTCAGAGACCAAAGAGCCAGGAGAATTACCCACTCTCTGGCTGTCGCATTGAGAACAGGTTTTCAGATTTAGGCGAGGGCATGCTGATCCCAGTGGCCTGCTTCAGCTTGTCGATGAACTCCTTCTTCTTCTTTTCACCCAGTTGTCCGTCCCGAACCCTTGGCTCTGGATCAAATTGAACGAAACCCCAACGAAGCAAGAACAACCTAAGCTTGTGTCTGGGCTCCTGATCACTGCAAAAGCCCCTGAGACTGCGCCGATCTGCTTTGGCTTCAGCCTCAGCAGCCTTCGAAGGGCCTTCTTGGGCCTAGCGATGATCATTTCAATTCAAGCGGCCGCTCCATGGTCGCCCGGCCCTGAGCCTGCAGAGGGCGAGCAACGGACTTAGGGCCTCTGGGCGTCGCTTCTCAAGAGGGAGGGAGCGGACTCTGAGGGGAGCTGCCAAACCATGCGACCTCGGCCCTTCTGGGTTCTTTCGATCCAGGGCCTCGACGCAGCGTGGAGGTGAAACTGGCAGAGCCAAGACACTGAGGTGGTCCTCTGCGTAGCATACAGCGGCTGTGCCCCATGCTTTGCTGTGGCCAGATCCGCAACAGCGCTCTCCTCACTCCTCTTCGTTGGCCTCTCTACTTTAGGCCGCATTCGTCAGCCAAGAGGTGCCAACCGCGCACACCAGGACTTTAAACAAAGCCGGGTGCTTACACGAGAATCGGTGCAGTCGTCAACGGCCGTGGCCATTCCACAAGCCAGTCTCCATCGTATTTCCAACCTGCGGTTGCATCATTTTGCAACTGAAGCACCCTGTGGACTTCCGCTGCCGCGAGGCTGCGACAGGAGTTTTCAAACTTCAAACCTCGCACTGCACGGCACCCCAGCCTGGGCGGACTACTCGAAGTATCTGGTCGACCTCGATGACACCACTCCTCGGAAGTTGCGCTTGCCCAAGCGCCAAACACACCCCACCCAAACCCCAACTCCCAGATCCTTATCTGGAAGGAGCTGGGTCAGATGCCTCAATGACATGCAATGGCCCCGCTTTTTTATGCGAAACGAGCCATCTTCCGCACGCAGCGTCTGTAGAAATGCCCCCACCAGGACTAGCTGCGCATATTTTCATGCGTCTGAAAAAGATAGCAACTGGTGACTGTGTGCAATCATCACTTAGACTGCATCTTATCATACTTCGCTGCCTTCTCAACCACATCTTTGGAACCCACATATGCTGTCACGGAAAGGATGACGACCATCACCGAGAGGAAGGTGGGAATCTCGAACTGGTCATCGAACATTGGCAGTGCAACCTGGGCCGCATAGATAACCAAGACCGCGCATGCTTCGCCGATGTTCTTGAGGACGGAGTCCAGGAGAGCCAGCAGGTAGAAAGTGCTCCAACCCTTGATGGTGAAGGAAGCAAGGACACCGCACACTGTAGGGTCCCAACCGCTGAAGAAGCCATTCTGCCAAGTCTTGCCGTCCAGGAAAGAAATCACAAGGATGGTTGCAAACCAAGCGCACTTGAACTGCACCAACTGCATGTAGATAGGCTCGTTCTTGAAGTCCTTCATGTACTTGTCGGACAGCACGGCGCAAAGGCAAGAAACCGTCACCTTGAGAAGAACATTCAAGACACCTGCGATGGGGATGGCTCCGCCAGCGCTGTCGCTCTTACCTCGGCAAAGAGAAGCTTGCAAAGACGCTTTGTGCTTCTTTCTCTTGAGCATGGACAGTGGGAAGCAGCACGGTTCTTCCCAAGCTCGTGCCTCCTAGCATGTAGACGCACATCGAGAACATGACCAAGACGAGGATGTTCCACTGCAGCGCCGTTTGCTTGGTGCCCTGATTCCAGTTTTCGGCGCAAAACTCACAAGTTGGAAAACAACAGAGAAAGGTTTCGGGCTTGGACTTGGGAGAGCTTGCGGTCCGGCCTTGATGCCCCAGATCATCAGAGCTGTGATGACGAGCTTTGACTGCAGCAGAATCTGATAGGCCGCCCCACCGAGGGATCCCATGCCTGTATAGTGCACCATCATGCATCGACCCTCTAGCAAAGTGTAGGAGCGCGCACGCATGTGGGTTAGCGAGCTCTCGAGTTAGGGCGAGGGTGGGAAGTTGTACCCGTGCATACCCATACATCAAGACGATACTTGGAAAAATGGGTGCAAGTACTTGGTTATTGTCTCGAAGTACACTGTACACGAATGCACTCATCCATCCGTGCATGCATGCATCCATCCATCCACCCGAACAGTCCATGCATCCATCCATCCATCCAAACAGACAGCAAGCCAGCCCGCCAGCCAGGCAGGCAGGCCGGCATACACGCATGCAGACACAGATACACAGACACACAGATGCACAGACACACAGACATTCAGACAGACAAACATACGTAAATACGTTTGCATGCATGCATGCATGCATGAATGCATACACGCATACATACATGAATGACCATACCTGCATGCATACATGAACCCACATGCAACGATGCATGCATGACTGCGAAGGTACAATGTTCCAGAATGCACAACACATTCCCCTAAAGTAGCAGCTATGCAAGCTCACTCAACTGAGACGCAAAGTAACCCTGAAGTTCAGAGGCGCCTTTCTCTCTGCACAGCAAACTGTGTCTTGAGCCAACCTGATGTTGGCAAAGTCTGGGTCTGGAGGGAACGTGTAATTTTCACGTGAAAAACACAAGCATACATACATGCATGCCTACGTACACACATACATTAAATGCACCCGTGCCTACTTACCCGACCTACATACGCACACCTATAGATGCACCAATGCATCCATACATCATGTACACACTCGTCTACATACACGCATTGCATACATTACACACATTGCATACGTTTCATAGGCTACACAGATTACATTTTTAGAAGTCGCGCTCGAGCTGTTCAGGCAAGGTTTCGAAGAGACAAAACTAGCACTCCCCTCTTTTCGAGGGCCATAGGCACATCAGCCTTGAACTCTACAGCACTGTAACCGAAAGCCATGCAAGCACTGAAGGTCAAGGTTGGAGCGATCCATCAACAAATGCCCGGCTGCTCATTAGTCTCAAGAGGACAAACATTCAAGTCAGAGTAAGCAGTGTACTCACTCGCAGGCATGCCCACAAGGCGCACACCCATCACCTTGCACATCAAGAAGCTGGAGAAGATCCAGGCCATCAACAAGCCCTCCGTAGATTACCTACATAGATTACCTACATACATACACGCTTAGTTACATACTCTACTTACTGGCATATATGTATACATTCACTTCCAGGCATGTGTCTCTACATGCACCCATACCTACAACCATGCATGCATAAACACATCCCTACCTACTGTGCTTCAAACATACTTACAGACATACTTACGTGTTTCGGGTGCGCGCGCTCAATAGCATCCAGGACACTTGCCATCTCCAGGTAGTCTCCCAAGGCGTACATAAAGCCGATCAACGAGAAGATCTTCATAGGCCTAGGGCTCCAGATCTGCCTTCAGGGATGGCATTCAAAGCTTGGGTTTTCTCCGCAAGTGCTTCCCGTCTCCGACCTCCACTCGTCCATGCCGCCAATGCCCACGCACATCAGCTGGGCGATTATGAGCGTCACGACCGTCTCACCGAGCACCACGGTCATGTTACCATATGCGAAGAACTTCTTGCCTGCCGCACGTTCGTGGATAACTTGCTGCTTATCAGCCCAAGCACAGAGCATGCGAAGAATGCAACATCACACACAGTATGTCAGTTTCCAAACGTCATCACACCTGTCTCCGGATCCACGCTCTTTGAGGCGTCGATGATGGTCGGGTGCACTGCGCGGGTCAAGACGAAGAAAGCCTGATGACCGAGACCAAAAACTGATCTAATCATGGAGACATATGCACATGGGTGCCAGGGAATGGGTATTAGGGCCTCCATGTATGACACGCGCGTCCGATGTGCGAAACGAAAAACCTAAGAAACGCATGAGAAAGGCTGGCCCCCTTACATCTTAATTAGGCCAAGTTATGTTAAGGACCCTCCGGAATTTCGACGTCTACAAGTCCGTACACAGTCGTCCTCGGGGTTTCATCGGCACTGAAAAGAAGAAGCTTGTTTGCCCATCCGACTTGCCGCATTTTCCAAGCAAAGCTTAAACTTTCCATGAGTCTTTGCAAGACGGCAGTCAACGCAGCAAAACAGGCAGAACACAAAGTGTGACCAGCATGGAGAAACTGCCTCCGCCCAAAAAACATGATTGGCTGGTTCTCTACTAGCCGATTCGAACAACTTCCGTCTGACTTTTCTAGACTGTCACATTTGAAACACTTTTCGACTTTTTTATCGTAGCCGCATAATCTCAGCCAAATGTCTGTACAGGCATTGGGACGGCATGATGGGTAAGTGGTTTGCAGGAGGCCGGTGCCGACAAATTTGGGTAGCAACAATCACCCCGATCTCGGCCACCCTATACGGCTCTGATGCAATTTGCATTCACACCATGACCCGTGGGATCAGCGGCAGCAAAGCGACCTACACTTGTTCATGAGACAAGCAGCAAACAGCCCAATCTTGGCCATGCCGGACACTTCCACAGGCTTCGATGCATCTTTGAACTCCTGTCAGACATGTCAGACATGCTGGCGTGTTCCGACATGGAATCTCCATGATGGGATGGGAGAGGCATCAAACAGTTCCTTCCCACAGTTCCAGTTGGTTCTTCGCACCGGCAGTGAGGGACTAGCGGTTACTGGTAGACTCCCAAGCCAATTGAAACACTCGCGCCGCATTCTCTGCCAAATTCTCCTGGCCCGTGTAGGGCACGGCCGCTGGTTTCGGCGCCATGGCGTTCAAACTACCAGGGAGTGTGCTGCTCCGATGTGGCTGCGCTGCGGCTCTTTGGGCCAAGATCGCACAGGCCAGCTTTTCGACGCTTGCCCCCTTGCTAGCCCGAGAGGCTCAGGACAGGGTGCCAACAGTGCTTGCGTAAGAATCAGAAGCAGGACTAGTGACTAGGTTCAGCCATGACTGGAGAACGTCTCTCAGAGCACGGGGGAACTGCGCGCCCCGCATCTGCTTGCATCCAGAAGTCTGATTCACGTCCATGTCACGGAACAGGGCAAGCGCCCGGCGTGCTGGTATCTGGAGGTGCAGCTCCTGAGGGCATCGAGTTGAATTGCCGTACAGGTGGCACCAAGCTACAGCCGCTTCGGTCTGGAATCTAGACTCTAGACACCACTGCAGGCAGCGTGTAATTTTGCTGGGGGTAGTACAGGGGCCGGCATGCAAAACAAGACGAGGTGATCCGTACGGGTTCCTTATTGCGCCAGACGCAGCACAAATGGCGCAGCAAAGCGGAAGGCACGCATCCAGCCAGGACGAGGCCCAGGAGCAGGTGAAGGGGTGAGCTTCGTTGGACTGGCTCGTCCCAAAATGATGGAAGTGACGCCAGGGCCCATGCACGAGGACAGTGTGCCCACACATACTTTCAAAGTGCACACACGCGCAAACACACAGCTAGAGAGACACACAAGATTGGGTCAACACAAAACATGCCGAGATCAATCGAGCAAACAGGAGTCACGACAGACTTCCTCGACGTGACTGGAGGCACCCCCGGCTATTAATTGTTTAAGCCCCCCCGCTAGTGCGCACAGAGTGTCCTGGATCATCCTCCCGAAGCCTTCCATGGTCATCTGTCCAGAACCAGCAGAGTCGAAGTCTCGGATGATCTGTCGGCGATGATGGAGGGCCAGGGTCACACGAGATGTCGACCCTACCGCAGCTTCCATCCAGAATCCGGGCACAAGTGCTGACGCCTTCTCCAGATCTAGCTCTTGGAAGCCCCACTCGTACAGGTGCCTCCGAGTGCGCCACCTGCGAAAAGGCGCACGATGAAGGGACTCTGTGCCTTATGCATGCTTATACTGTTCTAGGGCCTTTGATCCTTTGTCTTGTCTGTCACTGAGCCTTGTGCCAATGCCCTGTTGGCTGAACGAAGCTGCAGGCGTGGACGGCATGGACTGTGAACGGAACAAGGCAGCCACTACCAGATCTTGGCAAGCGTTTCCAGAACTGCCTCAAGACGAGGTAGTCGCGATCCTGCTGGACAGCGTCATTATCAGTCGGCCAGACAGGCTGGCGATGAAATCAAAGTCTTGTATTGACCAAAAGGTATGGCCAGTCCACAAGGAATGATCGGGCCCAGCTGTGAACATTGCTGCCTAAGTCTTGGCTTGGGCCCTTCCAATAGCACCAGGCTGGCACAGCTTAAAGAAACGGAGTTCAGTTCCCTACTCTCCGGGCTCCTGCCATCGAAGCGCCAGGCGGTGGCCCACGAAGCCCACGGGGATGGCCATGTACAGCACGCCTTATCCGGCTTCAAGTTTCAGAAGTGACCCAACCACAGATGCAAGAGGGCGGACAATGTCACTATCAAACTGATCTTCGAGGAGGAGATGTCAAGAAGCCCTGATAAAATGCCCGGACCCATTTCCAAAGCCAAAGTTCAAGCTGTCTGCCAACAAACGAATCCGAAGAAGCTCCAAGCTCCAATGAGTCCAAGGTGCTGCCAGCAGCCGCAAGTGTGCTAGTGATGGTCGCCACTGTAGAGTTGGAGGTGGATGTCGACGACCTCTGCAAAGTCCACAACTAGCCACACACGAAGCAGCTACGCTTTGCGCTTTGCCGTAAGGTCCTCCAGATTTTGTACTGCCTCTTAAGTTGCTTGAATGTGTAACAAACCCGCTAAGGTCTTGGTGCTGAGCTTCCGACCCGACCTGAGATGCACGAAAACGAGTACTCACAGCAACTGGTCAATCCAGCTCCGGGTTTCTGAAGTAGCCTTGCTTGCGGCATGGGCACAGCAGAAATTGTCAGGTACATCAAATTCAAGGCCTGCCTTAGCATGTCAGGCACCCATGGGTCATGGAACGCACTCCGAGCAAAAGCGGCAAATTCCAGAATCACCCCAAGAACCCTGCGCGAACGAGCGGCGGAAGGGTCTCCACGACCGCAGGCTGAGCCAAAAGGTATGTGGCAACACTCAGGGACAAAATTCCGATGGCAGCAATCCTGGGACCCAGTCAGCGTTCCCAAGATGAGACAATGAACTCTCAACGGCCGTGCACTCGTGGTCAAATGTCAAAGGCCAGCTGAGCATCACAAACCAAGCGTAGAGCACTTCTCGGATCTCCTGAACAGCTTGCACATACTCCGCAAGCGGCCTCATCACGATTCAGGCTTGTGCTGCGGCCAAGATTCCGAAACTGCCAGGATGACCAAGCGTAGCCTGAGGCTCCAGCAAAAACACGCAGACCGAAGCCCGGCGCACAGCAGAAAGAGAGAGAAAGAGAGAGAGAGAGAGACAGAGAGAGAGATCAGGGATGAGCAACGAGCATTCCAGATCACTGCATGCAAAGCAGCTGGTCGCAGCGACGGAACCTGATCGAGACATCAATTGCTTGCCATGCGAGCCAAGCCAGTCTCAGTAATTAATTAGAGGTTTCCTTGACTCATAACCGCCACCGGGCCCGAATTCTGTAGATGGTGCTGCAACAGGCCGGGACTGACACAGCGCTCTGTATGCGTGTGCCACACGCATACAACAGCATTTGCCGCGGCCAAGTTGCAGCCTCATCAGCTTGACGAGCGGCAGAATACAAAGCTTCACCAGCAGGACTCCTTCACTGGCCTCCATCTCAGGACAGAAGCCGGGCTGGAGTACAAGCAGAGGCTGCAGTGACGTGCAACAAAAGCCTCGCTGGAGAGAACCAGGATGTTGAACCTTAGAGCTAGCTTAGCACATTGTAGAAGTGAGCAGTCTCTCTGAGGCAGCAACAGGCCGGGTGCAGGGCGCAGGGTGCCGGGTACCAAGGCAGCTTCTGAGTGCTTCAAAGGGGCACAAGGGAGCTCAAAGACACGATGTCAATGACGTTGTACTGATTGCCTCGTGCAACTTTGCAACGGGAGGGGGGCATGCGTCCTGCAAAACAATGCCATCAGCACCATGCATTCTTGGCCATCTTTTCTCTCGCAAACTTAAGATTGCATGTTGCGAGGGCGCCAAGTACGCGCCAGCATCGTCCCTCACTTAGGAGCTTTGGAACAGCTGGGCTTTTTAGCTCGCAGCATGTGTTTCGAAGGTTCGAACACCTGTACATGCCGGCCAAACCCGGCTTCGCGTACGATTCGTGAACGCGAGGTAACACAAGCTGTTGTTGGGACAGGCACCCTATATCGAGCTTGGAGCCTGCGAAAGTCAAATTCGAAAATCCTGCAAGACACTGGATTTTATCTGCCTGGGCGTGGACCTCGAACCCGTCCGGAAAGCTTTCTTTTGGCATCATCAGCGCTTGTATGGCGCTTGTGCCGCGAGCCGTGCACGTTGCCATCAGATTGGCTGGCAGGGTGGCGACTGCGCGGGGGTCTAGAAGACTTCGACGGTTCTGGGAATGCGACCCGAACGCCGTTCTGAAGAACGATTGGTCTGTACTCATCCGGCACGCTCTCGTGCATGATGGGGCTGTTGCGGTAACGCTCCACATGGGACTCGAGCCCTTGATGTGGTTCACTCCAGCTCACTCCGCAGAGCTTCTTGCTCCGTACCAACCAGTTGGAGTAGCCACTGAATTTGGCCCAAAAGTCCGGGACATGCGCCGGATCCACCAAGTTCACGAAGGCATAGCCCATGCAAGCCCGTGTCCGGAAGTCGATCGGCAAGTACAGGAAGTTGTACTTGCCCTCAAAGCCCTCTTTGTCGAGCAGTGCAAGAATCATGGTGCGGGTATAGTTGTTGGGCAAATTGCGAAGCATCACTGTAGTCCACTCTTCCATGGGTTTATCACACTCCGTGCTCTTTGCCTGAGTGGCATTGCTTTGGCTGTCTCTTGGGGGGCTGAGCTCTACCTCCAAAGCTCCCTTGCCCTTGTGGCTGCGAAAGCGTCGTCGCCGGGGCATCGCGCTTTCAAGCGTCGGTTCCGAGTGTGGGCCATAAGAGCTCGTCCAGGTCTCAGCCGAGAACGGTATCTGTGAACTGCTACTCGACCCAGGGACTAAGCCCGCAGGCATCAACATTGCGGTCCAACCCGTGCCGCAGTCTTGCTGGGAGGGATTCACAGCTTGTGCATCAGCTTGGCTTGTGACTTCTTGTTCGGGCTCCTGTGCCATTCGACGGAGAAGTTCATTCTCCTGCTCCAACTGCGCTACCTCCGCCATCAGTCTCTGCAGCGCATGTCTCGAGACATCCCTTCTGCCGGCGTGGGCTTTGGGTACCTGGCCATGAGTGGGAGGGACAAGGTCCGGCATCGGATCAGAGCGAATCTCCTCCGCCGGCAAACCTGTGTCGGCGAAGCTGGTGGCGGGCCAGTCCATGCATCTCGGACTTGGCGTCTGTGCGACATACTGCCCCGCGGCACGAGGGGTGCTCCTCCCACTTAGAGAGTCCGCGATGTGATGATAGCAGGGCAGTGGGAAAGACTTCTCGCCGTCCATGGTGTCCGGGGTCGTTTCGGCATCACTCCAACTGTCAAGTTCGGATTCCATGGACTCCTCGGAGGAATTCGGAGACTCTTCCGATGCCTTCCCACTCGTGGCCGCATGCTCTGACGGCTCAGCTACGTGGCGCCTAGAGTAGCCCTCGTAAAGGACGGAGTCTGAGTTTGCACGCATCAGGCAGCTTGAAAATCCGTTTGAATCCGAAACATCATCAACGAGTTCGATGAATGTGTTCCGCAGCATCCATCGTGGGCTGGACTGCTGCTGAACGGACTCCATCGCGCGAGGCACGATGTAAAAGGCTAGCGGTTGGCAACTCAGACAGTTACCCTTCGAGCCAGCATCATGTTTTGCCCAGGCCAGCACCCGGAGTCTTGATTCAATTCCAAGTGGCGCAGGAAGCGCCAGGTGCTCCAGCTCATCTTGTATCTGAGCATGAGGTCCAAGAGAAAGATGATGTCGAGCACGAGCTGAACCACAACCACATGCCTCGTACTTCGCGAGATTAGGCACCAGCTGACATGGCCGCTCTGAACATTTTTTAGGAGAACATGTTGGTCTGAGCGGCGGCATGAAGGCCGGTGCTTTGTAGGAGGACTCCATGAGATTGCAAGTCACTGATGTCCTCGGATGCAGGCCGACTCTCAAGGGCCCTCGTCAGAATTTCAGAACTCCCAGACGAGGCTCAGGACGAAGGGCGCATACAGTCGCCCGTACCAGCGCGCAGCCTGCAGGTCCAAGGGCATCCTAAGCCGACTGGGCTGCCTTTGCTCATAACGTTGATCACCACTACCAGAGCAACCAGCACTGCAATGATTGGAACCGGGTAGGTGCATCATGCTGCTTCACAGGACACTGCATACCTGTGTGACCCTTCGCGCCTGGCTGCTCATGGGATCTTCAAAGAAGTTCCAGAGTGCCTGACTCAAGCGTGACGCGGTCAATTGCATGCTCATCCGCTGCTGCTGCTGCTGGCTGCTGATGCTGCTGCTGCTAGCCGCTGACTGCTGGTTGCCTGCTGACTGCTACTGCTACTGCTGCTGCTGCTGCTGCTGCTACTGCTGCTTCTACTGCTACTGATGTTACTGCGACGACGACGACCCCCAAATATCGACAAATGTCTTCGGCTGCGTTCTTCGTTGAACTTTGGAGGGATCCAAGGTGCGGCAGGACTGCTTGGGCGCTTCTGCCACAGCTACTAGTTCATGCTCATTAAGTTTCATCGTCTCCTTTTTTTTGCTACTGGAATCCAGAACCTGAGCCGTGACAGCCGTGGAAGCTCCATTTCGCCTCCTGGACCGGCTGGTTGACCCGCCTGTTCCATTTCAGACATGAGGCTTGGATTCTGCTGCAAGGAGAATCCCCGCCAACAAGCTCGCTTTAGCTGTTGACCGTCTGAAAGCACCCCACCCTGTCTGCCTCACTGCGACAGCGCCGAATCGGGGTGGTGGTCGCACAACCCCTTTGCCAGCGAGGTCTTGAAGGATCTCGGTGGAGTCCTGACTGCTTCGTGATTTCAACACACCTGGTGGCGCCTTGTCAGCCTTCTACCCAACCATGCGCAGGAAGACGCAGGACTCCAGGACTGCAGCTGCTTCGGACTTCCAGAGCCGACCCTTTGCCCTTCTACTGCAACCAATTTGTAGCAGCTGCTCAAGCCTGGAAAGGGGATGCCCAGGATTTCGGCGACATGTTGCGGCCACCATGGTGCCTGATTACTCGAAAACGAGCAGCCAAACCGAAGTTCTACTTGCCAGGCGAAGCTTCGGCTTGTCGCGTGACGAGCTTCTGCACATCCCGGCCACGTACAACCCACTTCCAAGGAACAAGTTGCGTCAGCAACCCAGCTAAGACTGAAGCAGCTGTCGAGGTTATAGAACTCCATGTGTGGAGAATCATGCTTCCCTGGAGACTTCGTCGGGACCGTTTTTCGGCTCGGAGCAGGGTTTGTTAATGCAATAAATTCCAGCTGGAGTTCAGACACATCTAGGCGAGCAAGAAAGCAACATGCTGAACGCAAGTCTCGGAAAACTATCATTGAAACTTACATGTGCCAAGTCGGCTGATCCTCTAAGCTACTGTCTAAGTTCCAGGTGCTTGGTTTGAACGGCCGCCGTCGAGACCTTCGCGGGAACGATGCCTCGAGGGTTGCAGTGACTAGTGACTAGGTCAGATCTCAGGCAACCTGGGGTAACGTAGGGACACAGATGCCATAGATGACTGAGACTTGGCTTCCCTCTCTCAAAAATTGGACAAACTGACGAAGTTGTCGCGCATAAAACGCGGGCCTGGCTCCAAGCGCACGGACGGGCCGGAAGGGCCAGACGGGGAGCTCTCCACTCGCCGGACCAGCGCATGGACGTCCTGCAACTTGGCGTCCTCAGCAGACAGCTGGCGAGCTTAGACTCTTAGACACCGCATCCTCACCAGAGTGCTTCAGATTGCTTCAGGTCCAGGAGTCGATCTCTGCAAGCCGGCTGCGCAGGTCCCGTTCGAGCTTGCTTATGCCGCGAAGGACCTGCGTGCCCAAGAGGCTTTGCTGCAGGTGAAGACAAGTCGTAAAAGCCGTCACAGACCCCAGACCACTGCATGTCAAACTGAACATAATCGAACTGAAAGTCGCTCACAAGGCGGAGCCTGCGACTGGAAAGCCACCTCAGAACACGCGAGCGCCAGACAGGAAAGGGTTTTTGTAGCCGAGGCTTCCGAGTATAAAGCCCGCGCTCAACCTGCGAGAAGTGTTGGCGACCCTCGTCCAGAAATACACGTTTGACAGGCAACTAGTGACTGGTCCGGGCGACAGAGACGACCGTCTCCTGCATCGCGTCCGAGGCATCTGCATCCCAGAGCCTGGGCTGCAAGCCGCAGTTGCACAGGACTAGGTCGAGCACCCTCTCACCACGAGCCCAGTTCAAGCAGAAGGCTCGTGTTCCCATAGCTCGTCACCACCCGAGTCATCGAAGCAGACGCGCTGCTGCATGGCGTTGGTGTGCCCGGCTTTGGGGGGCGATCTTGCCGACGTATCGAGTGATTTGCTTGTCCGGCTGCAATGCACGCATTCACTGGGCTGGGCCCATGACAGTTGCTTTGCGGTTGCCCCCATAGCTTTCAAAAGGATGTAACGCGTAAGCTGCGTGTAGGAAATCTTTAAAACTGCAAGCTCCACTTTCCATGAGCCGTTGCGAAGCATGGGGCTCCAGGCCCTTGAGCCTTGCATCGCCGGCGACGAAGCTCTCAAAGAAAAACGACCTTTCCAAAGAGTCAAGGGGGCTACCCGGCTACCCGCTCGCCGCGTGCCTGGAGCTTCTGTGCAAGTCCGATGTCCGTGGTGCATGGCAACACCTAGGAAGCTCCGTGGCCTCAACACGCCCTGAGCTTTGGCCACAACGCAGAGCTGACTTCGGCAGAGGAGCGATCCGAGTCCGTCCAGAAGTTAAGATGCAGCTGAAGGAGAGCCGCACAGTTGGGCTAGCCTGGGCGGCACTGCGCGGCTCCGTTCCCAACTCCCAGCAAGACGCGGCAGCCGCCTGGTAAGCCAGTGCGACCTCCTCTTCGGTCAGGGGCGGGACCTTCATGAGATCGATGCAGTCCTCCTCCTTGGAAAACCGAGATGTGGGACAGGAAGGCTTCCAGACTGGGCCTGTTTGCAGCACAGTTTCGGATTGCCGCATTCGCGCTTGGGACGTTGCCTGCCGCCAGGCTATTCAGCAAGATCTCTCTTGATTGGAGAGCCCACATCTGCCACAGACACCGACTGCACCCTCATCGCTACGCAGATTACTTCGCGTGTAACCCGCTTAATCACGAAGTGCCCACGTTCACGTCACGCCTTCAGCTGCGTCAACGTGATGTGCCAATCCACTGCTTCTGTCAAAGAGTTCGTCTTTTGGGTTCCTCGCGGATCAAAACCCATGATTAGTCGAACTTTGACAACTCCGACAGGCAGTCCAGGCATGAGTCAAGGGCGACATTGGGGTTAGGGACGAGGAATGCAGCAGGGCTTCGGCACTTGACGGTGGACCAGTGCATGTAGACGTAGTAGCCGTTCCCTGCCAAGGCTCTTCTCACGAGCTGCTTCTGTTCCGTGTGGGCTCAAGGCCTCATTAATTCATGAACCACAAGTTTTCCGGCTAGGAAAAATCTCAAGGCGGCTTCGGAAGTTGAAGGGTCCTCGTCCCGTAACATGCGCAACACGTTCTCCCGGCCTCCTGTCTTTTCTCTGTAGATTCCAGCTAGCTTCGGCCTCTGCAAAAGCGACCGTGAGTCCTAGTAGTCGCAGCAGCTGCAGAAGTGGCAGTAGTGGCGGTGGCGGCACTGGCGGCGGTGCTGGAAGCAGTATGTAGCGGTCGTCGTGCTTGTAGTGCTAGTAGAGGTACTGGTGCTAGTAGTGGTAGTGATGCCACGCGTAGCAGCAACAGGAGAAGCAGTAGTTTGTCACCCACAGCAGTAGTAGTAGTAGTAGTAGTATAGTAGTAGTAGTAGCAGTAGTAGTAGTAGTAGTGTTGCCTGCTGCATTGCTGTTCGAATCACTGGTGGCAGTAGTGGTTGCAGCGGTTGTGGTATTTGTCGTGCGGTCCCTGGGAAGGAGACACGGCACCTGTACTGACACTAGTCACTAGTCTTTCTACTCACACTGGGACGTACGTACTGTCCTGGACATTCGCGTTTGCAAGATCTTGGTCCATTTGACTCGCTTGCTGCACCCACAACATTCTGTTTCTGCCGGCAGGCTCCAAAACGTGATTCTTGGAGACGTCGCCATCCTTGCCGCCGTCGCTCTCGAAAGTGTTAGAACTCCGCGAGCAAGAGCAAAGAAGCCTCGAGCATTCTCTGTCCGTCTGCTTGTTGAGTTTGTTTCGAGCCGTTGGCAACACTCAAATTTCAGGAAGTCTTAGTAACCGCACAGCTTGGGCAGTCTCCTTCCATACACAACTGAGGTCAAAACCCAAACAGGCCAAATCTTCTGTTTGTGCATTTCTATCTGGCCGGGGCACCATTGCACCATGGCTCGCAGCACGTCGGAACTCTGCTTTTTCAACTGCTCGTTGACATTCTGACCAGAGGCAGGCGGGGACGGCTGGCCAGGATGTGTGGCTTCTGTCAAAGATGGAACGGCATGCAGCACGAAGACATGGTAAACTTGCTCATTCGGCGAACATGTAGAAAAGAAGTGTTCCACCTGCAGCTTCTCCGACAAAAGCATGTGGAGCACAATGCGCATGGCCTCGGCAGCAACAGCCGCAATTCATTAACGAACCTACATACCCGGTTACAGGGAGGCCATGTTGCATGCTGTGGCTACATGCACAGCTTGTGCTAGCATCATTAGCATCGTTGCGAAGGCCAGAAGCTGCCTCAACGGACAACGGCTCTGAAACCGTAGATCCTGCACCACTCCACCATAACACCGAAAGAAACCGATGTTTCGCGCCAGGAACGCGGAAGGTCTCAATCTTCTCTGCCAGCGCCCGTGTTGTCGGATCCTGCTGGTGCAGAATCAACCGGGTCAACAACTCTGAGCTGAACCCGGCTTCCTTTGAACCCAGCTTCCTTAGTTCCAGGCTGAACTTAAGGATAGCTGGGATGATTAGCACGTCTTGTTCGCCGAGCTTTTTTGTTGACTCGTGGTTAGCCCGAGCCCGAAGTGTCTTGAGCCCCCCGGTGCAAAGACCCTGAAGTCGGAATTGCTGTGATTCATTGCTTAGGTTGTGAACGTTCACCTGCCACCATGCACTGTTTAATTTGACAACTCACTTCACATACGAAACGCCTCCTCATCCGGGCCAGGCATAGGTCGACCAACCTCACTGAGACCGTCGAAGTTGCCGCCTTTGCCAGGGTTTCAATCCAGTGCTTCATTATACAGCATCGATACTGGCAATCGCAATAACAATAATGATCAAAAAACGCGAGTAGAGAGCACGGACACAAGGGCTGAGCTGCAACCGAAAGGCCTGAAGGCCAGAAATGCGCAGCCATGTAGAAGAATGCACGATACTGACACTGGTGTCTTCGACTGTTGCAGGCACAAATCTACAAAGGGCCTTGGGATGATGAGCTGCAAAGCATCAAATCAGCAACAGAGCCATCCGGCGCTGGATGTCAGTTAGACTTTACGCAGTATTCGTTTCCTTCGAGCCACAGCTGATGATATTGAGCCCGGCCGCTTTCCTCAAGCTCCTGATCGTACGCGGCCCGCCGCGATCCATCGCTGAGGATCTCAAAGGCGGCGACAACACCCTGGGACTGGGGCCATCTTGGGGTCTTGCTTTCCATGGGACTGGGACGACTTAGTTCGGTGATTGGCTTGCATGTGATTTAATGCGACTGTTGCAGCAGATCGTGGAGAAAGCCAAAGCTCGATTGCCTTTCGGGATCATTGCGGCTAAGCGACATGAAACTCCTCCGGACCTCAGATGAGGGTGCAATCACGCTCGGCAAGGATCCGAGCAGGATCTACACAGCGGCAGCAGTCGCAGCGGAGCTTCCTGGCCACGACTTCCCTTTCCTGACAATGCTTCATTTTGCGCAGATGCCGTTTCACCAGGCTCGCGCGGCCTTCGCGGCGGGTGCTACTGGCCTTTGTGTGCCGAGTTGCGGGACACGTCGCAACCCGCACCTTGAAACTCAGCGTTTCGAAGCTGACCCGTCGTTCGGGAGTGGGAAATCACTGGCGATGCAAAACGTTCTGGTCGCGATGGCTCGGACATTTTCTGGAAGAGGTGGCAGACGCGCAGCCGACTCAGGCTGCTGAGCCCCGCCGGCACCCCCTCACTGGGCACCTTCCCGCACTCCCACGCTGCGCGCCGGGACGACAAAGACGAAGATAGAGCTTTGAGCATAGTCATCGGGCAGCTTAGACGTCAGGCAGATCAAGATCCGACGCTGCTGCTTCATGGCATGGATAGCGCAAGGCAGGCTGGGCAGTGGGCGTCCGCCCTTGTCTGGATGTGTCAGAAGAGCTCGTCGCCGGAATGCCTCTGCAAAAGCTGCTCTCTGTTGAATAGAATAATAGAAGTAGATAAGATCGCGTGCTGCCGCAACGCATCAAACGCATCTCATGTTGTGACATGTTGCGACAACCTTCACGCCCGTTGAAGTACAATATGGTGAGACCCCGCCGTCTCGCCCTGTCCCTCCGCCGCCTCGCGGATCTGAACCGCCGACGCGCCCCTGAGGACCTGAAGCTCCTTGGCCAGAGTGTGGCTTTGGGGACTCACTCTGCGTGCCTCCTGCACCGGAAGGACTGTGCTTGTTTTGCGTGGCTTTCGGATAGCAGGGCATTTCATGGGCCCGGGCCAAGCCGTGACGAAGGCAGCAAAACTCGAGGGGTTGAGGGGAAGGGGATTATGCGACTGGGGAGCTAGGAGTTGTGCCGAACGCCTCTAGGCTTCACCCGGTGTTTGCCTGCTTTGTCGATTAGACACATTGACTGGCTGGCATCGAGTGGAGGGGCGGGGGGCTTGGGCTCCGTCAGCTCATGTTTGGAGCTCCAACTTCGGCGTGAAGATGTTGGTCAAGGTCTAGAGCGTAGAACTTGGAGTGTACTGGCCAGCCAGTGTGGCATGCACGCTTCGAAGAGCGGACCCCGCCTGGTTGCATTGCAACTGTGGCGAATTGAGGACACTGGAAGTGAAGTAGAAACTGCCGAAACCTAGTGTTCGGTCCGTTGGTTAAATCGCCACTGCTGCAGGCCTACCTTTGTTTTCAGCAGATTGAACCACAAAAAGCGATCGTTCAAAACAATAGGCAGCAGGCAATTATGTAGACGTCATGCGAATCCGAAACAGCACAAGGCGCTTCCGTAGGGCTGCTGTGTGGTCCGTGTCTCGTGGGGAGGATAGCCAGCTCACGAAGATGTCAAGAGACTTGACCTCCCACTTCAAGTCTTGTCTTAACCGAGTCGTGAAATGGGCCTCCGTCGCACATTGCTCAACAACGACGGCACACATCTGAGGGTGACACGATGCTAGGCTCCAGGTCAATGCTACTATCGCTGCTGCCAAATCTTACGGGCTGCAGCGCTTGAAGTCCCAGTCACCACTGAGGTGCCCCGGGCAAAGCGATGCATAGCTTTCGGCCTTTCGACGACCTCTTGGTGTTAGACTGATAGATGAAATAAGCCGACCGAAAGCATCCTGCGACCCGCAGCCTCCTTCGATACATGACATTCTTGCCAACTCGATGCTTTGCCAACCACTTCACTCGAGCATGTGACCGGTGCCTCTGACATGGTTGGGCCTGAAATGTGCCAAGGGCAGCTTGCACTGTGCAGCCGAAGCTGCTCGGAGTGCTTGCTTAAGATGCTCATCCGACCGCTGGGCAAGCTGCTTGACAACGCAGGCGAGACCACCACGAATCAAAAATTATGCTCTTGTCTCGAAAACTCTGCGCCCTGTGTTCAAGTGCAGATGTAACAAGAAGTGCAGGCGATCAGCGAAGCTGCCGAAGAGGTGATCCAAATCTCGGCCAATCCACAACTGCAAGCTGCAACTGCTCGCCTCGTGATGTGCAAAAGCGGCTGTGCCGGCAGAAGCCAACGGCTTTGTTGAGCCACAGCCGTGAGTGACGGATTGATGACCTCAGGCATTCGGAACCTGAGAGTGACCCGGGACCATTCCCCGACTCGGCCAAGCCTTACTGTCAGCATGTGCCCCGTGCAACTCTCGACCTAAGCTACTCCTCTCGCATCCTGAATGCCTGGGGCTATGCACATGTGCCGTTGCAATAGGCCCTGTGAAGCCATGGATAGGTCGGAGGTGAAACACGCCTGACAGTCTCAGGCAAACGAGGAAGCATCTCCGGCTTAGAGGGCTATGGGCCTGCATGGTACTTGAAGCGACGCAGAGAGCTTCCTCTGCGTGTCCCGTGGCGCTTCGGCCAGACAAGGGGATCCAAGCAACGTTGGTCCCGTAACTTACCTCGTGGATTTGTCTGATCCCGTCGGAGAGTGTTTCTTGTTTGTAGCACACCGCAACAAACTGCAACACGGTTGCCAATGATTTGCAACTTGCTGTGCTTCATACTCCGGCCGAGCACTCAAACTCTTGTCCCCTGTCTGTGTGTGTGTGTGTGTGTGTGTGTGTGTGTGTGTGTGTGTGTGTGTGTGTGTGTGTGTGTGTGTGTGTGTGTGTGTGTGTGTGTGTGTGTGTGTGTGTGTGGTGTGTGTGTGTGTGTGTGTGTGTGTGTGTGTGTGTGTGTGTGTGTGTGTGTGTGTGTGTGTGTGTGTGTGTGTGTGTGTGTGTGTGTGTGTGTGTGTGTGTGTGTGTGTGTGTGTGTGTGTGTGTGTGTGTGTGTGTGTGTGGTGTGTGTGTGTGTGTGTGTGTGTGTGTGTGTGTGTGTGTGTGGTGTGTGTGTGTGTGTGTGTGTGTGTGTGTGTGTGTGTGTGTGTGTGTGTGTGTGTGTGTGTGTGTGTGTGTGGTGTGTGTGTGTGTGTGTGTGTGTGTGTGTGTGTGTGTGTGTGTGTGTGTGTGTGTGTGTGTGTGTGTGTGTGCGTGTGTGCGTGTGTGCGTGTGTGCGTGTGTGCGTGTGTGCGTGTGAGAGCGTGAGAGCGTGAGAGCGTGAGAGCGTGAGAGCGTGAGAGCGTGAGAGCGTGAGAGCGTGAGAGCGTGAGAGCGTGAGAGGGTGAGAGGGTGAGAGGGTGAGAGTGTGAGAGTGTGAGAGTGAGAGAGTGAGAGAGTGAGAGAGTGAGAGAGTGTGAGAGTGTGAGAGTGTGAGAGTGTGAGAGTGTGAGAGTGTGAGAGTGTGAGAGTGTGAGAGTGTGAGAGTGTGAGAGTGTGAGAGAGTGTGAGAGTGTGAGAGTGTGAGAGTGTGAGAGTGTGAGAGTGTGAGAGTGTGAGAGTGTGAGAGTGTGAGTGTGCGAGTGTGAGAGTGTGAGAGTGTGAGAGAGTGTGAGAGTGTGAGAGTGTGAGAGAGTGTGAGAGTGTGAGAGTGTGAGAGTGTGAGAGTGTGAGAGTGTGAGAGTGTGAGAGTGTGAGAGTGTGAGAGTGTGAGAGAGTGTGAGAGTGTGAGAGTGTGAGAGTGTGAGAGTGTGAGAGTGTGAGAGTGTGAGAGTGTGAGAGTGTGAGAGTGTGAGAGTGTGAGAGTGTGTGTGCGTGCGTGCCACGCCGTTACATGCTGTACTTCACTGGATAACAGGTCTTGTACCTTCGCACGCTTGCAGTCCCGTGTAGCTGCACGGCTACATAACAACCGCAGCTACAAGGGGCTTTCTCCTACAGCCTTGATCCGTCATGTTCGTGTGCTCTTCTAGTCTTGCCTTACGCATAGGACCGGCATAGGAGCTATGGTCATCAAGCACGAACAACAACAGCAGCAGCAACAGCAAAAGCAACAGCAACAGCAACACAACAGCACTAGCAAAAACAGTCATAACAATACAATCAAGATAAGAATAAAAAAAACATAAACTCAACAAACTCAACTTAAACAAAGCAGATAACAAAAAACAATAATGACCATTGTACTAATACCAATACAGGCAAAAGAAATAGGAATAGCATTGTTACAGTCATTGTAATAGTACCATGGCAAAAAATGGTACTGTACTCGTAAAAAACTGGTACCAGTTCTAGTACTTTACTAGTACTAGTGCTAATACTAACACTGGTACTAGTACTGGTAATGGTAATCGTAACGAGCAGTAGTAAAAGCAATAGAAATAGTAACGGTCATAGTGATAGTTAGAGTAATAAGAATAAGACTAATAAGAACAGTAACGAGAATAAGAATGAAAACTGTAATAGTAAGAACAATAAGACGAACAGTTATACCAAGAATAGCACTAGAAATAGCACTAACAACAATTATGAAAATAGCTGCTGATGCCAGAGCTGAGCAGCTAGCACACTAGGGCAGGGGCCAATGTGTTCTGCAGGCTGACTAGCTGGATTTGGTGAGGGGTTGTCTGCGACCTGTGCTTTTGTCAGCAATCATCCGCCCGTTGTGCTCTACTTGGTTACTTTGTGAAATTGCCTTGCGTGGCTTTCCCGATTGGAGTTGATAACGTATGGTGGCCGCTTCGGTAGGACTATTGCAATTCTCTGGGTTGCTGTTGCAACAAAGCTGGCGTTCCCCTTTCTCCCTTGCGGGCGGTGCTCATATCCCCGGCCCTTCTCCCGGTGCTGAAGCAGTCGCCGAATAACTACATTGACGCGTCGCCTTGTCAAATAAAGAGCTGGACGCGCGCCCCGCTCCCCGCCCCGCTCATCTGGTGTGTGCTTGGGTGTCTTTCCTCAGGTGCATGCGGCCGTGGCTTCCCGCCACTCCCCTGTGGTTGTCCCGCCACTCCCCTGTGGTTGTATGTGTTGCTGGTGTTTTGCCCCCGGCTGCAGCCGTGGATACGGTGCTGGTGGGTCAGGCCATATTGCCGGGCCGTGCACTGCTTTGGTTTCCCCCTCTGTGGACATGTCTTGCATGCTGTGGGCCTAGGCCTGCGGCTTTTGCGAGGCTTTGTCAGAAATTGGGTAGGGCAAACCGTTTGCGCCTCAGCACTCACAGCTGGGACAAGCCTGGTGAGGATCCTGGTGCGACGAAGGCACTTTGGTCAATTAGTAGCACAGGCTTCGGATTATGAGGTTGGTGTTCTATTTTCGTCAGTCTTGTTCATACAGTAAGACATTGTAGGGGTAGCGCCAGCACGCTGCAATGTGATCAAGTTATCGGAGGCAGGTATGCATAGATATAGCAGTATAAGTGAAAACACACACACACACAGGCACCAAAACGTATTCTTATGCTGTTCTTATGCGTAAGCTATCATGGAGCCGTGGCGGTTCTTCGAGGAGCTACGAGTCGCCAACGTTGCTGCATGTTCGTTTGCGCGCGCGCGCCCAGTTTCAGGAGATCGCGCAGCAGGAACTTTGACCAGATGCCGCCTTCTGGACCTCAGATGGACAAGGGCTGCAACACACCCATCCCACGCATTTTCCGATCTGAGGCAAAGACCTTGTCATCTGGCTGCTCTATGCTGTCCTGATCAGCATCTTTCGTGCATGAGACAGGACCAGGTTTTGATGAAATCTGAAAGGGACAGCCCATGAAAATGCTCTCACGCCGGCACTACTGCAAACGTTGAAGGATGCTGCAGCCGAGCTTCATCGATTTGGAGCGGTTCCAGCGGACCTGGGAGTAGTCAAGCTGGCTGCGTAGCAATTCGCGAAGAGTCCCGACTACGATCGACATGCAATGCGGAAAATTGCAGTACCTTATTGGTTTTGTCAGTCCGGGATGGCTTCGCCACGATAAGCCACGAAGCCAACAGACAGACCCAGCCGCACGTGTCCCAGGCCTTCGAGACCTACTGGGGCTCCGACCAGTATCTTTCCCACGCAGGAACTCGAAGTCGTGATCCTCGCTAGGCCCGATCTCGGCCCTCAGCGACGCGAACATTTTCCTGGCGGCACAACACGGTGGGCCACCACTCTGCAAACTTGAAAAACACTGTGTGGTCCTCATGCCGGCGTAGTCTGGTCGTTCGGTATACCTCGGCAAGATGCAGAGTCTGGGCAAGCATTAACAACCCGAAATTGCGCAAGGCTTGTGATGACACATGCAGAGCCCGCACCACAGATGTCAGGACGATTGGCGAGACTACACCACAAAATACCGTCGAGCTGCAACCACCATGCGGATGATCAACTAAATGCGAAGATGTAGCATGGCAAACCGCAGAACATCGCGGAACCATTGCACCATGGCCCCGGCTTCAGATTCCGAGCTTGCTCCAAGTACTTGGCGAAGTGCTGCGGGTGTCCCTCGCCTCCGAGCGGTTCGAAACGCACGTGTTGGGGTGTCAGCTGGGGCATGCTGAGGCTTCCCAGGGTCCGGTATGTAGGATGTCTTCAGTCTTCAATATACCGCATCGGTATGCTTCGCAAGGCTACAACGGAATCAGTTCTCAGCCCTCGCACCGGCTTTATTGGTCGGTCGAGCTTGTCGCAAGTGTCTTAATCAGCAAAATCCGCTTGGAAAGCTGGATTCCTGGATCCATGGCACGCCCTGCAGCTCCTGCGACTGCCTTACGGAGAATCTGGGTGCACGGCAAAGCTGCTCAATGGGGAACGTCTCCTGCACAGCGCTTCAAGACGTCAGTTGGAACTCCAGGCTTCCAGCGAAGCATCAGACTGAGCTGGCGCAACACTCTGCGTACAAGAAGCGCAGCATGACGAGAAGAACACTCCAGAGAAAGATTGAAAGACAGCAGAGAGAGAAGCAAATATCATTGTATCATTTAACCATATAGTTATATAGCCGACATATGTATACAAGTATAAAATAAGAGAGAGGGGCGTCACCAGCCTTCACCTCGCGAATCTTCCTGTACTTCTCCTCCTGCGCAGGATCCCAAGGTTGGCACGACTTCAGCCCTCGAATCGGCTCTCAAAGTTCAAAGGTCTACCGATAGCCACCACAGCCTCGAACTTTTGAGACCCCTACTCCTCCCCCATGAACTTTGAACCATGCCAGGTGGTGCACTGCGCAAGACTCCAAACTGCCAGGCTGAAGCCTCAAATCCCCCAAAAGGCAGGAAAGCTCCAAAAGCCCTCGGCAAAAGCGCCCAGAAACGGCGGCTCCTGTGACTTGGCCTCGAGACCCGACCAGGGCAGCGAGCCGCGCAGGAAGTAGAAAATCATGTGCCCAACCGCCTCCCAAAAAAAGGGGAGATCCCAGCAAAGCGGAGACGACAGATCCAGAAACAGTATGACGGAATCTGGTCAGCTATTGCCCAATTCATCCCAATCCTGAAACAGAGGATCTTTGAGATTTTGAATGAAACTTCTTCTTCACAACTGTCTCGAGTTTCGGCATGGCCACCCTTCGTCAAGGAGCAGCCAACAGAAGACCGGCAGGTTTCAGATGTAAGGACAGCTCTTAGCGTCACAGAGTTGTTGGCCTTGGGCTCGTGCTCTGCCGCATGGGCCCTTTGGCATGATGCCCCGAACCCCCGCATGCAGTTCTTCAGACGCTTGAGACCCATAGTGGGACGGGGAGGGCGCATTGCTTCATGCTAGCACAAACCCAGTCACGTATCTCCTGCAAAAGGCTAAAGGCCCTAGTTTTCCTCCCCTTTGTTGGTGCCATACCCGACCGCCAGACCGCAAACCGACCATCGCCCACAGGACGATACTCGCACCGGTGGGTAGTGTGTAGGGATGGCGATAGCCTAAACTTTCCCCGCACTCTAACTCTAACCCCCACTTCGCCCAAGAGCTGCTTCCCCTCCGCCTCAAGATCGTCTCGGCGGCTCTGCTCCATGCCTGCCAGGGAAACCGAAGAAGGTACTGCGAGAGCAGCAAGGGATGTGCAACGAGACGTAAGAATAGCAAACGGTGCCGACATACCCTCGTACGACATACCACCCGCTGAGCCGCAAAAGGCCCGTCGTCTTCTCGCAAGCGTTGCTTCTTTTCTCACCGCTTCTGTCTCCGCCAGCTACACACCGAGCCAGCTCGCGGCTCAGAAGCCAAGATAGAAGCCGAAGGTCGTGTTTTTCAGAACATAATCAATAAGAATCCATGCGACAAATAGCACCGCCAGGGTGGGCAGCAAGTCGAATCCAAAGATCTTCCGAAACCTCAGCAGCCACGATCATGTGTTAAAGCCGGTGGCATAAGCCCCGATGACTTGCACCCCAAAAGCCAAAAACCCCTGAAGCCGAGCACAGGTGACTCGAAGCTGGCTTGCCGAGTGAGGTCGTTGACCGCCTCACTCGTCCGGCTCACTTTCTCTGCCGCCTGCAAATAGTGGCTTTCGAAAAGGAGAGCTTAGGGCGTGGGGGTATTCGGTGTTTGGGCTTGAACCTGAACCCCGAAACCCAAAAATTGAAGGTCTTTGGGGCGTCATCGCCTCTTCCACAGAACCCAGCTCGATCTTCGGCTGCCTCAGCACTTCAGCCGTGTAGACACTCGCGATCACTCGCGACTCGGACACTTTAGGCGGGGCTATGTTGCCAGAGGGACTGCATTGGGACCCAGAGAATGAGGTCGGCCTCCAACTTCATCCCTCATCAGGCCCTGTGCTACACCCCTCGCACTCTCACCGCATTCCGCATGCAACTCATTCATCCCACTTATGATCATACAGCTACAAGCTACTGACTCACTACCCGAAGCGACAAAGCTGCTTCTCAAAGGGCTTAGGGGGTTGAAGTCCAGGCTTTGGGCTCGGCGATACCATACACAACTGGGGCGCAGGGCAGCTCGATAGGAGTACTGCAGGTGTTGGGCAGGACCAACCGGCAGCACTTGGTTGCCACAGACCCTCTAACATCTAATCTATCCAAAGTATCTAAGTATCTAAAGTATGTCTAAAACTAAAACCTCGACATAAAAATCTCGCATCGATGCCTGTCTCCTGTCTGGCCAGGCGACTTATCTTCCTCATCGCCACCGTCCCCTCCTCCCTTGGGCGGAGGAATGGCTGCGGCATGCCTGCTGTGCTCATCAAGATTTTGGTTCTATGTGCTTATTTCCCGTTCTGACTCTGACTTGCTTCGCGGCGATTGCTTGCAACGGCAAGCGCCGTAAATTGCTGTGGTAGCTTAGGACCCCGTTGCAACAATCTCTCCCTTGCACTTGCACTATGGGACAACGTCATCAACATCATGAACAGCACGGGCTTCATCTTCCCTTTTCTGCCACCACCCACTGTCATGGTTCGGGCTGGGCGAAGTTTCCCGCGGCTAGACAAGCACGTCGATTTCATCTGAGCTGTTGACCTTTCTTGTTTCTACTGATGCTTTGCAGCCAACCCTGAGGGGGTCGGATCCCTTCAAAGGCCACCTGGATCACCCAGCACTTTGTCACACATCCTGCCTGATGACCAGCGCAGCACCGGCATGTGCAGGTCTATCTGGTCCAGCCCTTGATGCTGTCGGGACCCTTCTGACAGAAAAAGCGATACTTTCTCTTGGGAACTGCGGGGTCGCTGCTCAGGAATGAAAAAACACAAAAGCCTGGGCCGAGATTCAGAATTCCTCGCGTCGGAGGTGCTGCGAATGCTTGCAAAGCCTGAAATTGTTTGAAATCAGGCCTAACCCCAGCAAAGCTTGCAGAATGCGAAGTGTGGCCCCCAAGCAAGAGCGACCCAGCTTGTCCTCCGTCAGCACAGCCATGGCTGTCACGGCTGTCAGGGCAGCCCGTGCGGCACGTGCACCCAGAGCTCTCTGCATCCGAATGGATCCCACGGCCATGGCTCTGGAGCTCATCGCTTGATTGAGGAAGCACTTCTGAATGAGCTCTGGCTGAGAAGTACAAACACCCAGAACACCAAGCACGATGATAGGAAATCGAAGCCGCTGGAGTTGATCTCGACTTCCATGGTGCGGTTTCAAGCTCAGGGCAGGAAATGGCACACAGACGCCGCACAGCCTCCAAAGTCATGAAGATCGGTGGGCCCTTTATGTCCCGGTCTTCCTAATTGAAACTCGATACGCCGTGATGCGCCCTTGCTGACAGGATGAGCACACATGCAATGTACTTGCACGTTCCACTGACACCAAAGCCAGAGGCCGCACTGAGAAGTCCCGAAGCCCTTGTCCCAAACGGCCAGGGCCGAACCAAATCATCCTTCCCCGACTCGGCCTTTGTGCGCATTGATGGATGCATACCGCGCCGTCCCAGTGAGGCTCTGGAGCGCCCTGGCAAGATTCACTTCCCGGGGGTCTCAGAAGGACTCAATGTCTCGAGCTCAAGCTCCTTCTTCCCTGGCCCTGCGGTTTGTGGCCTCGGCGGTGCATGCTGCTTGTCTCGCCAGTACCTGCAGCTTCCGGCATGGGAAACTTCGAGAGGTGCGGGAAAATCTCCGCCTTCGGCCGAGGCCGAAGTCGATGAGGTACAGAACATGGACCTTGCGGCCAACACCAAACCTCGGCTTCAGACTTGAGCAGCACTTTCTGCTCTCCCAACTGCGAGTGCTCTACCCGGAAGCATGTCTGCCAAGCCGCATGAAGTTCTCAGGCTTGATGTCCTAAAGCACAGAGAATTTGGAGGTGTGGGGCGAGCTGGCAGCAGGTAGCTGGTTGATCCCAAACTTGCCTCGTGAAGACGTGCGGCACGGGGGCTCCTACAACAACCTCCCACCTCCGCCTGACTTTGCCGGGTGGCTCGGTGAATGAGGCCGAGGGAATGGAGAAACTCCAAACGCCGAAGGATCTGATCGACGATCAGCACCTGTTGTGCGCAAGAATGGCTGGCACTTGACTGGCAATTGTGTCGGTTGGGTGGTTAGATGGCTCGTTGGCCGGGCTAGCTGCTCGGCTGTATGGGTGTCGGGACCGGGGTGTAGGCGTGCCGGAGACGATGCGAGACTTCTCGTTGTAGCACTTCTGGTGCGGGGATGCATGTATGTGTGGCGCGCGGAGTAGGGCGTGGAAGTGGATGTGAGTGGCTGGGTGGCGTGGTGGGACTGCCTGAAAAATCACAAGGAGTGGGGATTCTAAGGTTGTTTCTGCCAAGCAGCGCAAGATTGCGGCGTGAGTTTCTTGCCGCACTGCTGCATTCGGTCCTGCCGCGGCGTCAGCAAACATACGACGTACACCCACTAACCACAGATACGACTGAGCCTATGATGTAATCTTCGCATTGCTGCTATTGCGACTCGCAGTGGCGATGCCAATGGCGATGACGATGCTGAGCACGGAGATGATAATGATGACACTGGTGATTGTGCTGGTGGTGCTGTCCTGATCACAATGATGACGGTGATTATGTAGACGCATGGTGATGAGGTAATGCTGGTGTCGGCCGCTGTGGTTGCGGACCTTTTCTTCCCTGGCCCAGCCTCTAAGGACCGGCCGAGCAGCTCCATCGCCTGCAGCTCCGGATAGCAGCAAGAGCAGCAGTAGACACAATGGCAGACTAGCTGCAGGGGTAGCAGCAGAAGGCGCAATGTAGCACATGTAGCTGAAAAATAGCCATGAGCATGAAGACTCTGAGTCTGCGGCTAGACAGCTGAAGCGGCCCTCCACCCCGAACCTGGTGCATGGACGCTCCGGGGAGGCACTGTACTGTGTACGCACACACTTCGACTACCGGAAAATTGAGAACACGAATGGTGTTGGAGAATGCCTCGTGAATTTCACAAAATTCATGCTGCTAAGCCCAACCACAGCTAACCACGAAAATTCGCAGACAGGCAGCCAAAATGGCTTGGAGAAGCCCTGGGCATTCTCGTTCGCGGCGCTGATAATCCGCAACGTGTCCTCTAGAAGAAGTCACTACCCTTCCACTCTCAACTCACCCGACCGACGAAGTTGGGCACATCACCACGAGGTAACAGCTCGTTAAATCTGCTTTCAGCAAGCCCTCGGTCATATTCCGTCTTCAGCTGGTTCGGAGCACCTTTCGCTTGGTTGTCCTCGAACTTTATGGCGACGGTTTCCTGAGAATGAGCCACACGTATATAACCGTATATAAGTTACATGGGCATGAGCAGTCAACATCGAGGCAATCTTCTGAAACGGGGAATCGGACTGTCTTGTCTTATTCCCGAAACCTGTTCACAAGCGCCTCTCCAATTTCGTCCGAGCTTCTCCACTACTCTTTTCAATACCTGCAACAAGCAGAGGCAACATTGACAGAGAGAACCGAGGTAAACCGCCGCGGGCAGCAGATTGCCATGCAGCCGAAGATGGTGTGCGCAAGGCGTCAGGCTAGCATATCGGCCTTTCCAGACTTGGCCAAAGCATCCGGCGCCAAGTGCTTTTTGAACTTCGAAACGGCCTCGGCTTCGAGACGGCTTCGGAACTGAAGTTGGGCGGATGCTTTACTGCCCTACACGATGCAGCCAAAGGCACCATTTCCGATCTCTTTGGGAGGTTTCGGAGGCATGGCAGCATAACGACTTGAGTCTTTGCATTCAATACTGGCGATTGAGCCCGAGCCGCGATGCGATGATATGCAGAGCATGCAACTCGGACAACATACGCATGCAGCTGACAAGATGCTAGATGCTAGGGAGAACTTCCATGCTGCGTGGCAAGTCCGACACTGCAGAGACGCAGCAGCTGTCTACAGCTCATGCTTTGCATACCCCATGAATTATGGAAGCAAACATGCTGTCAAAGGCTCGTCGTAATGCCCTCGAGGATGCAAAGTCGCCTGAGCTATCCGGTCCCAGTCAAGCTTGAACCGCCTTTGGGAGGCCGAAGGAGCTGCCTGGGCCCGCCCTCTGCTTCGAGCCAAGGCGCCCGAGATTGGGACTTCTTGGTGAAGGTTGGCCCACTGTAGCCGCTGAAAGGCCCCTTGGAAAGGCGGAGCATATTCTATCATCGAGCCATGTCGAGCCCCAAGACTACGAGGGCTCGTTTTGACCTCGGCTGTGCCTGCAGGGCGACGAGGATCTTGGGAGGCTGCTTTCCGATGATCCGTCGACGGTCTTGAGCCTGGACCGGCTCTGTGTGTGTGTGAGAGACACACGCACGCGCCGAATTCTGATACGCTTCGGGGCCAAACCGCCAAACCTCTCAAGGGACTGCGACTTATCACCGCCCACGCCAGTGGTTTCTCCCAGAGTCGCGGCCTCGGGAAAGATGTCGTCGAAGGACTGGCCTCTGCAGCAACAGCAATCCAGGTAATCCCGGATGAGACATCGGCCGATGTTTTCCAGTGGGGAGAGAAAGCAGCCTTGAAGCTAGGCCCCGGGCCCAGCACCGAGGCGGCAAAAGCGTGGAAGCGCTTAGGGCCTCGAAGCTTTCGGCCAAGGCAGCACCGATGCAACCAAAAGCATTCCGCAGAGAGGGCACGAAGGGAAACTCCAGCAAAGGAAAAGCGCCTCCAATGACAATCGGCTAACTTAACATCAAGACCAAGGCCGGCCACGCCCCTGTACAACCCCGCATTCGGCAATCGATACCACGGGGACATGATGATCCCGTGAAGATCCCTGCAAACATCCCTCACCAGATGAACACGCTCCCAACGCGCCTCCGAAACATCACTTGGGCTTCGGTAAGGTTGGAGACATCGCCACGAACACAGACACATGAACCTACCCGCGCCCCCAAGCTTGCTGCAAACATAAGTACACTCCAAGACAAACTGAAGACCACACTTTGGAAACGTCTGATTGTGAGCGCACCCTCCCCTAACATGCCAGTTGAAAGTGTGATGCCGCCTTTTACCACACTGACGTAAAAGCAGTACTTGTTGGCGCTGCACCGGTTCCAGCAAAAGTCTTTTTTTGTGCAAGGCACAAGCCCCGGTAAAACTCAATCCTATGCTTACGACAACCGCCACGATCACGAATTGTCATACGTTTTCAGCGAAACATAGGCAGCGGCAAAGTCTTGTTTTCCTCGCGCTTTTTGATTCAGTGTCACTAGTAAACAGGGAGTATTTGAGGAAATATTCACAGGGCGGTGATGTAACCCTCTCGGCATGCCCTACCCGGCCCTACCCCACAATCGCTAGGCCCTCTGTAAACCGATTGCACAAACTGCCTCAACGGCGTTCTGCTGAGTTGTTTGCCAAGCGATGTCGCTGAAACGCGGCTGTCTCAGTCATCCAGTCATGGCCACGATTTGCTGGCTCTCTACTTGGAGCCCAAAGCCAACACTTTTTGATAGTTTTCAAGCGGAGCTGGCCCCCACTATGCAAATCCTCAAGCCGCCCGGGCCTCTGCCGCGAACGCTCTCGCTTGGCTTTGGCTTTATGGCTTTGGTCTTTGCCATAGCCTGCAGGCAGGACACTTCAGTTTCGACGGCCCGAACATGTCCACAAGGTTAGTCACTAACCGCTGGTGTCTCTGAAACAAATTTCCGGCCTTCGATTTCGCTTTTGCCTTTGGCTTCTGCCTCTCCTTGGCAAGACGAGCAAGACATCCCTGTCAAGTCTCGTCAGGGCAAGACTTCAGGACGCTACCGCGTTGGTGTAAGCTGTCGAGGTGCGTGCAATCACACTCAGCCCAGAAGAAGGCCCCTTCCCAAAATGATTTGCAGCGGTAGCAGCCGGATACTTCGTTTTCGGGGCCATCTGGTCAGGGCCACGCAGGAACTCGAGGCCATAGTTGATTCAGGGAACTCTTAGCAGGAACCGACCTCATGGGCTGATGGGACCGGCCTCCGCACGTCGAAGGTGGCCGCCGGGTTGGAGCCACTGTTTGAGCCCAAACGTCTTCAAAGATCCAGCGGATGTGGAAACGAATTCCAGCCCGAAAAGACTGAGAGCTTGCACACAGCTGCTCCGATGACTCGAGCCCGAAAAGGCCAATGCTGTACGCTTACCAGCAAATGCATCGCCTACTACTTACGGAAGCATTGCTGCATCCTGCCGCCACACAGAAGAGGAATGTCCGAATGGATCTACAGACGGCCAAGCGGCCAAGCGTGCAAGCCCTCTATAGAAGCGGATGGCTCCCCTCCGCTGTTCCGAGCTGACGGTACATCCTGGAAACGCCAAAGCTTCAACACCTTCTTGCTCTGCATGTCTGTATGTCTTCTGACCGAAGCCCGATCCAAGCGCCCCCGTTCGTCCCCTCAGGCTGGCGGTGGTTGGCACCTGCTTCGCATCCTCAAAGAGGACCTGGTGCCAAGGCACCAGAACCGGCTCTTGGATCTCGGGTGGGGCGAGGTGTGGCTTGTGGTTGCAGCGGGTGTGTTGGCCCTTACTTTTACAGGAACTCCTGGCTTCTGGCCGGCCTTGTAGTAAGCAGCATCGCCTGCCTCAGGAAGACTCGCAGGCCGATCTGCCATGCCGTGCTCGTGTTCGGGCACTACAATCAGTAGGGCACTTGCTACTGGCAAGTACTGTCGTTTGGAACTTGAGGTGTCCGTCGGTCGGTCATGTCATCGTGTAGCATCTTGTGGCTTCTCAGTGGGCTTCTCAGTGGTTGGTAAACTGGCAAACCAGGCGCACCCCTCGTCGTGAGCTCCAAAGAATCTGATCTCAGGCCGCAGCTGCTTGGCGCAACTCCTCCTGCAAGCTGTCGAAGGCTTGCTGAAGCTTGTAGCCTTTCACGCAGAGGACTGAGGACCGACTGGAGACGTCGACCAGGTCAGGGCTCGAAAATTGAGAGCACTCAAGGCCTGCTTCGCGACTCCAAGTCTCCATTGCCCTTGACTTGACTTCGAAGACTGCAACGTTTAGGTTTCAGGTTTCACTCACTTTCAGACACATGAAGACAGCTGCCCCCTCTCATCCCGTGAACGTTGCAGCACCGATCCGAGCCTGCTTGCTGAAGCATGCCAATTTCGGCTTTGGCCTTCTGAGCCTTCACGCCAGGACTTATGCCTTTCTGTGTTTGGCGACACTCTCCAGGCTCCTGCTCTTTCCAAGCTCTGGCATGCCTGAGGACTTGCCGAGCTGGGGATGCTTTTTGATTTGCCGGTAGCAGGCGGCTGTCCCAAAGTTCTGCTGCCCTCGCTGCACAGAAACCTTCCGGAATCCGAAGTTCCCCGAGCCTCGTCCCGCGCCGCACCAGCTTCGCACAGGAAATCTGCACGCACCTCATGTAAGGCGCCTCATCGCAACAGGGGACAACCAGAAAGCTCGAGCAGCATCAGTGCGCGGTGAGGTCCAATAGTTAAACTAATTACGAGGCGCCGAAGCTACATCAGGAGACATGTGCCCCGAACGAAGAATACTCTGAAGCGTGTCATGATTCTGTGGAAGATTTGTCCTTCTAATCTGCCAGCGAACCCCAACCATGAACCCTTTCTGTCCCAATCCACCCCCCTTCCAAGGGCGCGCCCAACAGATGCTCCCAACGCTCTGCCGGACCTTGGCTGAAGGCCGGCAAGCCCCTACTTGGACGCTTCGACTGGGGACTGAGGGGAATCTGTGGTGTGAAGCTCGAGCGCTTGCCTCGGCCTGGGGCTTCGGTTGACTCTGTTTCTGCTTCGGGCTCACATCTGGGGTACGCATGGATAACACAACAAGCAGGGTCCAGTGATCCTGACAACCCTCAAACACGCTTCAATCCACTGCGGTTGACAGTGTACTGGGCCTTACGGAACAGCCCTTGAACATGCATCAATGTTCGAGGGGCTCGTGTTACGTGTTTGTCTGGTCTTGTTGTATTGCATTCGGACAACACATGGTTCCGGGAGTTCGGAAAGTAGGTTCTTGCACGATATCGCTTCAAGCTTCAGAACCGCTTGTTCATTTTGAGCCGATTGCATCCAATGTTGGCGCAACCTGGACAGGCGAGAACTGTACACTGTACACCGTCATGCCTCCAGTGGTTGCTCGCCCTCGACCTCTCAGAACACCGTTTCTGTTCCGGTGATCACACGGCCGAGCACCTCAATCTGGGATGGCGACCGGACACAGTTCTCCTCCAAACCGGAAGGAACCACCCCACAGCTCGGTGGAACCCATGCTGCATCGAAGGATCCTCCCTCTGCGGTTTGCCAAGTGGTCTGCAGCGGGTGGCCTCTGTAGTTGATGGTGATGACCCGGCCCAGGGAAACCGCCAGCCGCAGCACGACGCTTCCATACCTGCGGGCCTTTCGCAAGTCACGGGAGCAGTAGATGCCCGGTCCAAGCATCCCACCGACTGAGGGCTTAAACCCATGCCGCTCGATGGCAGAAGCACACTCCGGGGATGTCCCGTGAAACATCTCGAAGAGAAGTGAGTCTGTGGAATCTTTCGACTTGGCTCGTGCCAACGGGCGGCCCAGGCGGTATGGAGACAAGTGGCACTTCCTGCCGTGAGCATCCACCTCCTCGGGTGCAAGGTCGACCCCGCAATAGCAGCATCCGCCATAGCACGAGGCTTTGGCGCGAAATTGCAGGCGATGAAGACCGCAAGCCAAGGTAGCCCCCAAATGGGCGCCGCAGTCGACCCCACTGACTGCACCCCTCGTCAGCAAGCTCTTCACTAGGGCAAC